GGGGGGGGGGGCAAGTAGCAAGGAAACAACGCGTCGTCGATGGCGGCGGGAGGTTAGAGAGGGGGGGGGCACCTTGACACGCCGCATCGTGGAGCACCAGGGGCGGCACGTGTGTGAGTGAGTGGGGAAAGAAGAAGATGTGGATTTTAATTTTATTATTTTTAAATTGCAGAAGGTGCTTGCCGTTCCGCGACCAGAGAAAGGCCCAATCGGGTCGGCTCCTCTTTGATCGCCTCCGCGAAGGAGCTCGTGGGATCACTCCCGAGAGGGGCAGGGGATCTCTGTCTAGTGGCGGTAAGAGGACTCCTCGAAGCGGCGGGGCGCGTCGTCGTATCTCCTGCTGCCGCTGTCGCGACCTCTGTCCCCGCCGCTGGCATAGGGGTCATCGCGGCGCGCGTCCCTCTCGCCGTAGGGATCGTCGAAGCGGCGCCTGCGCGGGCTCGGGCTGGTGGCGGCGGTAATTTGCATGACGATGTTAACATTGCAAATACAGTACAAGACAACACACACAACGTCAGCGGATTGCGAGGAATGAGACTAAGAGAGGGGTGCGAGAGGAGGATGTTGGGGGGGGGGGTTGGAGGGTTACCTGCGAGAGCGGGAGCGGCCGCGGGGAGGAGAGGGTCGTCCGCCGCGGGGCGGGCTGGGGCTTCGGTCGCGCTTCCTGGCGGGATGGGGAAGGGAAGAGCACGACGGCGGCGGCGACGAAGACGAAGAAGAATGCACGTAGGGGCAGATGAATGGATGGTCAGCTAGCTACTACGTAGGTGGTAGTGGTCAAAGCACGTGGAGCACGTCGAGAGTAGTAGTGTAGGAAGAAAGAAGCCCGGCCGCGACCGTAGGACACGATGACATCAACGTTGATGGTTTGGGTGATGAAGTGGGCGATGGCGAGCAAGCGCACGATGGGGGAACTCGTCGTAGGTGGTGGGTCACGCCCAAATTTGCGCCGGCGTGGGCGATTGAGGGGCGGAATTCAGCCTCTCTCTCTCTCTCTCCCCCCTCTCTCTCGAGTAGATGGGAGCACCACGTATCATTTGGGGGAGGGGGGTGATTTGATGGTGCGGCGAAGACGCAAGCCGACGATTGCCCCCGGTCTCATGGGAGGATGATGGAGGGTGGATGATGGTGTTGCGGAGTGCGGTTTACCTTGACTCGACACTGCCGCGAGCCACGTACTCCACGCTGATGACTCTGTCCACCATCTGCACGTTGTTGACACCGCCCATCCCAATTGATCCGTTACACGCGTAAGTGGTACCATTGGGATGAGCGCGAGCAGGCCACTGTTCGGCGACTAGAGACCACGCATCCCGTCTAGACCCCAAATTGGGTGTCGAGAGGCCGGGCAGGAGGGAAGGCGGTACCTTGGTCCCGTTGAGGGCTTCCAGGGCGCGGGTGGCCTCCTCGACAGCGCTGAACTGGACGAATCCAAAGTTCCTCTTCAACTCGATCTGCTCACCGACGTCCACATGTCAGCACTTGTGATTGGGCAGGAAACTTGGCAGTAGCAGCAGCAGCAGTCGTACCCTGACGATGCGTCCGTAGGGGCTGAAAAGATCCTCCAAATCGCGGGCCCGAGTAGAGATGGCATCAAAGTTGACCACAAACAGGGTCTCGCTGGGACGCCGGGCAGCATCTCGTCTCCTCTCGTCTTCTCGCCTGCTCCCGTAAACACCTGAGGTAAGATCGTGTAAAATTGTGCGGCAATGCTGGGGGGGACGAACTTTTTGATGAGGCCGTCTCCACGGGCAAGCTCGACGCGAAGGCGTTTGCGACCGTGAAGGCTGCCGTCGAGCTCGCGCACGGCCCTGTGGTGCCCATTCTCGAGGAAAACGAACGCATAGCCCTGCTTCATGTCCACGCGGCGGATGTCGCCCTTGCCCTCGAACAATTCGCGCACCTCCTCGGTGGTGGTGTAGGGATCCAGGTTGCCCACGAAGATGGCACGCTCAGGATCGACGGCCTCCTCTCGGCGCCCGCGGTCCCTATCACGATCACGATCGCGGTCCCTGTCCCGCTCACGGCTGCGCTCGCGATAACGTTCCCTGTCCCTGTCCCTATCTCTATCGGAATGCCTATCACGGTCGCGGTCGGAACCGCGCTCGCTTCTCTCGGGACTGCGATCCATCTTCCTTCTAGCAAATTGCGCGATTGCGCTGCCGCGCACTCAGCGCGAAAAAAGTCGAGAAAACGCCATTTCCCGGTTGGACGAGTTTTTGATAGCCAAAACCAATCGGTATATCTCAGTTTTGGGAGTCAAACTTCATTCTTGGCAAGTCGTTCGCGGCTTGGCCGACAAAAACGAGGCACGCCTGGAAGGCCATTCTGCGAAGCAACGCCTTCTGTCGTCTCGTACTGCCTGCGTTCTGTTTCCATCTGTTCTTGTGGCGGCCGCAGCAGCATCATCATCGGTAACAAAACATGTCCGACTACGACCACCTCTTCAAAATCCTCATGGTGGGGGACAGCGGTGTGGGCAAATCGTCCCTCCTGCTGAGGTTCACCGATGATACCTTCACGGACAACTTCATCAGCACCATCGGTGTCGACTTCAAAATTAGGACCGTTAACCTTGATGGCAAGGTTATCAAAATGCAGATCTGGGATACTGGTACGCGTCCCTCCCGCCCTCCATCACAAGCGGCTTTATCCTAAACACTGTTTCTTGCGGGGGGGGGGGAATGTTATCATTACAGCGGGACAGGAGCGGTTCAGGACGATCACGAGCAGCTACTACCGAGGCGCGCACGGCGTCATCCTCGTATACGACGTCACCGATCAGGTGAGCTTCAACAATGCGCGCCAGTGGCTGACTGAGATCGAGCGGTACGCCTGCGGCAACGTCGTAAAGCTGCTCGTGGGCAACAAGAGCGATCTCGTGTCCAAGCGCGTCGTCTCCACCGCCACCGGCAAGGAGTTCGCCGACCAGTTCCATCTGCCCTTCATTGAGGCCTCGGCCAAGGACGGCAGCAACGTCAAGCAGGCCTTCATGACCCTCGTCAAGGAGGTCTACGAAAAGGTCGTTGGCGATTCTGCTTCATCGGGTGGCGGCTCTCTGGGCCAGTCAGACAACAACAAGGTCAACGTCGCTGCCGCCAAGCCGGAGAAGAAGAAGGGCGGCCTCAAGTGCATCCTCTAAAGCGCCCCTCATCATCTACCGTCACATCCTCTGCGCAATCCCTAGCCTACCCTCGTTTTACTCCATCATCGAGCTCGTTGTATTTATTTCCTCCCCTCCCCTCCAAGCAAGCATAAACACCACATTTTTGGAAACGAATGGATCTCGATGAATGATGAAGATTGAACCAATCATGGCAACACACATTCAGGGCGTTTCGTTTTGGTGGAGTGGGGGCTGCGCAGAGGTGGCGCTCGTCAACGGTGCCGCGTCCTCCGCAGTAGTTGCTGGTCGGCGTGGTTCTGTCGTTTCTTGCGAGCTGGCCGAGCAGTCCTCGCTCTGCCCCTCGCCCAGAGGTGGATCCACCGCCGGTGAGGTCGATGAGGTCGTCGTCGGTGCCGAGGAAGACGACGAGGATGATGATGGCGAAGAAGAAGAAGAAGAAGAAGGCCGAGGTACGGCGAAGAGCTGGTAGGCCTCACCAGCGGGCACGTAGTGCTGCTGCTCGACGAGGTACTGCGGACGGGCCGGGCTCCAGCGCAGGTAGTACTCGGCCCAGAAGATCATGCGGGCCCGCGAGCAGTTGGGCACGAGGACGTGGGGGTTGGGCCGGTAGAAGACGTTGGTGAACTCGGACTGGTTGAGCATGACGTAGGTCCAGATCGACGTCGTCTCCTGCTGCACGGACGCCTCTTCCCGCTCCTTCTCGTTGTCGCACAGGAAGTTGCCAAACTGGCAGCTGTAGAGCGCATCAAGGAGGAAGATCAGGAGGTTCGAATTGAACTGGAACGACGCCGGGAACTGTGCAATCAATCATCGCGACCACCCACCCACCACCACCACCCATCAGTGTCACCACATGCGCGTGCAGCACACGACGCCAGATGCAGCAGAGAAGAAAGACGATCGATGAAGTGGACAGGGCACCTGCTGCAGGAGCTGGATGCACGCATCGATGAACTGCAGGAATATGGGCCCTGTGTGGCGAGTCAGCGGGAGGAGGATCAGCCACACGAGGCACAGAGGCCGCACGGATTGTGTGTACCTCGTTGGTCGTGTGCGTAGTTGGGATGGCCGTGGCCCGTGCGCTCCCCGAACTTGTGCCCGAAATTGATCCACTCCTTGTCCAGCAGCGCCATGAATCCCCTGTTTTCGCGCACGGCGACACCGAAAAGAAGGAGGAGGAGAAGAAGAAACGGTACATGAGCCACGGGCCACACGGCAATACGGGGGGAGTGCAGTGGATGGGGAAGTACCGCAGGGTGCGATAGTTCTCATTGAGCAGCATCATCGACAGGCTCACCAACTGGAGGGGGGGGGAGGAGAGAGAGAGAGAGAGGCAATTAGCCACCAGCCCGCACCGTTGTAACGTACCACGCAACACTCATGCCGTACCTGGCTCGTTCGGTCCCATCCGTCGCTGGCGCGGAGAAGATGCGGAGAGAAGAGAAGAGAAGAGAAGAGAGAGGAGGGTTCAATATACAACAACTCGCGACACCGGTGTCCCGAGCCACACACACACACACACAAATAGAATCGATGCTCACCTGCAATGGCACAGGATGGACGCGCTTTGCTTGTCGATCAGCTCCGTCATGTAGGCCGACGACTGCAGCAGGAGACGCACCCACTCGAGCCATCCTGCCACGACGTCAATGTACGGCCCACCGTGGTGGAATCCCGAGGGAGGGTTTCGTGTGGAGATTGGCGTGGGTGGTGGAAATCGAACCGGTGGCTTCCAGGTTGACGGCCCACTTGGGGTCGTCCGGCCGCTGGCAGAGCGTGCGGAGCTTCTTGTAGGCGTCGCGGGCGGTGTGGATGTTGGGGAGGCCCAGGAACTGCGGCGGGGTGATGAACGGGTACTGCTTGGGCGTTTCGTAGCCGGCTCCCGCCGCCGTGTTGGCCACGGCGTTGACCTTGGGGCGGGCATCGAGCACCTGCAGCTTGCCGCCGTGCGGATTCGCGCGGAATATGGCCTCCAGCAGGCTCTCATCAGCCGCCGAGCGCGCTCCCGTGAGGCCCACCATTGGCTGCGAGCTGCGCGTGATCGCCGCCTGCTCGCGTGACCAATCAGCATTCAGTCATCCAATCAGCCCTTTCGCTCAGCCCGAAGGCCTTGCAATCAAGGCTGGCAGGCTGCTGCCGGGCGCGGCGAGGGGCGCACCTGATTGACGTGCTTGTAGGAGAGCACGGGCAGGCGCCCCTTGGAACGGAAGTCGGCCACCTTGCGGAGGGTGTCGTCGTCGATGGACTTGGGCACCACCAACAGCTTCGGATACGTCGCACAGAGCGAAAAGTCCTCATTCACCCGGGTCAGCCTGGACCAAAATCAGCCATACGCACACGCCATCACATCACATTCAGCCGGTGTGTGTGTGTCGTGTGTCGTGTGTGTCGTGTGTCGTGTGTGTGTCGTGTTGGTGTGTGTTCCGCGTTTTACCTCCACTGGGAGCAGGGATTGAGGACGCCCTGCCGCTGGAACTCCTCCTGGGGGTCGTAAAACGACCAGCGGGCGACCTGCTCCCACGGGGGCCGGAAGGAAAAGGCGAAGAGCTCCCGCACGTTGGCCGGGAATGTGCGCTTGAGCACGGCCCCGTAGAACTCGGCGTGCCGGTCGTCGCGCGTGTCGAGCGCAAACACCACCTCCCGAAAGTCTGCACACCCGAGGTTGCGTCCGCAGTTGGGGCGTGGTGTGAGTGCGCAAGAACAACCGCGCGAGAAAGGCATCTTGTGGGGAGGGTGCTGTTTGCAAAGACCTTTGCACTTGAGGCAGAGGATGAGGTGGTAGCCAGCGGGAGTCTTGGGCTGGACCGCCCCGCCCTTGGCTTTGGCTTTGGAGTGCGACTTGTTGGAGCGGTCTCGCCGATCGAAGTACTTCACCCGAAAGATGGAGCCGAGAGGCACGCGCTGCACTCCCCCGTACCACTACACCCACGATTTTTATTTTTTATTTTTATTTGTTTATTATTTATTATTATTTATTATGTATCGCCCGTTGTTGGGGGGAATGGGGAGGGGCGTACTTGGCTGGTATGGTCGGGGAGGAAGATCAAACGAAAGTTGGTGAGGTGGAGGCGACCAGACAACTGGGCGGCGACGTCAAATGCCGGGTGGGATCGAAGGAGGGCCTCCCCGATGAACTTCTCCACCTCGCCCGGCACCACGACGAGGCCCTTCGCCTTGTGGTGCTTGGCCACTTTGGGCTTATTGGGACTGGGGCCGGGGCTGGGGCTCGGGTTCGGCTGTTCATCCTGGGGTGCCGCAGCCTTCATCCTCTTCTTCCTCACAAGAAGAGGAAGAAAAAAAAAAGCAAGAAAAATTGCCAGCAGGAACAGTCGCCAGAACATGGCACAGGCACAGCTGAAGAAGCTGGTTGCACTCCGCACAAAAAACGAGAGAGAGAGAGAGAGGCGAAGATGGTGGGAAGCCTTCGATAGAATGATGTGTAGTGATTCTCATCAGTCGGACAAGGTCTCGGTTTCATCGTGGGCGACGGGCGGCGCGCCGATAGGCGGCGGTTCGATGATCTCGCCGCGGCACGTAGGACACTGGTAGTAGGCCTTGACGTCGATCACGCGCCCTATGTGAATCTCCTCGCACTTCTTGTGAATCCACTTGGTGCAGCTGTCGCAGCCGATCCACTTGGTCGTGTTCCAGTCCTATGCGCACGCGCGCGCGCATCATGATGCAGCAGAATGCCGGTGTGAGCAGCAAGGAGCAGCGCAAGGCAAGGTGCAAGGCGGGCGTACCTCGTCGGCCATGTAGATGTAGTGGCAGTAGGTGCAGAACATCTCCTTGCCATAGCGGGTGCCACACCCGTGACACAGCATGATGGGCGAGGTGGACCCCTGCACGCACACGATTTCGTATGAGAGAGAACACGCGGTCGTTGTGTGTCGCGTATTATATGTGGGGCCATGTGGGGCCGTGTGCGGCGTGTGTCGTAGTGTCGTGTGAGAAAGCTGATGATTGATTCTAAGTACCCTGGGGATCCATCCTTCCCGCCAGCTGGTGCTCTTGGGCTTGGAACAGTTGCTGCAGCTTGCTCCCCTGTGGTGTGTGCGGCGGAAAAAAAGACAAGCCAACACCGCCCCCCCCCCCAAACGTGTGAGCGCAAGTTGGCCATCTCAAACTCAACGCAATTAATTGGGAGATGGGAGATTGGGGGGGGGGGGCAGGCGCGTACGAGGGGGAGCGTATGCTCTGTCGCTTGGGGCGCCTGGCGTAGTGGGCAGCGCCCTTCTTGGGCGCGTAGAGGAAGGTGGGCTCGGCCATGCCTCGCACAAAGTCGGCCCGGTGGTCCCGCCCGCACACGAGGAAGAGCAGGTCGTCCACCAGCACCTCCTCCACCGACGTCGGCACGTCGTCGCCGTCGTCGTCACCAGCGCCCCACTCCCGCTCCTGCTGCGAGTGCGTAAGGCCGCCAGCGGACTCCTCATCGGACGACGGCTCGGTCTTGGCCGCTGCCGCCGCCGCCGCCACGCGCTCCGCGTCTGCTCGGCCGCGACCCGGCTCGTCGCTCCTCGACGTCGTCGTCTTCCATTGGTCGTTGTTGTCGCCGCGGGTGTGGTAGTCGGCCGCCGCCGCCTGCTGGCCCTGGCCCTCGGCGAGGTCCGAAGCGTGGTGGAAGGTGGAGAGCGTCATGGCCACCAGGTCGTGCGGCAATGGTGGGGCCGCAGCCGCCGCCTCTGGCGTGGGCTTGAGCTTCCGCGGGCGGCCTCTCGGGCGCTTGGGCGGGGGCGGCTGAGACAGCTGCAAGGTGGTGCCGGCCCCGTTTGCTCGGATGGCGCCACCTTCGTCGTAGCGCTCGTCGTCATCTTCGTAATCCTCTTCCTCCTCCTCCTCCTCGTCGTCGTAGTGATCGTCATCGTCATCTTCGTCTGATGGGAGGGTGTGAACATGTCCGTTGGAGCGTTGCCCCTCATCGTCATCGTCCTCTTCAACATCGTCATCATTGTCATCTTCGTCATCTTCGTCGTCGTCGTCGTCTTCGAGGTCGTCCTGCCACTGTTGCTGACGCATGCGTGCCAGGGTGTTCTGCTTGGCGCGGCGCGAGGAGGCCTCGACGGAGCGTGTCGGGGCGCGACGCCCGAGAGGCGGAGGCGGAAGGGACGGGGCCGGGTAGAGGAATGGCTGGAATGCGCCCTCCCCCACCGCCGCCGCCGTCGACAGCGAAGAAGACGACACAGAGTTGCCGTCGCCTTGGCCGTGCTCGCGCATGAGGCGCGCGAGGTCCTCGAGCTTCTTCTTCTTGGTGCTCCCCTTGGGCCGGCCGCGCGGCTTGGGTTTCCGCTCGTCCGATGACGAGAGCTCGGGGCTGCCGCCGAGCGGTGCGCTGCCGACCACTAGGGAGGAGCCCGCCGCCGGCGTCGTTGACGCACCGCTCGAGTGGTGGTCGGGCAGAGCTCCTGGCACCTCCCCACTGCGACGCACATGGGCCGCACACGGCCCCCTCGGGCTGGACATGTCCGTGAACGCGAAGGCGAAGCGCACATGCCACACGTCAGCCGAGGCACGCGTGGCACGCGGAGAATGGGGAGGCGCGCGCACCTCTTGTGGCAGCAGATGGAGCACATCTGGAGCGCGCACGAGTGGAGCATGTTGTACGAGTTGCAGTGGACGCACTTCAGGGTGCGGTAGACCGACTGAGTCCCCTTTGAGCACACACCGACCACACGCACACGCACACGCACACGCGCCCATGTCAGACGGGGGGGGGCAAGCGAAGAGTGGTGGGGAGGAGATTGCGTACCGCGGCCGCAGGCGCCGGACGGGCGACGTCTTCAGAACGGAGGACCCGACGGGTGGCGAGGATCTCGCTCTCGCCGGCATCGTTGAAGGCATAGGCCGAGGCCGAGGACTCGGAGGGGCTGTGCGGCGCGTCCGTGGCGAGGTTGCGCCGCTTGGCCGGGGGCGGGCGGAGCGATGAGGGCGCCGATGACGTGGAGGTGGACGAGGACGACCCCCGCTTGTGGGAGTGGGCGGGGCAGCGCTGCCCGTCCTGCAGCATCCACGCGCGCATGGCATCGTGTGAGCTGAGCACACACAACCACACACACACACAAGAGGTGGAGGGGAGGAGCGCACCTTGGGACAGCAGATGGAGCAGCACGACTTGGGGCACGCCCCGAGGGCATTGTTGGAATTGCACTGCACGCACCGCGTCGGGTGCTTCCGCTTCACCCCTGATGGCCATCCCCCCCCAACAAACAAAACAAAACAAAACACAAAAGAATGTGAGGCAGCTGAATGAATGGCGAGCCGATCGGTGCACGATTGGGGGGGGGTTTCGAGGGCCGAACCGAGAAGCTGGGCGGGGTCTCCGCCGAGGTCGAGGGCGTAGGGCGGGGCGGCCGAGGGCAGGGCGGCGAGGATGGAGTCCAGGGACGACGCCGACGGCGATAGCGCGTCGGACGTCGAGTCCAGGGCGGGCGACGCCGAGCGCGACGCGGCCGCGTTCTTGAGGAAGAAGGCGAGGGCGTTGGTCGAGCTCTCCTCCTCCTCCTCGGCCTCGCCCGCGTCCTCCTCCTCCTCACCGCCCGAGGGCGAGGGCGGCGCCGGAGCCGAAAGAGAAGTGCTTCGCGCCGTCTGCTGCGCCTCGTCGCCTCGCTCGCTGCCGTCGCCCGCGCGGGTGACGATCACCGTCGGCGACGGGTGTGCGAAAGAGGAGGGCAGCGACGGAGATGGCGTTGCGGCGAGTGGCGGAGAGCTCGCCACGGCGCCGGCCAGCTCCTCCTCGGGGTGGGGCGGCAGCTGGGGCGAGCTCGCGCCGCCGGCTGCCGTACCACCGCCAGCACCACCAAGGCCGCTGCCGCCTTCGGGCTTGGGCCGGAGCACAGCGTCGGGGCCGGGCGTAGCCGTGGCGGGTGCCTTGAGGGCCTCCTTGAGGGCGTGCGGACTGCACATGGGTCCGTCCTTGGGGCAGCACACCCGGCACATTGCTGACATTCCACCACCACCAGCCACCACGTCACGCGTGAGACTGACTGAAGTGGCCCGCGGGCTGGGGGCAATAGGGGGCACGCACCCTTGGGGCAGAGGCGGAGGTAGTTGTTGGCGTGGCACAGGGCGCACTTGCGGTGCTGCTGGGCCTGCGGCTGCGAGGACGCGCGTCGTCGCACGCGCCGCGCTGCCTCGCCCTCCTTGAGGTGGGGCGAGGACGTGGGGCCGGGCTGCTCGTTGTTGTTGATGCTATTGGCGACGATGCTGTTGTTGGCGGTGTTGATGGATTCCGCCACCGCCTCTGCATCGGCGTGCTCCACCTTGGCCTTCTTCTTCTTCTGCTGCCGCTTTTCTTCGTCATCGTCGTCGGCCTCCCCGCCGTCGTCCCGCGATTGGCTCGTCGCTCCGCCCTCGGATGTTCGCTTGGTGCCCCGGCTGGCGCTGCTGAGAGCCGTTCGCCTGCTGCGGTCGGCGTGCGCTCGACATGGCTCCCCTGCACGTGTTGCACGTGGGCCATCGGAGGGGGGGGGGTTAGGTGCGTTGCGCATCGCGTGGCGCGTGTGGTGGATGGGAGGAAGGAATGGAGTGGTGGTGGGGTGGAGATGGGAATGAGGTCGTGCGTGGGGTACGTACCGTCGAGGGGGCAGCAGCGGGAGCACATGGCCTTGGTGCACGCGCGGAGGCAGTTGTAGGTGTTGCACTTGGCGCACTTGGTCGTGGTCGCGAAGGGCACGTACGCGGTGGTGGCGCCCTTGCTGCTGCTCGTCTTGGACCGCTTCTCGCTGGCCGAGTCGGCCTCCTCCCCGCCGCTCTTCCGTCGCTTCTTCTTTTTCTTCTTATCTTTCCTTTCTTTGTCTTTCTTCTCTTTTTTGTCTCTCTTCTTCTCCTTCTTCTCCTTTTTGTCCTTCTTCTTCTCCTTCTTTACTTTCTTTTCTTTCTTCTTCTCTTTCTTCTTCTTCTCCTTCTCCTTCTTCTCCTTCATGTCGCTTTTGTCATCGGGCTTGGCTGACGAGTCCGGGTCCTTCGAGTCGCCGCGGGGACTTTGGTCGCCGCCGTCACCACTCGGCTCCCGCCGTCGTCGAGTGCTGAGGGCGACGGCCTTTCCCTTCGTCGCCTTCGTCGTCGCCTGCTCGCCTTCCTCCTCCTCCTCCTCTTCTCCGTCGCCTTCGTCGGTCTGCGCTTCCCTCTTTCGTTTCATTCGACTTTCTCTGCTGGACTTGCGTCTTCGGCTGCGAGCCGTAGCCGAGGCCGTGCGCGACGATGACGATGACGAAGGAGACGATGACGAGTCACTGTTATCATCATCATCATCGGAGGAGGAGGAGCTCGTGCTGCTGCTTCCGCTTTCTCCTTCGTCTGCAGAACTCGATGACGACGATGACGGCGATGATCCGGAGGAAGAGGAGGATGCGGTGGCGGCGCTGCTCCGCTGTCGTCTCCTCCGTCGGCTGGAGGCGTTGGCGCGGGAGCGCATGATGTCGGCCATTTCGCGGGCTTCGAAGCGGCGCTGCAGCTGCTGCATCTCCATCTTCTGGATCGTCGTCTGGCGGGCACGGCGCGACGGCAGCCACTTGTACCTACGACCGACCAACCAACAACAGCAAAGACCGTCACACCACTCGCATCAGCCAGAGCTCTATCATATGACCATCATCGTCGCCGCACGCACGCACGCACGACACACCACACCCCATACCACACCACCACGACCACCACCGCCACCGCCGCCACCGCCGCCACCACACACCGGCGGGGCCGGTGTCGTGGGTGGGTGAAGGGAGAGGAGAGGGGAGGAGGGCTCACCGGAAGAATCGCCCGATCTCGATGCCCGCAGGTTCGTCCTTGCCGGCGGTAGCGCCGTCTGGGTCTTCGTCGTCTTCACCTTCACCTTCTCCCTCTTCTCCTTCTTCTTCCGCCTCGCGCTCTTTTTTCTCGTCTCCTTCTCCTCCTTCTTCTTCTTTCTCCACAACCATGCCCTCATCGTCTTCCGCTTCCCGATCGTTGTCCTGCTGCTGCTGCTGCTGCTGCTGGATGATGCGGTGGCCGCGCATGCAGGTGCATGCGTGGTTGCGTGGTTGCGTGAGATGATGGCCGCGCAAGGAGAGAGAGATGCAAGCGTGGGTTGGGGGGGGGAGCTGGAGCAGGGGGTCAGGGAGACACGTACGGAGCAGTGGTGGGTCGTGTGCAGCGGCGGTTGCGGCTGCGCGGGCCGAGTTACGGCCGCAGCGATGTCTCCGCCTTCTGCACCGCGCCAGGCAGCAACACGTGCGTCCATGGGGGGTGAGACGTAAAGGGAGGGGAATATGTAAAGTTTGTGTCTCTATGTGGTGTGGTGCATGGTGTGCTGCCTGGTGTGGTGTAGTGTGGTGTCGGGTGTGGGTGTGGTGGGGTGTGGTGCATGTTGGGCACTTGAGTGCGTCCTCCACCCCCCTCTTGAGGCAATAAGCAAATAAATAAATAACGTAGTGGTGGAGGGAGGGGGTACCGGTGGGGTCCATGGAAGTGTAGCGCTTGAGAAAAGGACGAGACACGAAGGAGGAAATCAATCAAGAGCCGAGTGTCGCGGGAGAAAGGCGGTGCAGGAAGAGGAGCAGCGTAGTGTAGTGAGCAAGGGTGGCCGCAGAGTCGGTAAATACTAGCGACCGGCGGGAGGTGCTGAAATATTATTTTTTTTGTCCACCACCACCACGTTCGCCTCAGTCTATCAGTGGATGGATCGGATCGGGTTGTCCTCACCTTCAGCCGCGAGATAGCCCCTTCCCGTTCTTCCGGTGGTGGCCGTTTTTAGTGTCGACAAGCCTTTAACGCCACCTCACCCGCCACCTTAACTGCGTGCAACAGACCAACAGTGGGCCTCATAATTTGCAACCGCCGCCACAAACAGACAACGACTTTGCCCTGGCCCCACGACACCAGAAATGAGCGAAGAGATTGGGCATAGTAGCGGAGAAGAAGATCAGCCGCACATGGAAGAGGAGCGAGAGGTGTTGCGTGATGCCAACGGGCAGGTGCTGGACGAGACCAAGTCGGTGAAGGTGGGGCTCGACCGGGAGGAGCTCATGGCCGAGTTCGCCATCCTGGCCGAAGAGGAGAAGGAGGAAGAGGAGCGCGCGCAGGCCGTCTTCGTGGAGGCCGTGGAGAACCTCAAGCTCTACTCGCAACTCGACCTCGAATCCATCGCCCGACTCCTCTCGTAGGACCTCTTCGTGTTTTCGTAATTATTCTATTATTTATTAATTATTACTAGGGGGCAATTATTTGATCAATTATTATTTAGTCGTAGTCGTAGAAGCTCACCCGTTTCCTCCTCGCTCACACCGCAGGGTTTTGGAGGACAGCGGCCGCGACGAAGGAGCCGCCTGGGAGTACGCCATCCCCACCACCTCTGCTTCTACGTCTTCTTCTACTTCTTTGGCTTGCTCTCCTTTGCTCCGACGCGTGGAGAACTGACAGCTGTGTGTCGTGTGCCCTGTTGTGCCGTGCCGTGCCGTGCCGTGTCGTGTCGTGCGTTGTGTTGCACGTGGTACCAGGTACTTCTTCCAGCAGGGCGCGCACCAGGTGCTGCTGGTGCTGCTGAACGCGGAGGAGGTGGTGGAGGACCAGCGCCGCACGGACCAGATCCTGCAGATGTGGGAGCGCATCGCCCGCTTCGTGTTCAAGCTCAGCGAGGAGGACCAGGGCGTGGTCTACGACGAGCTGCGGCGACAGGGCATGGTCGAGACCCTCGCCTTCGCCATGCGCCACCACCCGCACCACCCGCCGGTCCTGCGCCGCGGCGCGTTCCTCCTCGCGCAGCTCTTCGCCCAGGACGCGCCCGCCAAGCACTCCGACGAAGACCCCTCGGCGCGCACCCGCATGCTGGCCGCCGAGGGCCTCGTCGACCTCTTCCGCACCATGGAGAGCCAGCCCGCCACCTACTCCCCCGACCTCCTCGCCAAGGTTCTCTTCTCTTCTCTTCTCTTCTCTCTNNNTCTCTCTCTCTCTCTCTCTTCTCTTCTCTTCTCTTCTCTCTCCACCACGCGCCTTCGTTTTCTTTTTCTCCCCCCTTTGCTTCGTTCTTTGGTGCAATGGTGGCTGCTGACGTGGTCGCTGCGGTGGGGCGTAGGTGCGAGAAATGCGGGAGGCGGTCGAAGGCGGGAAGGGCGAGAAGAAGAGCCAGAGTCAGCACCGAGGACAGCAGGCGGCCGCGGCGGCTGCGGTGGAGGCGGAGACCAAGCGGGCGGAGGAGGTGGAGCGCGCCCACAAGCAGGAGGCCGAAACGAGGCACGCCGCGCGAGTACGGCTCGCCGATGAGCTGATCGAAGCGGGGCCTTCCCCGACCGAGAAGGCGCCCCTCCTCTCTGCGCACCAGCGGTACGCCGCCTCTACCGTCTCTGGGTGGTGGTGGGTGGTGGGTTGGCTGAACGAACGCGCGCCGATGGAACCGCAGGCATGCGGGGGTCAACCAGGTGGTCACGGGCGACGGCTGCTGCAGCGCGTGCGTGCTCATGTAGGCGACGACGCCCCTGAACGATCGTTTCCTGAACCGCGTCGTGATCGACATTCACCCGCCGTACTGTACCATGACCACACCCACAGCCTTTATTTATCGCGCCCTGTGCCACTGACGTTCCTTGACCAAGTCAAGGAATAAAAATAAAGAATTAAAATTCAAACCACCAAACGTGTGTTTGTTACAAGTTTGGGTGGAGACAAGTGTTTGTTGTTTTTTGTGTTGTTGCCTCACTGCGTATGGCTGTTATGTACATTCAATCGAGAAGGGGAGCTGGTTCGTATTGCCTCACATGCGCTGCTTTTGCAGTTCGTGCACTCGCATGGCGAGGGCTCTCTTCTGGAACTGCTCTCTGCACAAGTTGCGCGTCAACTGCGCCCAAGGAAGAAAGGTGAAAGTCAGCAATGGCTCGGCACAACTCAAGGGGGGGGGGAATGTGTGCCTTGAGATGGGTCTGCAGGTCGATGGTGTTCGAGTGGAGGGCCTTGTCCATGTAGTACAGCGTGTCCTCAATCCCCGCGTCCTCCGCCACCAGCTCCATCATTCTGCACAGGAGAGAGACAGAACCCATCTTAGCCGAGTCTAGGCCCGAAGGGCCGGTACGCTCGAGGAGGAGGAGGAGGAGGAGGGCGGGGAGTAGTACTGCGCGGAGAGGGCGTCGGCCGGCACGACGAGGTCGTCCACGCCCAGCTGCACCGTTTCGCTCTCGGAGATCCACTGCCGGGTCTCGTGCTCCTTCTCCTCGGCCGCCCGCAAGTACTCATCCAGCTCCCTCTGCACACATTCCAGGTAACACACGACACAGACGACACAAGACACACACGACACGACCAACGAGACACGACACAGTCTGCAGTCAGGCCGGGTCCCAAACCACGAGCAAGGCAGCGACACGCGTGCATGCACCAGTGGGGGGGGGGTTGGTGGTGGGAAGGCACCTTGTCGTGGGCGAGCGTGGTGAGCGAGTGCTGCAGCCACGAGGAGCCGTCGCGGAGTCGCTGCTGGACGAGGTGGAACTGGTTCACGTCGGCCGACACGGCTTGCCACACGTCGTTGGCCTTGCGCGCCATCCGCTCCTCCAGCTCCCGCTTGCGGCCGCCCTCCGGCTGGCCCGAGGCGAACGGTGGCGGCTGGTGCGGCTGGTGGTGCGGGTGGGGGTGGCCCGGGTATCCGCCGCCCATATGGGCCGGCTGCCCCGGCGGCGGGCCGTAGGCGGGCGGGTGCTGTGAGCCGTAGGCAGTACCTACGGGCGAGTAGGCGGGCGGCGGCGTGGCGGGCGGCTTGGCGGCGGCGGCGACGGTGGGAGGTGGCGGCTGCTGGGCCGACGATGATGGCGACGAGGAGGAGGGGGAGAGCGAGGAGGAGGAGGGCGGCTTGGCGTAGACGGGCGGGTCGGTGGAGAAGATGGTCTGGAGGTCGGTGACGAGGCCCAGGAGGTCGGAGCGGGCGGGCTGCCAGGCGGAGAGGTAGGGCGTGTAGCACTGGCCGGCCGAGTCGACGTGCTTGTGGCGCGGGCGGATCTCCATACCGCGCGTGGGCCGCACGAAGCAGAGCGGCGGCTTCTCGGGATAGTCGCGCACGACAAACACCTCCACGGGAATGTTGTACTGGTTCGTGCGGAACCTGATCGGCACGGTGCCCACCAGCGCCACCAGCAGATACGAGTCCCCCTCATTGCTCACTACACCCCCCCCCAGCGAAGTATTAACAAGTGACAGAAATAATTTTAATTTAATAATAATAATAATAAATGGGAAGTGTCAGAGCAAAAGAACGGGACAACTCAGGGCGGGTGGTTGGGGGGGGGTACCGAAGGTGTCTTCTTTGGGCTTGAGGCTTGGCACGCGAGCAAGGAGCTTCTGTATATCGGCCCTTACCCTCTGGTGGGTTGTCGCATACTGTGTATTCATATCAAATTGCGATGGCGCATTAGAAAATTGGGGCCGCAACTGCGGGTGGAGAGAAGAGCGAACCAGTTGGTTGAGGGTGTCGAGCACGGCCTCCATGCTTCGTTCGTTGCGTAGAAATCAACAACGAAGTTCGCTTGATTTGATGTTCACGTTCGGGGGAATGACCACCCTAGACCGGAATAGGTGGGCTGGGCAACACTGGTGGCGAATGGGCGAGGCGGGCGAAATTTCAAGGGAGGGAACGTGCAAAGCCCGGGCACGCGGCCACGCCAGCAAGGCGCCCCTGTTGACTCTTTCGTCTGGGTGCTTTGTGTTGCGGAGATCGCCAGCGCTGTCCTTTATATCTCTACCGCCTTATCCCTACATTCTACTTTCTTCTTTCTCGCCGCATCATGTATCTCTTCGATTGGTTCTGGGGTGTTCTCTCTTTCCTGGGTACGTCTTTCTTTGCCCTTCCGTTGCATCGGCCTGCAAATGGATGCTCATCTAGCGAAATGGGGGCGGGCATTGTGCAGGTCTCTACCACAAAAGCGCAAAGATCCTTTTCCTGGGCCTCGACAATGCAGGAAAGACTACCCTTCTTCACATGCTCAAGGATGACCGCCTTGCCGTCCACTACCCGACCTTCCACCCCAGTACGCGCACCCGACGCCCCCTCTACTCAAATCATTCTAATCCAAATCTAATCTGTCCCCCCGTAGCGATGGAGGAATTGACTCTGGGCAGCATCAGATTCAGGACCTACGATCTCGGTGGCCACACCACTGCCCGCAAGGTGTGGAAGGATTACTACGCCGACGTGGATGCCATTGTTTTCCTTGTTGACAGCGTGGACCGCGACCGTTTCCCTGAGTCCAAGAGGGAGCTCGACGTACGTTGCATACATGGCAATTGCATCATCATTGGTAGAAGATTTTTCCGTTTTTGTGGGATTTTTTAACATTATTCTATTTTCCAATTGGCAAATCCACAGGGCCTGCTCTCTGCCGACGATTTGAAGACCATCCCCTTCCTTGTGCTTGGCAACAAGATCGACATCCCCAAGGCCGCCTCTGAGGCCGAGCTCCGTCAGGCCCTTGGTCTCCACCAGACCACTGGCAAGGTGCGTCTCTCCTGCAAGACCGTTGATCTAGATGTAGAGAGTGGAGATGAACAACTGACGAACCTTTTCTTCTCGCTCGTTCTTTTTCGCTACGTGCAGAACAAGACCTCCCTGGGAGACAACATCCGCCCCATTGAGATCTTCATGTGCAGCGTGGTCAAGCGCAGCGGTTATGGCGAAGGTTAGCTCTCCTCTCCATCGAGCACATGCAGACTGCATGGCTGTACGCTAGAGTGCTAACTGCTCTCTCTCTCTCTCTCTCTTGCTCTTTGCGTTCTTGCTGGGCAGGCTTCCGTTGGTTGTCGAACTACCTGTAAGCCGAAGGGCAAAGAGGCCTTTATTTTGACCACCCGCCACGCCAACTTCAACACAACCATCACCGCCGACCACTTTGAACAGTTAACGACGAAGGGACATATGCGAGGGAGAACACCGACGTGGAGAGCGGCTGCCACACCCATCACCCGAAGTTGTTGTTTTTACTCTCATCTCCCCTTGGGGATGTTTTTTCGTTTTGCACGCACGACGGCAGTACAGTACACCACACACCCATCCGCCCCACCCCACCCCACCCCACCCCCCATCAATAAACACCATCGTCCGCACCCTTTGTCCACTTCTTCCGTCGCTCTGCCAGCGGCCACACTACTACTGGAGGGCGCGCAGGATGAGGGCTGCGTTTGCCATTCCCTTGCCAACGGCGGCCCGCGCTTCTTCCTCTGTACAGCCACACACTTGAGTGAGCAGCGCCACACGCGCACCGCACGCACGCGCGCGTGTGGGAGAGTGTGGATGGATGGACAAGGGAGGCGTACGGGTGGAAGTAAGTCGGGGTAGGAAGGACTTCTGCAGGCGGGTGAGGGCTGCCGAGGCGGTGGGCGACAGGCGCTGAGCGAAGGCGGCCTGCAGGAACAAAACGTCCGTGTGCAGCTGCAGCGCGCAGCCCCCATCCCTGCACACGCGCGACCAGCCGGGTTGAGTGCCCGTACGGACAGCAGTCACACACGCGGGGGGGGGAGATAGCAGGACGACGCGCACCATGGGCGGCTCCGGGTGGGCGGAGGAAGGCGGGAGCGCAGGCTCTCCTCGTAGCACGACGTGATCCGCTCCAGAAGGCTGGTGATGATGTGCGTCCTGACCAAGAGGGCAACCGGCGCCAGCTCCGCCTGCGCGGTGACCACGCCGGCCACCACCTCGATCACATACTCGCGCACCTCTTCATCATTGCACCCCCCCCCCCGCACCACCAACGGAGGGTGCAAATGAGTCAGGCAGACGATGGGGGGGGGGAAAGACTCAGGCGTGGTGGTGGGGTACCCGGCGGGGCGGAAAAGGGAGTGGCGAGCTGGTCGGCGAGGGCCGGCCCCAGCAGGGCGTAGATCTGCGCCGCTTTGCACCGCACGTACTCGGCGGCGAGGAGGTTCTCCAGCGTGCTCAGGTGGTCGACCACCGTCTGTGTCGCGCGCACGACACACACACAACGAAAAAACAGAGTCATGTCATACCTCACACCGGGGGCGTGTGGAGGGGGTGGTGGAGGGGCGTACGGTCGAGGACGTGGACGGCTTAGACGCGGCGGCGGCGGCGGCGGTGGTGGCAGGTCGGAGGGTGGAGATGAGTCGTTCGATGAGGATCACCACTTCCTCCCGTGCGTACGCGCTGTTGGCCATCGCCACGATCATCCTCTCCTCAGCGCCCTGTGTGCAGCCCCCGACCATCATCAGTTGACCTCAGAAAGTCAAACGCAGTGGTCAGGGGCGGGGCGGTACGAGGTCGGCGCCGTAGCGCGGGGCGCTCGCGAGCGCGATGCTTCGGGTTTCGTCGTCGCCGGGCCAGCAGGCCGCGTGCAGCCCGTCGGCGAAGGCCTTGACAGTCTCCAGCGCCAGTGACTCAATCTCATCCAGCACTCGCTGCATCCACCAAACACAAGCAAACCACACCACACGACAAGCGTACAGGCGATGTGTTGGTCGTGTGTCGTGTCGTGTCGTGTCGTTGGTCGTGTCGTGTGCGGCGAAAGGACGCGTACCTCTTCAATGGCGGGCAGGCTCTGGTAGTGGTGGAGGGCGGACCGGAGGAGCGCCGCGAGGCGCTTGGCCATGTACACGTCGGCGCCCCAGCCCTTGCCTACGTCGGCGTCGGCGTCGTCGGGCGAATCCGCGTCGCCGTAGGCCGCGCCCCCCTGCTCCGCGCCGTCTTCCCAGAGCTTGGCCGCTCCTGCATTCGGTCCCTATCAGCCACGCGTGTCGTGTGGTGTGTCGCTGATCGTGGCGTGTCGTGTGGCGTGGCGTGATTTGTCGTGTCGTGTCGTGGCATGTGGCTGAGGCGCGTACGGGCGAGCGTGTGCCGACGGATGGAGGAGGTGAAGAGGAGGGAGAGCTCGGAGATCAGCGGGGCGAGCAGGTTGCCGGGACCCAGGTCGACGGCGGCGAGAGCGGGGGCCAGGCCCTTCGCGCAGGCGGCCACCTCCAGGATGCACTGGCGCACGTCGTCCAGCAGCTCGCGGCCTTCCCCCGCCACCGCCACTCCGCCGGCCGTCGTCGCCTCTCCCGTATCGGGCGCGGCAAAGGCAGCGCGCACCTGCTGGGCGTAGAGGGCGAGGCACTCCTCGACCAGCTTCCGCGTTCCCTCCTCTCCCTGCGCCACCCGCGTGCGCGCGTGTTCTCTCGTGAGTGTCGTGCGTGTGCGCACACAACAGTACGCGCGTGCGTGCGTGCGAGTGGGTGAGTGGATGAGCGTACTCGAGGCGGTGCGGGTGGGCGGACGTGGGCCATGTGCGTGAGGGAGGGCAAGCCGGTGAGGAGGACGTTGCACAGGCGACGGATGGCGGGCAGCCTGCCGCCTCCCGCTGCAGTGGTGGTGGCTCCGCCGCCCCCGACAGCGTCGGCGGACTCGTCTGCCGGTGGATCTGTCGTGGTGAGCGCGGCCACGATGCTGGCCTGCACGTTGCTCAGGTAGTGCCACGCCGGGTCCACATCTCCGCCCAGGTCCTGCACCGCCCCACGCGCGACACCGCACACGCACACGCACACGCAACACACCGCACACGTCACACAACACGGTTTGCACCAGAGCAGCGCGCAGGGCTGGGTCATGTGGTATAGATGGGGAAAAGTACGTGGAGGAGGCCGATGTGATAGTCGTGCTCGGCGAGGGTGAGGGCGGGGTCGCGGAGGGAGGCGAGGAGCCGGTCGCGGAGGCGGTCGGCCAGGGAGTTGATCTGCTCGGAGACCTTGACGAAGATGCGGACGTTGGTGCCGGCCAGGTAGCCGACGGCCTTCTTGTACTCGCGCACGGCCTTCTCGTACTCGTGCTGGTCCAGGTGGCGCTGGATGGTGAGGGGCAGGTTGAAGATCGTCTGGTACCGCTTGAGCGCCGCCAGCACGTTCCGCTTCTCCTCGATCTCGGCTCGTCGCTCCAGCAGCGACCCAAACAGCCGGTCCGACCGCAACTGCAAGTCTGCGCGCCGCGCGTGAGGAATGCGCGCACGACACGACACGGCACACACGGCACCACACGATAGACAGTCTGTGCACAGCTCTTTCAGGTGCCGGCAGGGCGGGCGTACCGATGTAGGTGTCGTTGAGCTTCTGTATGGCGTGGTGGGACATGTCGTTGTCCTTGATCTCCTCGTAGATCCCTGTGGTGCGGCGGTGCGAGTGCGCACGATATGGCGTCGGTCAGACAACACTAATGTTCAACAACAGCCTCGCCAGGTGCGCCACTCAGAGCATGGCTGTGCAGAGAGGAATCGGCATATATATATATAATAGAGAATAAATGAACTACATACCGTCGATGGAGTCCTTGCACGAGATGAACCGCCCGAAGTTGTCCCGCACGAACGTCTACAGCAACGTCGACGAAGAGCAAAGGCAGAACATGCCACGCGCGGCCACGGGTAAGACACGGTGGTCGATTGGGGGAGGGGGATGAGCGCAACGCCGAGTAGCAGTAGCAGCAGCACACGGAGCTCTGCGCGCTACGCGCGAATCGTCGGGAGGCAGGGGTGGGTGAAAGGCGTCAACAATGGTACCTTGAGTTGCATCTCCTGCCCGCGGAGGAGGGAGCGCAGGGTGCGGGCGCCCTGCTGGAGGTCGGCGTACGAGGTCTGCGTGTGGAGGTCGCCCAGATACTTGCGCGCGTCGAACCCATCGCGCGACGGATCCACGTGGGACGCTGGTGCCACCGTGCACAGTCATTGGAGGGAAGGACGGAGAGAAGAAGAACGAAGAAGAACGAAAAAGAAGAAGCCGCGTCAGCACGCCGTGTCGTGTAGATAATGGAATGCGATGGGGGGGGGGGATTTTGGGCGGCGGGCAGGTACACTTGTCGAGGGCCGGTGGGAGGGAGAGGGTGCCGAGCAGGCCCAGAGGGTCTGTGACCGGCTGCGAGATCTTACCGTCTTCGTCCTCTTCCTCGTCCCGCTGACGGTCACCGCACGCACAACGATGAGCACGCACCGACGCACACACACACACACACACACACACAGAGAGAGAGAGAAGTAGCGGTTGTTGTGGGAGTGGTGGGGCACCCGTCGCGGGGAGGGGGCTCTCTGGCTGGCCGCCTTCGTCGGGACGGAGCGCCCTCTTTCCCGGCCGTTCGGGGCCGAGGACTCCTCGCCCTCCTCTGCGCGACGCACGAACACGAATGAACGAAGGGCACACGTCAGCACGCCGCCGCCACGACCACGCAATGACTCCATATCTCACGCGGACGGTGGATGCCGCAGGCGCATCAGAGAGAGAGAGAGAAGAGCACGCAGGTGGGAAGCGGCTGGCAACCTGAGTCACTGTCCACAAGCTGGGGGCGCCACGCAACCGGTTCTTCCGTGTCGGAGCTCTCCCCTGCATTGTAGAGTAGTCGTGTCAGTGGTTGCACCACCGCCAGAAGCAGCAGCAGCGCGAGGGGGTGACGGTCAACCGTCGGTGGCGGTGGCGGTGTCGAGGTCGTCCGCGTTGGAGGCGTCGTCCTCGGTGTAGTCGCCGTAGCTGGACCCGGAGTCCCCGCCATCGTCCTCGTCCCCGGCCTTCCTGTCCTTCTTCTTTTTCTTCCGCTTGAACAGCTTTGCTCCTCGCTTCTGTACTCCCCCCCCCCCACAAACGCATTCAATCCTTCAGCAGCTGCCCACAACGAACAAAAATGGCCACCTCACTCGCAATTGCAAACCCGCCACACAACACCACGCAAACGTACCATGGCGTATTGTGTGCTCTTTCACTCACTGCTCCTCCGTTCTTGTTGTCCTTCTTTTCCTTTGGTTTTCTTTTGGTTTTGTTATTTTTTTCTGTACAAGAAGGCGTGTGGTTCATCGCCGTCTGGTGAGGCCGGTGGAAGGAAGTGGTGGGCGGCCGCCGGAAGAGGAAGAAGGTGGTGGAGGCGACGAGGACGCCGAAGCGCTGGCCAGCGGGCGGGACGACAATTGCTGATCGCGCTCCTCAAGCAGCTTGCGCTTGTGCTCCTTCTTGGTCTCGCGCTGTACCTCGGCAAAGTCGCGCCAGGCCAAAGTCATGCCCTCCTCGTGGCCCACGTCGGGCCGGCGATCCACGTCGTCCGGCACCAGCGGCGGCAGCGCAAGGGGAAGAAGAGGCGCCGAAGAGGATGATGGCGATGATGAAGCGGAGAAGGTGGTGGAGCTGAGCGGCCTCGGTGGGCAGAACCGGCGCCCGGGGAACTTAGGGAATCGGCGAACTGAGCCGAGAGAAGGAGGGGAAGACGGAGATGGCGATGGCGACGGCGAAGAAGTGGCCGAGGAGGCGGACGAGGGGCTCGGGCGGGGTCGGTTGTAGTCGGCACCGTCGGCCGAGGCGGGTGAGCTGCTGGCGGTGGCGGTGCGCTGGAGGCCGAGGTGGCGGCGCCGAGGCTTGACCTGACGCTCGGCGATGAACTCTACGTCCTCGTCGGGTACTAAAATGATGGGAGCCGACATGGAGGTTTCGGGCGGCGACGATGGCGAGCTCCAGGCCGAGGCCGGAGCCGGCGCGCGTGAGGGCCTGGCCGTGGCGCCCGTTGAATGTGTAGGAGGCAAGCACTCGAAGAGCAGCGGAGACGACGCGGCGGGCGTCGCAGCGGCAGCGGCGGAAGAGTCTGTCGTCAGGTCGACAAATGCAGCTGCGGTGGCAGACGACGTCGATGTCGACGTCGACGAGTCCTCCGACGAGGCCACGGGGCTGTCGCCGGAGCCGCCCTGCATGGCAAAGAGCGCGTCGACAGCGCGCTCCACGCTGCCGCCCACCTGCTGGAGCACGGCCTCCAGGACCTCGGCGTCCATCGAGTCCCCGAACATGCCCTTCAGGCTCTCGAGCCCCTGGGCCATCGCATGCTGGTGCTGCTGCCGGTGAAAGTCTGCGGCGTGGTGCAGCGCCGCACCTCCGCCCACGGTGGGCGGCGGGTGGTGGAGCGAAGCCGAAGCCGGCGCCATCCACGGCGCGCGGCCACCGTAGCGCGCGAAGGGACCCAGGCGACCGCCGTCGACGCGCATACGGGCGCGGGACTCGAGCACGCTGCGTATACGGTCGCGCGCTCCGGCGAGCTGGCGGTCGGCGCCTGCCTGGGACTCCCAGTGGTGGGGCGCCGCAGTCGGCTGTCGCTGTCGCGGAGGCTGGTAGGGGGTGCGTCGACGGGCCGTCGTGGGGGCGGGGCTGGTGGTCGATGCGAGAAGCTGGCGCGATCGGTCTTCCCTTCCGGAAGCGAAGAGGAGGAAGTCGTGGTCTTCGCCTTCGCCTTCTTCTTCTTCGCCAGAGCGGAGGCCTTCCATCTCGTCCTCGTCCAAGTCCTCGTCTTCATCTTCATCGTTGTCGGCAGGGCCTGCGAGGCCGAAGAAGAAGCCCATGGACGCAGCAGGAAGGGCGTCTGCGTCGGGGTGGCCCAGCATGCGGTTGAGGAGGGACGCGCTCGCGTAGCGGTGGCCAGGGTGGTGGTGGTGGTGGTGTGGCTGGCTGGCCTCGGCAGCCTCGGCGGCGCGGGCGATGTCCTCGATCTCGCGGCGCGAGTAGCGGTACTGCTGCTTCTTGGGCCGTACGCGTACCACGTCGGGCTTCTTCTTGGGCTTCTTCTTCTTCTGGCTGGTGACCTTGCGCCCTCGTCTCCTCTTGCTGGGCGGGTTGTCCTGCTCTACTTCTTCTTCTTCTTGCGGTGCGGCTCCTTCTTGCTGCAGCTCGCCTCCTGCTACGTCGTGCTGCCGGGTGATGGTGTAGAAGGCGGCCTTGCACATCGGGCACGAGTTGGCCACCTTGGACCAGCGGTGGATGCAGTCGAAGCAGAAGGCGTGGCGACACGAGTCCAGCACGCCCCGCTCCTTGACCTCCTCGAAGCAGATGCCGCACGTGTTGTTCTTTTCCTCGTCGCCCTCTCCTTCTTGGGCGGTCTTGTTCTTCTCTTCCACCTGCTCGTTGCCGTGCGACTCAACGCCCATGCTCATGCTCGTGTCATCTTCGATCTGCAGCGAGGCCGTGGTGCCCGGGTCTCGCTGTCGTTCTTCTTCTTCCACCTGAATCTGAACTTGTGGTTCGGAACGTGCAAGTGGCGTTGGGATGGGGCGAGTCGGATTGAAGGCTCTCGTATCGTCAACCACTGGCTCTTCTTCCGTGTGGCTGGAGCTGCTGGGGTTGAGGGCGGGCCTCTTGCGCTTTCGACTGCTCCTTCGCACCGAGGCAGCCATCTCGCGTTCGTCATCGATATCCTCATGTTCGGCGTAGCCCTCCATGCCGACGGCAGGGCAATGGGCAGAGGTTGTGGCGTGGAGCGATGAGGGGGGTTGAAGGATCAAGGAGGGTGGATGCAGCAAACCAGTCGGCGGAATTATTTTAAATTCTTTCTTTTTTGCTTTTCTTTTTTGCTACTTTTTCTTGGCGCGAAGTGTGTTGTATCTACTCGCATCGGTGGAGCAAAGATGGAGAGGCTGCGTGGCGTAGCGCAGGGCAGGGCCGCACGCAGGGGCCGAGATGCGGAAGGCGTGCAGGAGGGTGGACTTGGCCAGGAAGCGAACCCGACTGCGGCACTGCTCAAACGCCATGTCAGTAGCTTGCAGGAGGCTCGCAAATCGGTCGAGACCATGATCCAGGAGGAGGATCGGGGGTTTCCCGAGCTCTATGACTTGGTGGGCATGTCGGCAGCTACCACGATGGAGTATGCAATTGATCAGAGGCCTCAGTTTCGTCTTCTCAAGATGATCCCACTTCCGGAGACGCTCCATCAGATGTATAAATGTAACCCCCCTTTCCCAATTTTCTTAATTTGACGCCTTCGGTGGGCACTGATTAATTTGATTTTCTCGGCATTAGCCATCGAGTGCAAGTGCTTCTTGGGCCTCTTCCCCGAGATCAACAGGTATCTAACAACGTTATTTTCTATTATTTCGCTTTTGCTAAGCAAATGTCCCCACAGGGCATGGATTACGGTGGACAATCAGCTTTGCTTGTGGAATTACGAATCCAAGTATGTGTGCCCGCTCTTTGCCACAAGCCTAAGCGTCTGCCTGCCTCACACCAGTTCCCTCCCGCAGAGAGTACGCTATCTGGACTGATCAGGATCAGATCATCGTCAGTGTTGGCCTTATTCCACCCAAACGAGACGGTACGGCTGTCCACGCGCTTTGCGTTTGTATGTGCAACTGAACCTGTGATCACGGAGGCCTTATCGTTTTATGCGCCCACAGTGTTCTCGGAGGATGTCAAGTACGTGCTGGTTCTCGCTACCCCCGTTGAAATCGTGCTGCTCGCCGTGTGGTTCGAGGACAATACGCCACAAGGCGAGATTCACCTGGAGCCGAGTACGTTGCGCCCAGCGCCAAACTACGAATGCTCGTGTGGAATGCTGTGCGTAGTTGACGGTTTCCCATCCATTCTTGAACGCAACAGCGCGCATTGCGCTGTCTGCGGACAACGTGAACATGGTCAAGATCGTTGGCACAAAGCGCGGACGCATCTTCATGGGCGGCAGTGATGGTTCCCTGTACGAGCTCGAGTACCAGGTAATTCATTAGTGCATGCACGGTGCATCTTTCATATATGTTTGTGCCAATGCTTCCGATGCTAAGTGCTTCCCCCTGCCACAGGCCGATGAAGGCTGGTTCAGCAAGAGGGCAAGAAAAATCAACCACACACGCGGCATCATGTCGGCACTTACGTCCTACTGGTACTGTGTGCCACACGACCTCCCTTGTCGCTCTGGCAAGCTTAATGACGGTTCTCTACTCTATCCCCCCCCCACAGGTCAGCGAAGCCGGCGATCATCGACATCGTGATCGATGAATCGCGCAACATTCTTTACACCCTGTCCGCTCGAGGAGCCATCGAGGTATTTGTTCCGAATCCGACAGGCTAGGCAGCACCACTCACTCACTCAACTACTCTTATTTCCCCCCTATTTATCTTTTATAATGGGACTGGCTAGGTATACGATCTTGGCACAGATGGCCTCGGCTTTCAGCACGTGGCGGCGATGAGTAATGTGATCGCGTCCGCGGAAACACTCTGCCCGCGGCTCAAGTTCACCCAAATCGGCAAGGAGGTAAAGTTACCCGGTTGTCGGCGTGCTTGGGCCGGTCTGGTTGCTCACCGCGTTGTGCTCTCCTCCTTTTTGTGGGGGGGGGGTTGATGTTGGTGTAAACGCCAGGCGTCGGTCAAGTCTATCGCCGTGATCCCGAAGAGCGAGTCCAAGTATCTCACGCTTGTTGCGATCACCTCGAGCGCCCTTCGTCTATACTTTTCGGCGTTGTCACTCTCGGTACGTCCCCCCCCCAGCGAGCCACTCACTCCACGGCTTCTAACATACATTGCCCCCACTCTCTATTAGGGCGATGCCGCGGCGATTCCCAGCCAGAGACCTACCAAGCTGGAGCTGATTCACATCCGCTTCCCGCCTGACCTGACCCATGAGTACGCGAACGCCCATCGCGATGAACTACGGCATGGCCTCTGAAAAATGAGTGCTACGGTTTCACTTCTCACTCGCCCTGCTACAGGTACACCAAGGTTACTGAGGCCGGCGGCCCACTGACCCCGGTACGCCCGGCCGCCTACGAGGCCGCGGCGAGGACTCCTCGTGCTGCCGGTCGGCCCTTCGGCTTCGATGTCGCCGCAAGGCGGCAGGCTGGCCCGCCTTACAACATAGACACCACCTACTATTCCCAGGTGCGTACCTCCCCCTTCCGTCGGAGCTGCCGCCCGTTCCGCTGATCGCTCGCCTCTCATCGTACGCGTGTCGTGTATTTGTCGTTCGCCAGGGCGTTGTGCTGCTTGGACAGTCGGTCGGGGAGAGAGACGAGGTGGTCGCCATCAAACAGACCATCGACCAACAGCCATCGGCCACACAGACGTACGCTCGCTTGCCGGCTTGCTCGCGACGCGAGAGTTTTTTTAACTCATTTATCAAGTTTGGTTTGGACCGCTGACCGTCATCACCTCCGCGCGTCCTCGTCCCATCATCGTGTGCAGTGGCGATTTGATCATCTCCCGGCCCTTGCTGCTGGAGAAGGCGACCAAAACCGAGGTGGCGGGCAAGATCTGGGCCATCGACGAAAAGCCCCCGGCCGTCTTTCTGGCGGAACGGTTGCGCCTCATTCCGACCCCTGCACCGGGCCTCACCCCAGAAGGTCAGCGATATCTCCTATCTATCTCTCTCTATCTCTACATATCTGACTTGTCCTCTCGGTGCTTGGCGTCCAGAACGCGGGGAGGAGCTGTCGCTGTGGTGCGACGAGACTGGTCAGTGGCCGATGCTGAGGATCGACCTGGCTGTGCAACACGCCTTGCCGCCTCGCCATTTCTTCTTCCTCACCAACACCGCCCTTCACACACTGGTGCGTGACCCAATTTGCCGGGCCATCATCCGCTCTTTATCGGTGCGCGTCTCGTGTGAGCTCATTCTCTTTTTCTTTTTCTGGCGCGCAGGTAATGGTCAGGCCGATCGACCAGCTTTACCGAATCCTGGCGGAGAGCGGTGGGCATCTCACGCACAGTATTGAGGTGCGTGAGGCATCGTCATCTCGAGCCTTTCAATTGAAAGGAGACAAGACCGCGCTAACCACAACTCTCTCCTTGTTAACGCATGCCCGCAGTCGTTTGAAATGTCGTACGGCTCGGTGGAGACTTGCGCGATGTACCTCATTCTCGCCACGGCCCCCAGGCAAAGGTGCGAATCAACGCCGAGCGCTCGTTTGGCGCAGTCCTAGCCGTACGCACACGCTCACGATGTGTAATTCATTCTCAATGACTTCGGTCGACCGAGCAGGAGCTTTTGGACCCTGGGCGTTCCGATCGATCCCACCGTTGCCTCCTACGCCACGCAGCTGTTTTTCAACCACCCCGAGCAGCCAGAACCGGTGTCCAGTATGTCCCCCTTCTCACTCACAGGCGCCTATGATGCTAATTATAATTATCATTATATAAATGATCCAAGATACTCATCTCCCTTTGACCTCGCTCTCTACGTGTGCAGCCTTTGTCGACCCGGTGATGGGGCAGCTCATCACGGACCAGCCCATCGTCAAGTTCTCCGGAAAGCACCGCGGCCTTTCTCTCTACCTGGCTCGTCTGCTCAAGCCGCTCTGGAACCGCCTCGTCCTGGACATCGGTGAGCAGGCCGAACGCACGCGCGCACGCTGGCCCATGCGTGTACGCTGCTAACCTCTTTCTTGACCAACAGACCGCATCAACCAGCTCGAGCTGGCCGATCTGAAGTCGATGCTGCTCGCACTGCAGCAGTTCCTCGAGGACCACCCCGCTTTCGCGCCCATTCCCGCCGACCTCCGTGCCGGCCGCAGAAAGGGTGAGGAGTTCCCTCCTTCTTACGCGGAGGGCGAAACCGTGTGTGTGTGTGTCGTGTGTGTCGTGTGTGTGTTGTCTCGTCTCACCGTGGCCATGGTACAAACAGGCATCGCCAGATTGGAGCGGGAGGACAGGATGGACGAAGAAGAGGCCATCCCAGGCGAGACCGCATACGCCAGGAAGGGGCTCGGCTACCAGGCCCGGTTTGCGGGCTTTGGGCAAGGTGAACCGGAGAAATCGGTACGCCCCCGCAAACAGTTAGCCCCGCGCAACTTCTTCTCTTTCTTCAAATTTTTGGAGACGCGTGTCGTGCTAAACATGGGCGTGTGCGCATCATATTTACGACCCTCACAGGCCCAGAGGCTTGAGACGGAGTCCATCTCCAACATGCACCTCATGCTGCGAAGGTCGATCGAGATGACCGAGTTCCTGCACATAGTCGGGGAGAACAAGTTCATCGGCGTCTTCTCGCTCCTTCCGCAGCTCTTGCAGGTCAGCTCCCCCATAGCCCCCATCACGCGATCGTGCTCTGTAATAGGAGGTGTATATGGGCATCGGTGGGGACGCGTCTACAACTGCGTGTTTGCGTTTGGCCTCTCTCTATATGCACAGGACCGGCTTCAGAGGATGAGGTTCAGCGATATGCTCACCACGAGCGAAGGGTTCGAACTCACGCGCGCTCTCATCGATGCCCTCATGAGCGCCTACAAGGACGGCAAGGGCGACCAGGTATGTACCCTACCTGATCAGCGCAGCAGCAACGCTTGATGATGATAAACAATCGAAGTGCTCGGCACTGTGTCCCTAACCGCCGCCGCCGCCGCCTGCTGCAGGCCTCCGTCGAAGCCATCAGCCAGAAGCTGCGCACGAGCTGCCCGACCATCTTCCGCGAGGAAGATCGCATTCGACACAAGGTTCTCCCCCCCCCTCAGGTGGCCCATCGTACGTGGCTCACGTTGCAGCTGTGTCTGTCACGATAGGCCGACGAGCTCCTGTACAAAGCCAAGCAGTCGCGCAACCCGCGCGAGAGGGAGGACCTGCTCGAACAGTCACTCGAGGTACCCTTTTGCCCCCCTTCCCCCGATTTGGCCGCACAGCGATCGCTCACCGCTGCGCACATCGTCTAATATTATTCACGGCGGCGTGAATAATACACCAGCTCTATCGAGCGGTCGCTGTCGACCTCGTCGGAGAGCCCAACCAAGATCATGCCAAGCTGCGCCACGTGTGCGAAAACTACCTCTACCTCCGCTTCTACGCGGGCGTCCTGAAGCTCGCCCTGGCCTGCGCCAAGGCTGCGGATCCGAAGGACTACGGGCTGGCCTGGTACAAGGACCACTACCCGCCGCTTGGCCAAGAGGCCGCCTCTTCGGACGACGACTCGGTCGGGGCCAAGGCCTACGAGACCCGGCTCGCGTGCTATCACTACGTGCTGAGTGCGATCGCCGAGCTCCTCCTCGCGCAGGCTCCTGCGTTCGAGTGCATCCCCTTCGAGGTTCGTCACTTTGTGTGGTGTGTGTGTGTGTGTGGTGTGTCCCACGTTCAAAAAAGCGAGAAGTTGGTGCTGAACGTTTTTGCGTGCTGCGTCTCATCTGCTACAGGAGCTCGAGCGTCGGCCCGCCGATGACGCTGAGACCGTCGACAAGCGTGCGCTCGTGTTGCAGATGGCTCTCCTCGACGAGGACGAGCTCTTCCACGAGATGCTGTACCGGTGGTTCATCTCGCCCGCGCACACGGTCGACCTTTCCAGCACCCTGCTCGGGGCCTGCATTCAGCTCGACTCGCCCTTCATCGAGGGTTTCCTCCTCAACACCAACTCGGCGTTGCTGCCCAACTACTACATCCGAAAGGGCCAGTACGAGAAGGTGCGCACACCACACCACCATCACCATCACCATCTGCCTTGTAGGGAAGTTCAGCACCTAACGTGTGTGTGTGTGTGTGTGGTGTGTGGTGTGTGTGTGGTGTGTAAATGTGCAGGCGGCCTTGGCCTACCAGGAAATGGCCTTCAACACGGAGGGGCTCGACCTGGAGCAGCGGATCGACTACTTGTCCAAGGCCAAGATCGCGGCCCAGAGCGCGGCTGGCCGCGGCGAGCTTTTGTCCCGGGTCAAGGTACGAGAGCTTCTCACGCACACCCTCCCCTGGGTGGCTCTCTCTCTCTCTGTGTGTGTGTGTGTGTGTGTGTGTGTGGGTGTGTGTGGGTGTGTGTGTGTGTGTGTGAGAGAGAGAGAGAGAGTACTTTTCTGACCTCCCCACCACCGCCGCCATCACCACATTATAATGTGTGCAGGATGCGCTGGACATTGCGCAGGTGCAAAGCAAGGTGCTGCAGGAGCTCGACGTGCTGCCTGCTGCTCGTGCCAGTACGCCTTTTCCTCACTCGCTGGAGACTCTCTCCCTCTCGCTCTCCAGAGACAGGCCTCGTTTTTAATGCATTACAATGCAATGATGCTAATTCGTCAATTGGCGTCGGCTTCTGTAGTTACCCCCGATGAAAAGGAGAAGCGAATCCGAGGCCGCGAAGAGCTCAGGTTTGACGGCTTGAAGGACATCAACACGGTACGTCCCTCCTCGACCCCAGCCCGCTGATGTTGTGTGTGTGTAGTGGTGTAGTCCATGGATGATCCACCAGAGTGTGTGTTGTGTCTCACTCCATCCACCGACTGGTTGTGTTCCTATTGTTGTTGCTGCTGCTGCAGTTGTACAACGTGTACATCAGCCCCTTGGGCTTGTGGGAGTCGGGGCTTTATGCGTTCAAGGTGTCGTCTCACGTCGATGAGGCTTTGACGAAGCGCTTCTGGCGCAGCATTGTCAACGAGGGTACACCACCCCGACGCACTATTTTTGTTATTTTTATTTTTATTATTTGTATTAGTGGCGAGCTCACAATTGACGCGTGCGGTGCAGAGCTCCACAAGATGCAAGCGACAGGGCTCAATCTCGAGTCGCTCCGAGGCAAGATCGTCTCTCTCGGGCAGGCCTTGGAAAGAGACGAAAACGTATTCCCCGTGGGTACGCATATCCCCTCTCCCCCCCAATCTACTCAACAAAACTCTCTCGTTCGCTTGCGTGCGTGGTATAAACGTGTTAACTAACACATGCCGTCGTCCTCTCGTCTTCGTTATGGTGCAGAATGGATCTGTGGCTACCTGGAGGTCATGATGGGCAACGATCTCAGGCAGTACGCCGACAACGACTACGGGTTCGTCGGGCCCTCCCTCCACCCTTTCTCTCAACCTCCTTTGGGGCCAAGTGGGCTGATCGGTGCGCGGTGGTGGTGGTGGTGGTTTGCAGGTGGGTGCCGCGGGTGATGAAGGAGGTCGGGTTCGGGCTGCCGGTCCTGTTCGAAATCTACCACAACGCGCTGTACGAGGAGAACAACCCCGACTGGGCCGAGTTCGCATCGCGGGTTGGCAGGCCGACGGCCAAGCTCGAGGCCCTCAAGGTGCAGCACTGGATCGTGTCCGAATGGATGCAGGTACCCTACCGATCATCTCCCCCCTCCACCCCCCCCCCTCCACCCCCCTCCTCCTTACCCCGTGGTGGTGGCGGCGGTGGATGGGACAACAGGACCTCAACAACGCGAGGGACGCGCAGAGGAGGCTTCTCGTCGCTGCGGCCACCGCCTCTGGTGTCGAGGAGCGCCTCGGCGAGTATATCCGGGTACGCTACGTTTGCACCACCCTTTATCATTTATGTTATATCGTGTGCTGCACGCGCAACGCAATTGCCCGCAGGCCTATCTCTCTCTTTTACATCTCACATGCCCCGTTCTTCCGTCTTATGACTGTGTCGTGCAACGTGCAGGCGTTGGCCAACCAAAGGAGCGAGGACGCGCGCAAGCTCTCGCAATCTTTTGTCGACCTGCAAACGCTGCTGGTGCGGCTCACCTACCACCGCGGCCTGTAAGGCCCAGAAGAAGAGAAGAAGCGAAGGAGGACCGGCAACGACGACGACGAAGCAGAAGAAGAGAAGGAGCCCAAGGCTGACGAAAAGCCCCACGGGGCAAAAAAACACCAACACCTTATTTTAATTCCGCCCGAGAAGTGCTTCGCGCCGTCTGCTGCGCCTCGTCGCCTCGCTCGCTGCCGTCGCCCGCGCGGGTGACGATCACCGTCGGCGACGGGTGTGCGAAAGAGGAGGGCAGCGACGGAGATGGCGTTGCGGCGAGTGGCGGAGAGCTCGCCACGGCGCCGGCCAGCTCCTCCTTCTCAGCGCGGTTGGCACACGACTCAGCTCGCGCGACGAGAGAGGAATGCCTTTTATTTCAGTTGCAACTGTGTTTTGTCGTGTGTCGGGCTGATGACAGCGCAGGCCTGCCACTTCAGTCTTCTCCTTGCGCGGAAGCAACGCGGGTGAGCATCGTGACCGGTCGCACAGTGGCCCGCCGCCGCTGTGCCACCGACGTGGCCAGATCCGCAGCCGCGTCGGCGTGGGAGAGGAACTCGGCGGCGCCCAGGCTGTCGCGCAGGAAGCTCTCGTTCTGAACGATGGCCATCTTCACCTCGCCCGCCAGCGTCTTGAGCGCGGCCTCGACGTCGCCCATGGCCGCCGCCGCCGCCGCGTCGGCAGCCACCACGCCGGCGAGGTCGTCCTCGCTGCCCTCGCCCTCCCAGCTGTCCTCGGGCGTCAGTGGTGGTGGCGGGTGCGACGTCTCCCGCCCGACCACTCCCGCCGCCGCCGCCCTATGCCGCGTGGTCGCCCGCGATCCTCGCCCCTTCAAAAACTGTGAGGTCGACAGGTGGTGGCAGTGGTGGTGAGCCTCGCGCAGGGAGAACACTGTGTGGTGCACCACTGTAGGCGTGTGCAGTGCAGTGCAGTGCAGTACCTTCTTGCCCGACACGATCGTCTCGACGGACAGCTTGCGATGCGTGCGACCCCAACGAGGCGACACATCACTTCCGCCCTCGTCTGTGGCGTGTGTGCCGCGTGGCGTGCAAGAGTTGAATGAATGAATGAATGAATTGGGGGGGGGAGGAGTGGAGTGGCGTACCGGCCGGGGCAAGGTGCCCCACGTCACCGTCGCTGTGTTCGCGCGGCGGCAGCTGGTGCTCGCGCCGCCGCACCACGGCGGCGGAGCGGGTCGGGATCGCTCCGGCGCTCGTGCTCGTGCCCCACACACCGGCCGGCGGCGAGCCCGAGCGCGTGGGGGACGAGCTCGGCGTGGGCAGCGAGTGCGGCGAGCCCGTGTAGATCGGGTTGAACGAGATCTTCAGCTCCGCCGGCGCCTGTGGCGGCGAAGAGGCCGTGGTCGCCAGGCTCGCGTTGGAGATGAGCGCCGCCGAGGCCGAGGCTGGCGAGGTGAGATAGGGCGAGGGCGTGAAGCTGGAGCTGGCGCCCGCGGCGTTGGCGCTGGTCATGGGGCCGCCGCCGGTGGTGCGGGAGAACTTGGACATGAAGTTGGCGGCCGACCGCTGGAGCACCTTCATGCTCCGAATGGTGCCCGCCGAGTTGGCGCTCCCCAGCGGCGATGGCGCGTGCGACGGCGACCCAGCGTGGTGGTGGTGTCCGCTGTGTCCGCTTCCCAACGGCGACACTGCAACCGCACACACCGCACACGCACCGCACACACGGACACGAGGATAGGGGTGAGTGAGCGATCGGGAGGGGGGTGGAAGGAAGCGACAAAGGGGGGAGGGTCGCTAGGTACGGGGGCGGGAGGGCGGGGCCTCGAGTTCCTTGAGGAACGGGTTCACGGAGAGGAAGAGCAGGAGCGGGTGGCGCTGGATGGTCGCCCGGAAATCCTTGAACGTGATCTCCGACGCCTGCGAAACAAACATCTGTGGTTTTACACGACACACACGACATACACGCACATGAAACGACACGTCAGATTGTGGGCGTTCTGTGGGGAGTGGGGAGGGGAGGGGCCGACCTTGCGCTGGACCTCCTTGTCGTAGGAGTTCTGGTAGTACATGCGGTACATCGCACGCAGCATGGCCAGCATGCTCTCCTCCGATATCCGCCCATCCCCGTCGCTGTACAACTCGAACATCACTACACGCATTCATCCCATACGACACACGACACGACGCACGACACACATGACACGCACGACACACACACGACGAGGCTTTGAGTGTTGAAATGCAAACTTGACTGTGTCCAAGAAGGGGATGTGCGATTGATTGGGTACTCTGTAGTTTGTCGGTGGGGCTGCCGTTGAGCAGAAGGCAGCACGCCAGGATCACGTCTCGCAGGTCTGCCCGCTGCTCGCCGTCACTGTACCTGTTGGCGTACGGGTATGCGTGCGGTGCGTGCGGTGCGTGCGGTTCACAGAATTGAATTTAGTGAACGAACGAACGAACGAGTGAATGGGCAGAAGAGAGGAGAGAGGGCAGGCGCACAAGTCTTCGTCGTTCTGGTAGGTGCGGGTGGCTAGCACGAACAGCGAGTGGAGGAGCTGCCCGCTCTCCTCGATGTGCCACCGGGGCGCCACCTTCATCACCATCTGCGCCCCACCTTGTGTCAAACACACGCACGACACACGACACACCGCACGACACACGACACACCAACGCGAGGTGAAGGGCGAGTGCGCACTTCGATGAACATGGGCGGGGTGACGTCGGCGAGGCCCAGCTTCTTGAAGGACCGCCGGGCGTGCTGCAAGAGGAGCGTGTAGATCTCGTCCACCTCCTCCCGTTCGACTGTTTCGCCCGCGATAGATACGATGACGATGACGATGACGACGACCAAAGACCAACCAACGACAGCGTTGTGTTAGCTTCGCGAGATCATTAGGCCCTTCTTCTTCGTTCTTCTTCGTTCTTCTTCTATTTGGGACGGGCGTAGGCGTACACCAAATTTTGGTCTGGATGGCGAAGAGGTTGATGGGCTTGGCGCCCTCGCTCTCCACGCTCTCTCGCACCTGCCGGACATGTGCGTTAAGCCTCGGAACCCGCGCGTGTCGCGTGTCGTGTCGCGTGTGCCGTGTGTTTGAGGAGAGGGAGGGGGTACGGAGCGTTCGTAGTGGATGATGTGGTAGTAGTACAATCGCAGCTGCTCGATCCGCCCGGTCAGCTCCGTGGTGCCCTTGAGGGCCAGCTTGACGAGGCCGCGGCAGTCGAAAAGGTTGGCCGTGGCGTGGCCCAGGTAGAGCGTGATGTCCGCCGCGTCGCGCAGCTCCAGCAACTCCTGCACACATGAAGGGACGCGCGCGTGAGATCGCATCTCACCAATAACCAATAACTAATAACTAATAACTAATAACTAATAACAACGAAATAAATAAAAATAAAAATAAAAAGGTTTGTGGGTGAAGCGAGGGGGTACCTCTTCGAAGAGCTTGAAGATGGCGAGGGCGATGAGCAGCAGGATTTCGCTGCCGTCATAGAGGAACACGTCCCACAGCCGCATGTCCGTCTGCCACGCAAAAGAGTGGTTTATACATTGGCATGTGAGCGCAGTTAGGCACCCCAATATCGACCATCAACGAAGGAATGAACCAAGCTTAGCTCCTTGGACGAAGAAGAAGAAGATGAAGGGGGTATGTGGATATGAGTACCTCCTTGGGGAGGGTGGTGGTGTAGGCGCACATGAACCAGCGCGTGGTGATGACCTCCATGGGGAACCCCATCTCCTCCAGATGCGCCGCCAGCCTCGGCGACTGTGAATGCGTCACGATTTGTGTAGTCAACCCCGCGGGGCCAGTTAGCAGCGCAGCGCAGACCATTATTGGTTTCTTTCTATCAGTCTCCCCCCCAAAAAAAAACGAAGACGAAGACGAAGACGAAGGAGGAGCAACGCGTGAGTACCCGTTGGTAGAGCAGATTGCGGAACACGTACTGGTCGATGATGGAGCCCGTCATGTCTGCGCACATTGACACGACACGCACACGGTGGTGTCATTACACACGGCGCCACAGAGGAATGTGTGTCGTGTGTCGTGTGTCGTGTGTGTGTGTGTGTGTGTGTGAAGGTACCCTTGGAGAAGTAGGCCGGGAGAAGGTCCTCCACGAGGTTGCAGAGGGTCCAGAAGCTCCGCTCCTCGTCCATCCACCCTAGCAGGAACCCCGCCACAAAATTCATGCCTGAACACCCGCCGCCCCACTTTTCGATCAGACCACACCGCACACCACATGACACACGACACAGAGCGACCGACCGACCGATCGTAATGCTGGAGGAGGTGGTGGGTGGGGCTATGGGCACGCTGGTACGTGCCTTGGCAGTAGCCGACTTTGGGGTTGTGGATGGAGTAGGCCGTGAGGATGTTGTGGAGCCGCTGCTGGCCCGCCTCCGACGAGAAGAACGGATGCCCTGGGTACGTCCGGTGCACGTCCTGCGTGTGTGTACGTACGTGCGTGTGCGCCCAATCCGATACTGTTAGCTCACCACCCCCACCCAGAGCGCACTGTGGAAGGTGTGTCGTGTGTCGTGTGTCGTGTGTCGTGTGTCGTGTGTCGTGTGTCGTGTGTGTGTGGTTCTGTGTGTGGTTCTGTGTGTGGTTGTGCGGGTGCGTGCGAACCTTGTCGATGTAGCACTTGTAGGCGGAGCTCTGTTGCAGAAGATGGGCGTAGTAATGTCGCACGCGCACCGAGTTCATGGGCGCGCAAGACAGCTGGTACCACATCTGTTGTTGTGCCAGGAAAACAATACACAACATACGCAATTGTTTACAACAACAAACAACAAGCACGCGCACGTTAGCGAGCATTGAGGCGGCGGCTCATAAGAGAAGGGAACGTGCCTCGGAGCGGTACGATGGAGGGATGCCCTTGCGCAGCAGTCGACGCAATTGGCGCGAATTGGAGCCCAGTTCGCGCGCCAGCTGGATCTGCCCCAGGTACCTCTGCCACCGACGCTTTTGCACCACCCTAATGTGACAAGACACAGGACGGGCGCACACGCCGCACACGACACGACACGACACGACACGCACACAACACACACACAACACGGTCATTATCTGCTAAAGGAGTGTCCGGATGTCAGCTGCCACTGCAGTGGGGGTGCATACCGATCGTGTTTGTCGTATTTCTTGTGCCACTCGGAGTAGGCCTCGGTGCACTTGCGCTCGAGGTCGAATCCGTACTCGTCCCGCCCCGCCGCACTCGATTGCGCGTCCTCCTCCCTGCATCACGCACGACACACACACGACACGCAACAATGACACGCGACGCGACACGACACACATAACACGACACACGGCAGAGATTGCGGTTAAGTTGGCTGATCACCAACCATTAAATGTGGCGTCGGCAGAAAAACGTTTGGGTGCTGACGTACCCAAACTCGGAAGCGGCGTAGGCTCCCGTTCGTCCCTCCATCTGTGCGAGGCTGGTCGGGTGCGACTCCTGGAGGATGTCGTCGCCGCGCATGGCTCGCCACAGGGACTCGAGCAGCGAGAAGCAGTCGTCCCGGTTGTAGAACGAGGTGAAAAAATACTGCGCAGTAAAAACCACACGACGCACACCGCACACGACACACCGCACACGACACACGACACACGCGTGTCAGTGAAGGGATCGCAGCAGCTTGTGAGGGGAGAATCAAGTAGCGTACGCGTTTTCGCTCTGTGGTGGTGATCTGGATGGAGTTGGGAATGCAGCTCATGAAGCACCGCCGCTCCATGACGTCCACCTTGCGCAACGGAATCACCACCTGCCCATACACACACACATCAATCATTTGCGTTGTTGTCGCGCGTACGGTCGTGTGCGGTTGCTGTGTGTGTGTCGTGTGTGTGTGTGTCGTGTGTGTGTGTGTGTGTGTGTGCGTGTGTGTTCGCGCGCGTACCTTGACAGAGTAGGGGTAGGAGAGCGGGTGGAAGCAGAGGAATTTGCAGGAAATGTACAGGCGGCCGGAGAAAAGGATGCGGTCCTCGCGCTCCTCCTCGTGTTCGGACGACGTCTTGTCGGGCTTCGGCGACTTCTTGGCCGACGGCGGGGTGGAGCCCAGCAGGATGTCCGCGTCGTCGGCCGCGTCGTTGCCCTCGCCCGCCTGGGCGGCATCCGCTTGACCCGCTCGCCGCACCATCTTGGTGAACTTCCTGTGTGTCGTCTCAAAGGCACACGAATAGTCTACGCAGATCGCACGCGACACGACACCACACACACACACACACACACACGCACACACACGCACAAGTCAGGACGCATGCCGCGCGGCGGAATGCAGCGCAGCGAGGGACACGCGAGTAACGTACAGTCGATGAGCCGCTCGCCGGTGGGAAGGCCGAAGACGTGGTGCAGGAAGAGCGGTTCGGTGATGTCGAAGCACGAGTCGTCCAGGGCCTCGTCGTCTTCGTCGTCGTCGTTGCCGTTGTTGTGGTGGTCGCCGTCCAGCTCGTCCCACTCCTCACCCACGCTATCCGCCGCTGGGTGCTGCTGCTGCAGCGCGTGCGGGCTGCCCTCGGCCGAGGGCGGCGAGCCCTGCCTGTGGCTGCGGCGCAGGCCCGACCCGCTCTCGCCGCTCGCGAGCGTCGTCGCGCAGCTGGGCTTGGTGCCCAGGCACAGGCGCGCCGCGGGTCGTCGCCGGGCGGTGAGCGAGCGCGAGTGGCTGCGCTTGGGCTTCACCCGCTTCCACGTCCCGCTCTCGCACGCGTCGTTGGCCCCGTCGCTGCCGCCCACCGGACCCGACGCCGTCGCCCGGAGGAGGAGGCCGCCGCCAATGCTGCCGCTGCCACCGCCGGTCGACGTGGCGTCACCCGATTGGCCGCAGCCGACGGTCGGCTTCCGCCGGGTGAAGCGCTTGTACTCCACCACCGAGTCGTCCTGGCTCACCAGCAGCACGCCGCGCCTCGACATCATGCCACTTCCGCCGCCTCCATAGCGTCGGCTGTGGGTGTTGCCGTTGCGGCTGCCATTGTCGACGCCGGGCGTGAAAGAGGCCGACGTGACCGGCGACGTGATGGAGAGGAGCCACGAATTGCGGCCGAAGGCGTCGGTCGTGTGGAGCGGCGGTCGCTTCGCGCTGCGGGCTTTAAATTTCTTGCTGCTGCTGCTGCTGTTGCCGTTGGTTCGCGCCGGCGCGCCCGTGATGGACGTAGCGGCGGTCGTGATGGTGATGGAGGTGGACGACGATGTAGAAGAGGAGGGGATCAGCACGAACCCGTCGACAATGACGTGTTCGTCCGGCCCAGAGGAAGAAGAAGAGATGGAAGACGGCGATAGGGAAAATGAAGTGGATGAAGAAGAGGAAGAAGACGATGAAGTGGGGAGGTGCGAGCGAAGCAGGGAGAGGACGCTCATCTTCTTCTCGCGCTCGAGATCGTGGCCCAGACGCCAGCCGACGGCGGCCTGCTTCCGTTTGGTCTCCTGCCGCGCGGCCTCCTCCTTGACCGTGCCCTTCTGCCAGCCCATCGAATCCATCCTACATTTTTAATTCGGGATCGCACACAACGATACACCGACACGACACACGACACACGACACACGACACACGACACACGACACGGCACGACACGTTAGGCCGACCTGTGGAATGAAGGGAGACGCGTGGGATCGGGGAGCAATGAATGATTTGTACTTCTTGGGGGAGGACGGGGAGAAGTTGGCGGCGGCGCGGAGCTGGGCCTCCTGAAGCACGCCCGTCATGAGCTCGAACACCTCCTCGAACTTCTCTGTGAAGTGGCCCAACCGAATCTGTTCACACCACGCACGCACGCGTCACAACAGTTGGTATCGACGCACAATCGCACACGACACACACACGACACGCACATGACACACACGACACGCAGCGCGTTGCATAGGAGAGAGAACCGTTTGGTCGTCGAGGGTGATCAGCCGGATGGCTGGTGGTGCGACGTCCTTGAGTACGCGCAGCATGCTCTCGAAGGTCAACTCCATCTGGGGAGCGTGTAGCACGAACAAGCGATCAGCATTATAATGGTCCAGCTTGTGGAATGGGGAACGCGCGAGGGAGAGACGTGGTGGGCTAAGGGGAAACCTTGAGGTCGAGCGAGGCCGGCGGAGAGTAGAAATAGATGCGTCGTTGCGAGATGAAGAGACGGCCTTCCATCGCTTCCCCTGCGTCTACTCCCTCCTCTGTTCCCTCCTCCCACATGCTACACCCCGCCACTGCGCCACAAAGAAAGAGTAAATAAATATTAATATTAGGATTATTATGATGTATTATTTGATATAAATTCATGAAGTAGAGGAAAGGGGATTCATGCAGTAGAGAGGAAGAATTTGAAAAGATGGATTTTTCGAGGAAGATGATGCACCGAAGTGCTTAAGAGGAGATTCCTTTGGAGGAGGGGGATGTACTCAAGAGGACGGTGTCGTCGGAGGTGTGGCTGCGCGCGCCGAGGGGGCCTCCCGCGATGTAGCGCGTGCCCTCGCGCCATGCGCCCTCCCTCTCTACTTCGCCTCCCTCGTCCTCTTCAAATCCTCCATTGCAGCCCTTCCTCCGCAGCAGCCGCGCCACCGCTGCCGTGGTGCTGCCCCGGCGCGGCCTCGTCTTGACGGGCGGCGTCGCCATAGATTTATGTATAGAATTATATCTCTATATTTCTATATCTCTCTCTCTTGCTTCGCTCTTTTCTCCTTCCGCTCTCGGGTTCTCCTTCCTCGCGTGAGCTGGTGCTCCTTCTCTCTTTCCGCCAGTTATTTATGCGGACAAATAATTGCTGTTAATTATGAGATAAAAATACAGAAATAATAGTGTGATGATGTGCGGCCTCCTTTCGTGAGTCTGTCAGATGAAGAGGGTACACCGCCACCCGCCTCGATCGACGCTCGTGCGTCTTTTCTTTTGCCAGGAGAGAAAGAGAAAGAAGTCACGACAGCCGAATCGCCCAATAGGCGTACAATGATGAGCGGGAATCGCCGACGCGGAAACCTTCTTGCTCCCCTCGACAAAGGAGAAGGAGAGTATATTTAACAAAGGGGCGCTGCTTATTGTGGCGATCCTGACGTGACAAAGAGAGAACATTGTGATGCTCAGTACGGCACACCACTCACTCCATGGCCATGTAGTCGACGCTGTAGGGGTGGGGCGCTCCGCCACCGGCGGGCACCTGGTACCCCTGGCGGGTGTTGACGCGCTTGTTGGGACACTGCATGCGTGGGTGACGGGCGAGAGTGAGTGGAATGCGCACAGATCACCTCATGATTCCCCAGGGTGAGTAGAGAGACCTTGTTGGCGTACACTTGAAGCAGGTCAGCAATTTGAGTGGATAGGGAGCACTGCGCTGTGGGTCCAACAACAACAATGTAAGAGGTGAGGCAGTGATGGATAAAGGAGTGAGGAGATGAAGAAGTGGTTGGGGAAGTGAAGTTGAAGCTGGCTGATGCTCCACATGTTAACTGACTTGGAAGATGTGCCACCATCAGTCCAGATCTGGATTGTTGATGCTGATGAAGTAGTTGTGAGTCATCAGATCCTGCCAGACTCCTGCAATGCAGTTGATATTGCTGCTGATATTCTTCTTGCCAATGTAGTCCAGGTAATGGTGATGGGGTCCATCTGGTGCTTTGCTGTGGGTGTAGATTATGAGGACCTGATCCAAGTTCTCTCAGTTTTTCTCCTTGTGCTCCTGGTAGACCTTAGTCCTGATTGTGCTTGAAGATCCAAAAACAAGAGAATAAAAACCTTCTCCACTCTCCCACTTAACACTTCTAAGGAACACTGTGTCCAGAAAAAGGTGCCAGTGGGACCTTTTGTAAAGTAAAATCTGTACAAGTGATATATGTGTATGTGCAGCAAAAGCAGTACTTTTGTGAACATGGTGTGTGAGTGGTTTTGGCAAAATATGTACAGAGTGTGGCAAAACAGGGAAAAATGGTGTAGGTCATGGTAAAAGCAGATGGGGGCAATGAAGAATTTCAAGGCATAAGTGTAAAAAAGGGCTAATGTATTTTGTTGAAATGAGGAACAGAAAAGAGTGGAGGGCAACATTAGCCAATGGACTTCCACACTTTCTGTGGACTGGAAGAGGAGGAGGAGCTGGTCTTGGGTGTGAGAGGGGCAAGGGCAGGATGTGAAGTTAGGCCTTGTAGGAAGGAAGTGATGGCTGTGAGATCTGACTCCTCCAGGAATTTAGAGTGGAAGGTGAGGAGCCAGTTGGTGAGAGAGGAGATGTTGCCCTCTGCTATGGGGGTAGAGGAGAGGCAGACAAAGCTGGAGTAAAGGGCAGCACAGAAGGAGAGGTAGTAGGTGGGATTTGCCTCATAGAGAATGTGGTAGGGAGTGGTGGGCGATGTGATGGGGTGGGGAGAAGGATTGGGAAGCTCTAAGCTCTGGATGAGGAAGCTGTAGAGGCTGATGTGAAGCAGGGTGTGGTCTGATGATTGAGCAGTGAGGAAAGCAGGAGCAGAGCAGACAACCTCACGCATTGGGATGGGGATGTGGTGCAGATAGCAGAAGGGTTCAGGGATGGTGTCACTGGCCAGAGGATGCCAGATGGCAGACATGTTAACCCTCTTGTGGCTGAAGATGAGAACATCAAAGCCACTGATGAGAGGTTTGGAGGCAGGCATGGAGCTGGAGTAAGTTGGGGAGCTGTAGTAGAAGTGGAGTAGGTGGAAGACCTGGAGGGTGGAGTGTGACTTGAGTGAGGTGATGGCATTGGTGATGTTGGAGGGAGATGAGGAGATGCAGAATCTGACGCTGTAAGACTTTGATAGGTGAGTTGCTGTGTCCTCAATGTTGAGAGGAATGTCCACACTGTGGATGGTAAAGTTGTGCAGGTAGATTGACACCTGTGGAAGAAAAAAACCAGTGGACATCAGGAAATAAGTGAAATTAGAAAAACCAATGTGCATTGGGGAAAAGAGTCAACAAATAAAAACCTGATGCACATTGGGAAAAGTGTCAACAAATAAAAAACCAATGTGCATCAGGAAAACAATGCAGGATGATAAATGCACCAGCCATTCATGGAATTGTGTTGGTTGGCCAAGAAGGTTGGTGAGTGGCTCAGTGAATTGGGGGAGATACTTTTTCTGGAGAGCAAGCTCTGCCTTGTGCTTGATGGTAGATGGCAACTTTTCCTCTTCAGCCTTACCCTTGCCACGTTTCTTGGTAGCTGTAAAGAACAAGCATGTGGTGAGCTTGGAACTTTACCAGCAAAATGCAAACATACTGGTTGGGGTGGTTGGAGTGGTGCCAGTGGCAGTGGGTACTGTGGGCTGAAGTCAGATAAAAGTGGTGTAAGTGAAAGTAATGGGGTGTGAATTGGAACAGGAAGGAGTTGATTTGTACCATTTTCCCCTGGGCCAACGCAGAGAGACGCCAGTGCTGTTTGCTTATGGATGTTGAGGCAAGGGAGGCCTCCTCTGCTTGAGAGGCTGCGGTGGCATGTGTGATCTCCCTTTGTAACTGGCGAGGAGAGGTCTCCACTGCCTCATCACTGAGAAGTTTTGACTGGAATGGGTGCTTGTGGAATGTGTTGACAACTTTGGAGGTGATGCTGTGAGGCTGCTTGATCTTGATGTTTTTACCACACAGTGCAATGTATTCTGCAACACAGATCCAGTCCCAGATGTGGCAAAGCTCCTCAGGATCTTCACAGCAGCTGCATGAATGGCCTGACAAAAGGCCTCCATCTGCCTTTTGATCATGCTCCAGTGGTTGGTGATTAGCAACCAGAAGTTCTCAGGCAAGAGGGAAGTAGTTAGACTTGTTGGGTGAATAACAATTACTAAAAAGAAAGGACATACTCTTGGAAGGGGCTTGGTGTTGATAGCACTTATAATGGCAAAGCACAGCAATCATGTCATTGGCACTCAATTCCCTGAAGGCACCAGAGTTGAGGTTGTCAAGGGAGATGAACACCTGACCCTCTGGAACAAGGCAATTGAGTTCCTTGATAAGACTGGAAAAGGGGAACAGTTAGTGAGGACTCAAAACAAACATGACAAGTTAGAGTAGAAATAACATACTCCACCACTCCTGGAGCATTGAACAGGGCCCTTAAGGTAGTTGAGTACTTCTGTAGAGTGGTGGGCTTTGGTGCAGCATGACCTTTGAGCGTTTTCTGTGAGGTGTGGGGTGATGAGTAATGGTTTGGAATATGAAGGTGGTGGACATACCAGGTGCTCAGCAAGAGCATTGTAGTCAGTAACAGTTTTTTTGCCACGCATGATCTGTGCCAAGGGTGTAGTAGTTCAGGGCTGTCTCAAAAGCATTCAGGACAACTAAGCCTGCCAAGTTGATGTAGTTCTCAAAGCCAGAGATGCAGTCAAGGATGATCCAGCTGAGTGCCATCCCTGCAGCTGCTGGCAGAACTTTGTAGACATTCTCCCACTGCCAGTGCTCAATGAGGTTCCAGACCACAACTCTGTGGTTACAATCAACAGCCTCTGGAAGGTTAAAAGTTAGTACCCAAAAAAACCAATGCACATCAGGAATTGCAAATAGCCTAAAAACTGAATAGCCATGGGTGCAGCTAAAACAAAGTGGTGTGGGAAGTAATACCAAACTCATCAACATTGTTTCAGTCAAGGCGCTCATCTTCATTGAGAAATCTAACAATGAAGGGCTTGGTTGTGAGACACCCTCCATCCACAACAGACTGCAGCAAGTGACAAATTCCTGGAACTGTCACTGGGCAATGCCATTCTGATGGCAGTGCAGGTGGTTAGCAAGTGAAAGCATCAACACAGCAGCAGAACAAAAAGAGGAGTTGTACCAAAGATGGTGCAGTTCCAAACATCAATGTGGCATGATGTGGGTTGAACCCAGGTATGGTGCAAAGTTGAAGGGTCTATGCAATCAAGCTGCTCCTTCTGCTGGCGCATTGCTTGGTCATTGCAGGTCACCTGAAGGCTGGTGCTGATGATGTTGGGGTTGGACTGAAGTGATTGGAAATTCAGGAGTGTATGAATTTTCGTTTCTGCATAGTAAGGTTGAGGTCAGCAACACAAAAGATGATTTTCACAGGTCAAATAGAAAACCCAATGCACATCAGGAAACAAGTCAACAAATAGAAAACCCAATGCACATCAGGGAAAAGAGTCAACAAATAAAAACCCAATGCACATCAGGAAAAGAGTCAACAAATAAAAAAACCCAATGCACATTGGGAAAAGAGTCCACAAATAAAAAAACCAATGCACATCAGTTTGGAACTTGTCAGTGTGGTGAACAGTAAACACACACAAAGTGTACATACCAAGCTCCAGGTCAGGCAGGGCAAGTAGTCTGGTGGCCTCCTTGCATTGCTCTTCAGTGTTGCCTTCAGAGTACTGGCACACCACCAGCTGCTTGTGAGGCTTGGTCATGATCTCCTCTGCCTCCATCTCCTTGTCCAGGTCAATCACCACTGGGCATGCACATTTCCTCTCCTTGTGCTCTTTCTCTATGAGCTTGCACTTCCTTGGCAGTGCTTGGTGCTCCTCCTCCTCCAGCTTCTCCTCCTCCTCTAGCTCCTTCTCTGCCTCCAACTCCTCCTCCCACTCCTCCTCCAGCACTTCCTCTCCCTTCTCCTCCTTTTTTCTCCTCCTCCACTATCTCCTCCTCCAGCTCCACCCCCTTCTCCTCCTCCACTTGCTCCTCCCCATGCTTCTCCTCCTCCTCCTCCAGCTCCTTCTCCTGCTCTTCCTCCTTATCCTCCATCTGCTCCTCCTCCTCTTCCTCTTCCACATCCATTGGCTCTTTCACTCCCTCCTCTGCTGTCATTGGCATACACTGCATTAGCAGTTTGAGAGACTGCTGCTTTGTGCAGCCAGTGTCTTGGCCCCATGCCTGCAGCAACCTGTTGATGTACACCTTGGTGATAACCTTGGTGCCAGGTTGCTGGTGGACCTTCACCAGGGCATTATGGGAGCTTGCTAGAAGCTTTGGTGGCTGACAGGGCTGAGAAGTTGGGAAGGACTGAGGCAGCTTGGTGAGAAGACATTGTAAGGAAGTGTGTGTTGAATGTGGGTGGTACAACAAAATGATCAAAACAGGTTTTTCGACATTTGAGAGGTAGTGAAGGTCTACAAAAAATCTGTCTGCATTAAATTCTAATTGGAGGGACTGGAAACAGGTGGCGAAATTTCATGTGGTCTGGAGAGCTTTGAGATCTTCCTGATGTGCATCAGGTTTTTTATTTGTTGACTTGCTACCCAATGCACATCAGGTTTTTTATTTGTTGACTATTTTCCTGATGTGCATTGGTTTTAATTTGTTGTCCTGTTTCCTAATGCGCATTGGGGAAAAGAGTCAACAAATAAAAAACCTGATGCGCATTGGGTTTTTTAATTTTCCAGTATTTTCCTCAACTCCACTGTTGTGAGCTCATTGGTCTGGAGTTCCAAGAAACACAAATGTTCGCCAATCCAGAAGAACCACATCTATCTGTTATGTGGCTGTTGGGAATCAGAGATATCACACCAGATGTTGAAATACCTCACCAGTGTCATACAGTCATTCTCCACCACAATGAGCCACTCTCTCCCCACCAACACTGAGGTCCTCGCCTCTACCCTACTATCCCCAATCTTTGGCCAGTCCTTATGAGCCACAGCTCATACTCCAAGGAAGAGAGTTCTCCAAACTGCTGAAGAGTGAATCCCCAAAAAGTGTTGCCTGCTTGTCAGCAATGACCACATCAATACTGTTCTTGCATCATTCTGTTGTCGCAAGAAATGCCTTGATAACTTCTCTTTTGCTGACATTCTCAACATCACACAACCCTTTGCAGATCTCAATGAACACAATTGCACCACCTTCATCATCAACATCATGTCAGCCAGCTGTGTCTCAACACTACCTGAGTGCCACTTCAAGTTGTGACTCAATGGTTCTCCAGTGTGTTTGAATGCTTTCCAAAAGGTGACAACCCTTTTTATTGTGGCCTTACATTTGTTATCCCACCTCACATTGCTGCTCTACAAGGTGCATGGTTTCAGCAGGAAGAAGTGGCATTCTGCTAAACAGATATTCATTTCTGGAGGGCGTGTCCCAATACACAACACCACTGGACAGCAACACCCCTCAAATGCCACCTCCAATACCCACTTATGGCTAACCACTTTCTTTGATGTTATTGGAGATCGCCTTCCTGATGCCACCATCCACTTACCTATTTCTTTGACTTGGTGAGAAGTGCACTCTATGTGTGCCAATGCTCATCCCTCTACTGTTCCTGTGCTCACCTATTCTGCTATGCTCAAACACATTGCTTCCCACTTTGCCTATGTGAAGTTGCCTAAGAACTCACACCTTGGCAAGTGCTCTGCTTGCATTGACTTTGCACAGCAACGCTTGAGAGCCAAAAGCCCTCTTGAGGCAGCACAGTTTGCAAGTGCATGGACTCACCACCTTGCTCTTTCTTCTGCAGAACGCCTCAGTTACAAGGACTGATGCCACCAAGCAACAAGTTGACCAAGTCTTTACATGAGCCTGATCATTGACTACTCCAACCCACTCCCTCTCCCCACCCACACTCCTGTGCCAAAGGCCTGGATGCACTTTGGCAACCAGTTCACCATGGTTCTTGGTGGTCTCATTGACCACAGCCATGGCAAACACCTCTTTCTACACCCTCAGCCCTTTTGGCCAAAAGATGCTAACCTTGTCATCTCCACACTCTTTCACCACATCTGAACTTGCCTTTTGACTAACACCGCCTCCAACACTCACCCTTCCATCCTCTACCTGCAGGCTGACAATTGTGCTGCTGAGAACAAGAATGTCTTCATGCTTGCCTTCCTCAGTCTCCTGGTCAGCCTTGATATGTTCCAAGAGGTCTACCTGAGCTTTCTGTTGGTTGGGCATACACATGAAGACATTGACCAGCTCTTCTCCACTGCTCAGACAAAGTTCCATACCTCTTCCATTCACACCCCAAGGTAATGGTCATCACTCTTTTTTTGTGTTGATTGTTTTCCCAATGCACATCAGGTTTTTTATTTGTTGACTCATTACCTGATGCGCATTGGTTTTTTCTGTAAGCATTAATGATTGCCCCTTTTTGTTCACCTTCCTAACTTCATCTTCAAATTTCAGTCAACTTTCTGGTTTTCTTGAGCAGGCTTACCAATCCACCAGCCCAGCTCCTTCCCTGCATACCCTTGAAACTGTTTGGGACTGGAAGAGCTGGCTTGGAAATCACATGCATGGCCTGACTGGTCACTCCACCCCCCATGTTTTCCATTTTTTCCATGATGCTTCAGGCAAACCAGTGATCTGGGACAAAGCCTACCACACCCAAGGAGCCTACTCTGAGCCATACCAGCTTCTCACATCTATTCCAACTGGTTTGCTCCCCTTCCTCCTCACTAAGTTGCACACACCCTACCAAAAGATATCACAACTTACACAAACCATATCAGGAGCACCTTTCACTATCCCTCCTCAGCAATTTCCACCTGAAGTGCTTACTGAGTTGGCTGACAACTGCCATGCTCCACTGTTCCTTGAGTCTGAGCTTAGTGAGTGGGCTGATATCTTTGAAGCACATGAGGCTCTTGTTTCAAGCTCCCAACCCACCTGCAATAACTTGATTTTTGATGGACTCACAGCTCACCCCATCACTAATCCTCTCCTTGATGGTCCATTGTTCTGTCTCCAAACCAGGGTCAAGGTTGTCCACACATGGACTACACCCCAAGTCCAATGTTTCAACTTTGCTCCTGGTCAGTGGGTTGCTGTCTGGGCTGATGCTGATGAAGACACTCAGGACTTTTGGATATGCAAGATCATCAGTGTTCTCTGTAAGAGGCTCCATGTCCACTGGTGGAACTTCACTAATGGACACTGGACTGACCATGGCTCAGAAAGCACTGTTCCAATGGGGTCTGTTTTAGCTTGTGGCTTTGACTTTAACGCCAACACTGGAGTTCCCCCACCCACCCTTCAAGAAATATTTAGACTCCTGTAAATAAAACTTCTCTTCTCTGTGTACACTCAAATTCTGCAGTGTTTTTATCTCATGTACACCTGTTTTTAGTTTCATTAAAAAGTACCACTATCACCTTTTTCCAGACACAGTGTTAAGGAGTCTGGCTGGTCCTTGCATCCATTTTCAGCCCTTAACCTTTCTGACAACCAAAGAGCTTGAGTTTGGTACATTGCTCAATCTTGGTTTGCTGGTGGTCTTAGCTAATGTGTTCTATTGATGCAGAGGACAGGCCGACTAACACAAACCAAGTGTATTTCTTCTCTTTTTCTTTTCACAATTCTTGCGCCCCAGCATACCAACATTTCGTCACAGGCGGGACGACAAAGAAAGCGAAGAGGAGAAGACCACAAGATCTAAAAAGTGCACACCATGGCCACGCCCCCCACCCAAAAGGCAACGGTTCTCAAGGTGGTCCTCATCGGCAACAGCGGGTGCGCACTTCTTTCTTCCACGATTTTCCGTACAATTGGCGAAACAATTGGGAAGTGCAAGTGCTAATTTCATTTCATCTGAGATGCAGGGTGGGCAAGACGTCGCTCATGCAGCAGGTACCTAGCCCACTTCTCTCTCTTTCTCTCTTTCTCTCTTTTCCTCTTTTTTTTTTTTTTTTACTAAAATCATGTGCGTGTGCGTGTTACAGTACGTCAACAAGTCGTTCTCGCTCCACTACAAGACCACCATCGGGGCCGACTTCCTCATGAAGGACCTCTTCGTGGAGGACCGGGCCGTCCTGCTCCAAATTTGGTTCGCTCGCACACATCACCCTTTTTGATACAACCACCCGTCTATGAAGGCTATGCATAGCATCATTTCTCTCACACTGCACTCTCTTCTTTCTTCTCTTCTTTCTTCTTCGTTTTCGCAGGGACACGGCTGGGCAGGTACGCCGCTGAGCGGGTGTCCCACATTGATGGCGTGTCGTGCGGCGTGTGCGGCGGGTGTCGTGTGTGTCGCCATTCGGGTCCGTGTTTCCGGCGGCGGCGGCAGCGCGTGGGCTGAACTGTGCGGCGCGGGTGGCGATGCATGACGCAGGAAACGTTCCGTTCTCTGGGCAGTGCGTTCTACCGAGGAGCCGACGCCTGCATGCTGGTACTCTTTTCAGAAGAGATTCAACCCCCTGCGTGTGCCTGTGTGCGGTGGTGCGTGTCGCGTGTGCTGTGTGCGTGGGCACATGTATTGGCATTAATTGAAAAAAAGGCTAACTGCCGGGCGGGCGCCAACAGGTGTTCGACGTGACGAACAAGTACAGCTTCGACTGCCTGGGCGGGTGGCTCGACAACTTCCTACGCACCACCGGAAAGCTACCCCAGCAGGGCGCCCAAGGCAAGCTCTCTTCTTCTTCTTTCTTCTCTTTCTTTCTTCTTTCTTCTTTCTTCTCTCTTTTTCTTCTTCTTTCTTCTTTCTTTTTGCTGACTCGCCCATGCACGCAGGACGAAACAACACGATCGAGGAGGAAGACGAGGGCGAACCGGTGTCGCTGGTCGTGGTGGGCAACAAGATCGATCTCAAGGAGGGCGGCATGGACCACGTCTGCGAAGTCACCCGAGAAATGGTGCGCGCGTGCGCACACAACTCGCTTCAAACGCCGCCGGTGGCTGACGCGCTTCGATTTGGGGCGTGGGGGGGGAGGAAGGCGGAGGAGTGGTGCAGGAAGACGGAGAAGCGGGTCGGGGCGAGCATCTACTACTACGAGACCAGTGCAAGCGCTGCCACCAACGTCGAAGAGGCCTTCCACGCACTCGCCTCCGCCACCCTCTACCGCTACCAGGTCCGCGACAAGAGCGTGTACGCTACCATCTCTGTGAGCGTCGTATGACGTCGTGTGTGCGCGTGTAATGTGGTTGTGCATTTGCTGACCGGGGTGAGCAGTACACAAGGTGATGGCACCATCGAGCTCCAGGTGGACCGGAGCGACTCGTCATCATCGTGCGACTGCTGAACTCAAAGCGGGGGAAGCAAGACAACATTTTATAAAACATGTATGTACTCTTCTTGCTGTCTTTCCTCACCAACACTGGTTTTGTCTTTTTGTTTGGTTTTTACACCTTCTTCATGGCGTGTGCCATCACACGGCCGCGCAAGGCAAGAGGGGATCAACCAAGTATCGAACAAGAGGGTTTGATTTATTGAAAAGAGGATCAGGTGAAGACGGACGAGTCGAGTACTTTGAGGGCGACGTCGCTGGCCGACGGACCCAGGTTCTCCTCGCTCAGGAAGAGGAGCGGCAGGTCCAACAGCTGGCCCTTGAGCCCCTCCAGCACCTGGACCTCCCGCGCTGAAATCGGGTTGGCTGCACGACACATCAACGACGAGACACAACACGACACGACACACACCGCACGACACGATAGTCGGTGAGCGTGGTCAGTGCCACGATGTGGGCTGGGAGATAGAGAGGGGGGGGGCGCACCTTCTCGCCGTTCGAGGGCGCGCGAGTAGTCCTTGAGCGTCTTGTACTCGTCGGAGGGCGTGTTGGCGAACACCTGGCAGTGGATCGTGGTGTTGTTCTGCGACACCCTGCGCCACAGCCCGTGGAACGTGTTCGCGTGAATCGGGTCCAGCAGCAGCGCGTCCTCCGATCCACCCTCCTTCTGCGTAGTGTGTGTGTCATGTGCGGTGCGGCGTGTGTCGTGTGCGGCGCGTCAGACATGCGCGCGCGTGTGCGGAAACTTGCGTGCGAGAAGAGCCGTCGTACGCCGAGGAGGCCCAGGTGTTCGCGCCAGAGGGAGATGCGGAGCGACTGGGCAAAGGAGGAGACGCGCGCGTTGCGGCCGTTCATCTTGCCGTCGGCGGGCGCCTTGTCGCGCGTGATGATCGCCACCTCCGAATCGCGCACGCCCAGCATCGACCGATCGTTGATGTTGGCCGACCCAATCACCGTCCACACATCATCCACGATCATACACTTGCAATGCACATACACCTGATTCGACACTGGTCCCTGTGCGTCGTGTGTGTCGTGTGCATCGTGTGTTGGTGAGTGAGTGACGTCACGCACACACGCTGACGTCATGCTGACGCAAGCTTGGGCGGGAGGGTACGCACCTGGTCGAGGTGGCCCCAGGAGCGGAGCTGGTGGAAGGAGATGTATTCGGGGATGTTGACGCCGGCGCGCTGGAGCTGGGCGAGGAGCGACGTGTCGCCGCGGCAGATGGTCTCGTAGGTCCACTTCATCACCATCCGCACCTCCGGCGCAAAGAAGCTCCCCTCGGGGAAGTTGGGCAGGATGATGATCACCCGGAACACCTCTGTGTGCACACACGTGACACCACCACCACCGCCACCATCATGCCATGAGTGTGTGTCGTGTCGTGTCGTGTCGTGCGGCGTGTGTCGTGTCATGTCGTGTTGCGTTGCGTTGTGTGCGCACGTACCTTTTTCTTTGTGAGCGCGGATGATGCGGTTGACGAGGGCCTGGGCCACGCGGTTCTGCACGGCGGAGCCCGCCGTCGAGGAAATGAAGAACTGGTTTTCTATGTACACAAAATATTGTGCTCCCTCGATCAACTCGTAGTAGGCCTGCCGCACACGATACGTTACGACACAGTGATGTTTAGTCTCGTATACATAATATATATCAAGCAAAAGAGCATGTGGAAAGTGATATTATATATATGTATATGTAGAAGAAATATATACCTGGGCAATAGAGTCTTCGGTGCGGTTGCACCCGGACCAATCGGAGAGGGAGCGCACCACCTGACACTCGCACGTCCCGGCGGGCGTCTGCGGCGGCGAAACGGACGGCAGCAGGTAGGGCACCTGCGCACGCATCGTTTCGTTCTTCTTGTCCCTGCACACGCACACGCACACGCACCACCGCACACGCACACGCCACACGCGAAGTTTAGCACGGCGTGAATTTCACGACCGTTTCGGAGCGCGCGGAGAGCCGACCTGTGGTGGTTCCAACGTTGGATGAAGTTTAGCGCGACGTCGCGCGCAGCCTCGCCTCCGACCCGCATGTGGATGTCGTGCCACGGCATACGCGGTTGCTTGTTCCTGTCGACACCGCTGTCGTCAGCAACTGGCTGATTCTTCTTGTCGACCACACAAAAGGGCTGAGGGGGTGGCGCAGTAGGCGAGTAGTAGTACCTGTCGAGGGTTTCGACGAAAGGGTTCTCCACGTTCTGATTGGACAGACCCTCGAGCTCGGGGTTGTAGTAGTCCCGCCCGGGCCACAGGGTGGCCAGGTGGCACGGGTCCGCCACCGGGTGGTCGCGCCGATCCCAGCGCCCGAAGCACAGGTCCAGCCCGCCCACGAACGCCGTGTCGTAGTCCACCACCACTGCATACGGCCGTGGTCAAGTCCACACAAAGTCAAGTCAACCATTGGAACATAGTCAAAGCTGGTAGGTCAAAGTGGGTCAAGAACAGAAACGACTGTGGAAGGGGAAATACCGATTTTCTGGTGGTGGGACCAGGAGAAGGGTCGGAGGCGAGGGTGGCGGATGATGTGGATGTTGGGGTGGAGGTTGGCCAGCTTCCGCTCCGTGGCCTGGCTGTTGAGCTTCAGCGCCAGGTTGACCTCGAAATAGAGCAGCACATAGATATGCACTCCCTGCCAACAACATTGTTAGCACACACGACACACACGACAGGTAAATAAAATGCGATGCGAACCTCCTGGGCCTTCTTGAGGATCATCTTGTCGAAGCGGTTGTGGATGCTGGGTGGGTGCTTGCGGCGGAGGTAGGTCTCGATGATGAGGAACCAGTCGGCCACGAAGATGCAGTTGCGCGCCGACTCGATGGCGTCGGCGATGGCCTCGTACGTGTCCTCGCCGTCGACGTACCACTGGGCCGGGATGGACGCGTGCGGCGGGCGGAACGACGAATACCTGTTCCGCTTGCCCTGCAACGACCAGTGCGAGATGCACGTAATCCACTACACAGCGCCCGCACGCTTTAGATTCCTTCTAGTGTGTGCGTGTGGGATGGTGCGTGTCGTGTGTGTGTCGTGTGCAGTGATGTTGGTACCTTGGCTGTGGCAGGGACGCTGTCGCAGCTGAGCACGCCGACCCACCCGTTACACTCGAGGCGGAACGACATCTCGCCCTTGAGTTCGGTCACCGCGGCACCGTCCAGCACGACCACCTTGTGGGGGTGGTGGCGGCCGGTGCGAATCTTGGAGAGGAGGGCCTCGTTGCTGCTCGACCGGATGCCCGACGTCGACGGCCGGGGCGACACGGACGCCGAGGAATTTGAAGAGGACACCGACAATGATGACGATGATGATGAGACGGCCGGTGTTGACGAAGACGAAGACTCCACCAGCGCGCCGCTGGCCCTGAGGGAGAGCCGCAGCTCCGCCGCGTTGACCAGTTCTAGGCCGCCCACCGATTGGCTCAGCGGACCCACCAACGCTTCGGCCGACCCCTGGATTCGACCGAAACGAACAAGAGAGCGTTACATTGTAAAGCCTTCATGGTCTGTTGCACGTGATGATATGTCATGACATGAAAGGCGGTGGTACCTTGCCGTCTTCGTTGAGGGAGTAGATCATGAGCACGCCCTGGCGGATGGAGACAAGGCGCGCCTTGCCCTTGTACGTGAGGATGCCCTCCAGCTCCTCGATCGTCTCCCGCACCTGGCCCTCCTTCAGCCCGGCCGCCACCGCCGCCTACAAGAAAAGTAAAACCTGATTAATCGAAACTGAAACGAAACTGAAACTGAAACTGAAATGAAATGGAAATATGAAACATACCTCGGAGGAGGTCTTGGCGGTGGCGTAGGTGATGATGGGGCGATAGCCGAGGTCCTCGAGCTCGTCGGGGTCCTCCTCGACCATGGACCAGAGGGCGCGCAGCTCGTCGAGGCTGCTGCCCGACTGCTTGACGTACTCCTTCTCCAGACACACCGCCGACTGCCGCACCAGCGCCTTCCGCAGCTCGTCCAGCGACGCAAAGCTCTCCGTTCTTTGCATTCCACCGCACACGCACACACGCGAGAACGTTAGTTGTGTGTCGTGTGTATCGTGTGTGTCGTGTGTGTCGTGTGTGGTCGCCATACCGATTGTTGATGACGACGGCAAAGCGGCCCTCGGGAAGGCGCGAGAAGCGGAGGTGACGCAGCTCGGTACGCGGAGAGGGCTTGGATACGAAGTCGAGCACGTACGAGATCGAGAACGACCCCGGCTCTCCGCTGAACCGCATCAAGAACGTCCCTGCAATGTCGTTGCCCACGCCACCGTTGGTCTCAGGAATGTAATCCATGTAGACGACGGCGATGGCCGAAGAAAGGCGTACCCTTGGGCTGCTTGTTCAGAAGGCGCACGGCTTCACCGCTGGTGCGTATGGCTTGGAAGAATCTGGGCGGCGCCAAAGAGATTGATTGAAGTGAGAGTTGTGTCAAGAGAAGAGAAGAGAAGAAAAGGAAAGGTGGAGGGTCACCTGTGGCCCATGACGTGCACCACGTCCTTCAGGAGCGTAGTGTCGCCTGCCGGGCCAAGCAGCGGAAACCACAGCAGGAACGATGAGAAATCATCCAACCTGTCCCATGACGTTCAAAACACCACACTCAGCTGTTAGCGCGTGCGCGTGCGCGGAGGTGCGTGTGCGTGCGCGGTCGAGCGTACGGGACGATGCCACGGAGTTCACCGCGCGAGGCGGCCTGCACGTTGATGCCCTTGGCGCTGAGGAGATCGTTGTCGGATTTCTTCTTCTTCTTTTTCTCTTTCTTCTTGTCCCGCACCGCCGAACCACCAATGCCGCTCCCGCTTCCGGACAACAGCAGCGTGCTCAGCCGCTTGCTCTCATCGTCCTCGTCGCCTGTTTTGCGTGTGCGTGTGCGTGTCGTTCGTGTCGTGTCGTGTATCGTGTCAGCGTCTGTTGTATAGCAACAAGCCTTGGCGCGTTAGGAATGCGTACGAGTTAGGAGTTCGTGGATGAAGAGCAGGCCGAGGATTTCGGTGAAGCGCAGGTGGTAGCGTTTGGGTGGGATGTTCTTGGGCTTGGGCATCTTGAGGCCCATATGCTTCACGTAGAACGCCCACGCAAAGTGTTGCCACTTCACCTCGAAGGGATTCGCCTCCGACCTGTTGAACTGCACACATGGACCACGTTGTTATCAACGGACACACGCACGAACACGAAACGCATGACACGCACGACACGCACGACACGCACGACACGCATCACGACGCACACGACACCCGCGACAGGGGCGAGGAGGTACTTCGTATTGCTTGTCGAGGGCGGCCTGCCAGATGGTGCGCGCGAAGCGGTTACGGAGGACCTTCTCGAGGATGGCCTCGGTGAGCATGTCGAGCGCCTCCTGCGCCGACGGTCGCTTGTCGGTGTCGCGCTTCCAGCACGACGTGAGCAGCTTGGACATCTGTTTGTTCACATCGTGCTCCTGCACCGGACTGAACTTGTGCAGCACCACGTGCTTCTTCCACAACGCCCTGATTGGCGCATCAGGAAGGCGTTAGGCCTCCACCGAACAGTGCGGAATGTGGAATGTGTGGAATGATGGAGGGTACTTGTCGGGCTTGCCGCTGGCGTCCTTGAACTGGGGTTCGCTGAGGAAGACGTCGCGCACCGAGCGGTTGGTGTAGAGTTCGCCCAGGAGGTAGCCCAGGGCGAAGATGTCAGCCTCCTTGGTGTGGCCCAGGTCCTGCTTCGACATCCGGTCCATGGCCTCCGGCGGCAGGTAGAGCGGGTCCGCCTCCTCGTCCTGCACCCAGTTCCACCCGATCCCCTTCACCTTGAACCCTCGGTCCGTCTGCACATAAGTAGCGCAAAGCAAATGTATAAATATACATCAGTAAAACGTAGAACGTAGAACGTAGTGGTTAGTGGTTGGTGGCGATCGGATAGTCGAGGCCGTCATGATGAAAGAGGTGTAGAGGGAAGTGGACGGTACCATGACGACCTGGTCGAGCGTGAGGGCGCCGTGTACGATGTCGCATTGGTGGAGGAGGGCCACGACTTGGGCCACCTGGTGGGCGATCTCGAGTCGGCTGTACAGGGGCACCACCCCGCGCTTCCCTCCCGCCAGGTCCTCCATGAGCGGCAGCTCCATCACCTTCTGCAACCACGCCAACAAGGCCTCGTTACCATCGAGCAACAACAACAAGAAGCGAGAAAGCAAGTAGCAAGTAGAATGTAGCAAGTGGCGAGTAGTACGTACGGTGTAGGGTTCGGTGAGGATGTGCCACACATCGGTCTTGGCCACACGTAGCACGCCCACTATCTTTAGCACGTGTGGGTGCTTCTTCAGCTTGGCCTCATGTGCCCTGTTATTGTGTTGCACATCAAGTAGCAAAGCCATTATTATTATTAGAAATAAATATTGATAAATAATATAAAAAAAAGTGCTACAAGTAAGGCAAGCAGGGTGCCGTACTTCCATTGGCGAAGGAGGTGCGCCGCGCGGGCGGGGTGAGGGGCGCGCAGGAGAGGCGAGGCGTGGAGCACTTTGGAGCGCCACCGCACCACCCCCACCCCTGACTTGCCACCAGGGGCCGCCACCCAGCTCACGTCGGCCTCGTTCACCTCCATCGGCACGCTTGCTTCCGCCCCCATGGTGGTGATGGATAGATTGATTGGATCGCACCTCAATCAATGGCTCAATCAATGCTTCGCGGGCTGCAGACTTATGAGCGAAATTGCGTCGTCCTAACGACCACCTCTCGCAACTCCGACATTTTCACTCCTTTTCTTTGTTGGCCAAAAGGAAACTCAAAATGAAAACCTAACATCTGTTTTCCCGCCTCTTTCTTCCTCCCTCTGCCGATTGCAACAAGCCACACTCAATCGCCCGTGTCCCGCTGCATCTCGTTCTCATGGGTCTCTCCTCCTTCCATAGCGATTCTTCATTTTCAAAATTATTCACACACTCGAGATCCAATCTCAATTTTAATCGTATTTTGTGAATTGTAATTGCACGGCAGCATCAAACATCACTACCACTGCGGCCGATTCGCCCGTCTCCCGCAAGCGACCTGCCGAGGACGAGGCCCTCAAGGCCGAGGAGCTGCAGCCCAAGGGTGAGTCCGCTGTGGCCGCTCCCGCCGCCGACGCGTCAGCCGAAAACGGCGCGGTACAGCTCCCTACCTCTTCATCTTCATCTTCATCTTCTTCACCTCCTTGTTGTTGTTTCCCGCTCGCTCGTTGGTCTCACGCTCTCTCTTTTCTCCCCGGCACGTTGTTGTTGGTGACGTCACGAGCAGGACGACGAGGGAGAGCAGCAACCTGCCAAGTACGTCGTGTGCCATGTCGTGTTGTGTGCGTAGTGTGTCATGTGCCGTGTGTCGTGTGTCGTGTGTCGTGTGTCGTGTGTCGTGTGTCGTGTTGTGTTGTCTGACTTCGTGATCTTCGCGTGTGTGCAGGCGTGCTCGCAAGGAGGAGGAGGAGGAGGAGACGAAGGAGACAGAGTCGCAGGAGAACAAGGAAGAGGAGGAGAGCAAGAACAAGAAGGAACAGAAGGCGGAAGAGAGCGGCGGCGGCGGCAAGCTGGCTTTCTTGGGGCCGACGGGGTCGGGCGAGGGCTTCTCGAGCTTCTCGTCGCTCGCGGCCGGTCCCCTCTCCTTCTCGTCGGTGTCGTCCGGCGCCGCCGACGCGGGCGCGGCGCCCCTCAGCTTCAACCTGGGCGCGGCGGGGTCGACGCCCGGCCCGTTCAGCATCGACTTCTCGTCGCCGACGCCCTTCGGCTCCCTCTTTGGCGGCGAAGGCAGCAAGGACGGCAGCGCCGCTGCTACGCCCTCGCTCACCTCCACGGGCTTCACCCTCTTCTCCTCCTCCGCGCCCTCGACCTCCTCCGACTTTGCCTTCAGCCTCAGCTCTTCGTCGTCTTCCCTCCTCTTCTCCTCGGTACCACCACAGTCACTTCTTCTCACTTCGCTACGCATTTATTTATTTAGTTTAGTTTAGTTTAAATATTTTTCTATTTATTTGTTTATAATTATTTATTCTACTTCTTCCCTTTCTCCTCTCACAGTCTTTACTTTTGTTTGTTTGTTGCAGGGCGCTGAGAGCTCGTCTACGTCTGTGGCCGAAAAGGGTCGGCCTCTCCTCCTCCTCCTCTTCTGTTTCTCTTTCTCTACACGCGCGTCTTTCTCCTTCTTCCTCGCCTAACGACGCTCTACTCCGCGGGTGGTCGTCTACTGGAACAGTCGAAGTGGTGACCGGCGAGGAGAACGAGGAGCGCGTTCACTCGGTACGGCGACCTGTGTTGACGGTGGATGGATGGTGGATGGTGGTCCTTACACATATGTGCAGGTGCGGGCCAAGCTGCTCAAGCTGGAGCCGGAGAGCCAGGCCTGGAAGGAGAGGGGCTCCGGCCAGCTCCACCTCAACGTCGCCAAGGACCACTCCTACGCCAGACTCGGTACCCCCCGCCCCGCCCCACCATCTCCAGGCACCCAATGCACCGCCAACTCACCACCCACCCATTGACCCACTCGTGGCCGAAATGGCAGTCATGCGCGCCGAGGGAGCGCTGCGTCTGATCCTCAACACCGCCCTGTTCCCGCACACCATCACCAAGAGGGTGCAGGAGAAAGGCGTACAGGTTCGTCTCTCTTCCACGGATGGTGATGATGTCGATGGCGATGGCGATGGTGGTGGTGCGAATGAAGAAGAGTGTGACCATGACGATTGGTGGTGTGGGTGGTTGCGTGGTGGTTGGGACACCTCCAGGTGTCGGCGGTGGAGGAGGGCAAGCCGGTCCTGTACCTCCTGCGCGCATCTCGCAGAGACGAGGCCGAGGAGCTGTTCGCCGCCATCAACCGCCACAAGGAACTCGGCGGCAGCAGCTCCAGCGTGTAGTGCTTTGCTGCAGTGGTGTGCACCAAGTTCGCATCAAAATGAACAAAAATGCATTGCTTTTCTTTTTGATAGAAGGAGAAAGGGCACAAAAGGGGTGAGTGAATGCGTCGCTCGTCTTCTTGGATTGGACTGGCGGGGTGGCTGACTGGCAGGAAGGATCACAGGGCGGCCGTGAACTTCTTCTTTTCCAGGATGGCGGCGGCGAGGTTGTTCGTGAGTTCCTCCTTGAGCAGGAACTGCACCAGACCCTTGGCCTGCACCACACGCCACCCCATGAGTGCGTGCGGTGGTGCGTTGCACCGTGTGCGTGTGCGGCGTGTCGTGTCGTGTGTGTGTGTTGTGTGTTGTGTGTGATGATGATGATGATCGTGTTGGGGGGGAACGAACCAGGGTGATGGTGTAGATCTCCCAGTCGATCTTGCGGACCTCGATCTCGAAGATGTTCTTGTCCTGCTCGGACATGGAGGCCAGCAGCTTGGTGTCGACGTTGTCGGCCAGGAATTGCCACTGGCGCGACGTGAAGGGCGTGAGCTGGGTGATGACCGTGTAGAGGTGGTTCGAGCCCGCCACCAGCTTCGCGTTGCGGCCCTGCAGCATGCGGAGGACGTCGCCGATGGCGGCCGGCGTCGTGTGGAAGATGATGTGGGCGATGAGGAAGAGCCAGAAGTTGTTGACCACGAACGCGAACGGGAACTGCTTGAGCTCGTGCTTGATCGGGTTCCGTCGGAACCACTGGATGCCCACCGTAATGATCGTCCACCAGTCCGTCGGGTTCTTGCCTGCGCACAGCAAAGGCGATCACACCAATGCGTTAAGAGATGATGACGCATTGTATTGATGTATTGATGTATTGATGATGATGATGATGATGATGATGATGATGATGATGATGATGATGATGTACCGGAGGAGGCGGAGTGGAAGATGGGGATGCGGCGGCCGGGCGGGTTTCGGGCGGTGTGCCAGGCGGCGGTGAGGATGGTGTTGCACACGTAGTCCACCGGAATGAGGTCGGCCACCTGCCGGCTCTTGCCTCGCATCACGTGCAGCACACCCATACCACCCGCCAAACACACGCCTGCGTGTCGTGTCATGCGTGTCGTGTCGCGTGTCAGCCGCACGACACGACACACAATGAGAGTTTGTGGGGGGGGGGGCAACGCACCGGCGGGGCCGATCAGGGAGTCGACCCAGCCCGGGAAGGGGTCGCGCACGGCGGGGCCGATGATGGCGGGCCGCACGATGCAGAGCGGGACGGAGCCCTTCTCCTTCTGGAGCATCTGCTCGCCCAGCATCTTGGAGAAGGTGTAGGTGTTGGGGTACGGGCTGATGATCTTGCGGGTCATCTTCTCGGCGTGCTCGTAGGTCATCCCCTCGATCGTGCTCACCGTCTTGTAGGGATCCATGTGTCGCCTGCAACACGACACACACGACACACACGACACACACGACACACGTACAGGCCGTTCAACGATCGTGCCCAGGGGAAAAGAACGAAAGCGAAAGAAAAGCAAAAAAAAACGAAGAAGAGAGAAGGTGGTACTGCATGAGGGTGCGGATGGGGTAGATAGTTTCGTCGATCTCGCGGGGATCGGAGCCCGGTGGCCCCGACAGCGTGCAGTTGACGTAGCACGTCGACACGTGCACTGAAAACACGACACGACACGACACGACACGACACGACACGACACGACACGACACGACACGACACGACACGACACGACACGACACGACCGCACACGCACGAACGCACACGAAAACAAGTGTGAAAGGACTGATGTGGCCTGGGCCTTGTGGCGGCGGTGGTGGAGTACCGTGCGCGCGGAGGCGGGCGCACTGCTTGGCCAAGCGGAGCACGCGCAGGCCGCCGAGGGCGTTCATTTGGATGGCCAGCTGTCACGCGCAACCACCACCACCGCCGCCGCCGCCGCCGCCGCCACGCGTGAGAAAAGTGATTGGCGCCAATGTCGGGGAACAAGGAAGAAGAGAGTGACGAGGAGCCCAACCTGGATGTGCTCCGTGAAGCGGGTGGTGGCCGCCATGTGCAAAATCACCGTCACCTAACGCGCCACAACGAACTGTTAACATACGTACACTCCACACGACAGCGCACGACAGCGCACGACAGCGCACGACTGTACACGACGCGCGGATGTGCGAGCGGGGCCGCGTACCTGGGACGTGACCAAGTTGTGGTCGGCCTCCGACAGGCCCAGGCCCTCTTCACCAATATCGCCCTCCACCACCTGCCCGCAAAGCATTTAATATGATCAAAAAATAGAATTTTATTTCAAATAATATGGAATTAATGGTTGTAATTATTTTCTAAAGCTTTTAGAAATATTCTAATAGATTTAAAAACAAAAAAGAAGAGGGTGCGGGGTACGTGGATGTAGCGGGCGAGGGAGGGGCGGGTGGTGAGGAGGCTCTGGAGGGGCGGACTGGTCAGCACCTCGCGCGCGAACCGCACGCGCCCGGGCACGGCGTCGCCGCCCTTCTTGGCCGCGGCCTTGGGCCGCACCAGCACCATGATGCGGCAGCCCAGCTCAGCGGCATCGGCACCGCCGTGGCTTTCGCCATCTTCGCCACCGCCGGCTTGATGGTGCGACGGCGAGGGGTCGGGGAGGTCGGGGAGGACGGAGAGGAGCTTGTGGAGGACCACCTTGCCCAGCAGGCCCGTCACGCCGGTCATGAGGATGGTCTGGCCGGCATACCACCCGCCCACGCCCACGCCCTCGCTGCCCGGCTGGGAAGAAGAAGAGGAGGAGGAAGAAGACGGCAAAGTAGCGCGATTCGGGGAGGCTTCCATTATGTTTCCAATTAAATGAAATTAATTTTGGGGAGATTGGAGATTATTTGGCCGAAATGGGTGGCGTAGAATGGAAAATGAAATCGTATGGCCGTTCGCGAGAGCAAGAAGCGAGGGCGAAGCGAGAGGGCAGTGACGACTACAACGACGTCCAAAACCCGGACTCGCACTCCCGTTATTTCTGTTGGAACTCCGACCTGAGAAATGAAAAAAGCTTGCGGGAAAAGAGACATAAAACACAGAAGAATGCTTGGAATTATCGGAATCTGAAACCTGCTGTCAGGCTCGCGGAAGTTTTGACGGAAGGGGGCGGAAAATACGCCAGGATTGCCACGTCACAGAACCACAGTGTTCTGCACAACCCTAACCCCACACAGAACGCACCGCACTTCACAACAAGCGAAACACATCTTACACAACACAGCACACCTAGACATGGGGAAAGACTACTACAAGATTCTCGGGGTGGACAAGGGCGCCAATGACGATCAGCTGAAGAAGGCCTACCGCAAGATGGCCCTCAAGTGGCACCCCGACCGCAACCAGGACAAGAAAGAGAAGGCCGAGGAGATGTTCAAGGAGGTCAACGAGGCCTTTGAAGTCCTCTCCGACCCCAAGAAGCGACAAATCTACGACCAGTTCGGCGAGGTACCGCCACGCCCCTCTTTATTTTATTTTATTTTATTTTATTTTTTCCTTTTACTTGATTTACTTCATCCAGTTGAGCTGACCATCTATTTATGTTTGCTGACTGGTTTGTGGTGCGGTCGTGTAGGAGGGACTCAAGGGCGGTGGTGGCGGCGGCCCTGCCGGCGCGGGCGGTTTCGAGGGCTTCGGCGGCTTCCCTGGCGGCGGTGGCGGCGGCTTCCAGAGCTTCAGGTTCACGCCCTCCAACGCCGACGACATCTTCCGTTCGTTCTTCGGCGACTTCGGCGGCATGGGCACCGGCGCCGGCATGGGCGGAATGGGAGGAATGCCTGGAATGGGCGGCGGCGGCGGACGTCGACGGGCGGCCGGCGGACCCTTCGGCGGAATGGGAGGAATGGGCGGAATGGGCGGGTCGCCGTTCGGTGGAGCGTTCGGTGGCATGGGCGGCATGGAAGAGGAGACGCCGCAGGCCCCGCCGGTGGTGCACAAGCTGCGGGTGACGCTCGAGGAGCTCTACACGGGCGTGCAGAAGAAGATGAAGGTCACCAAGACGCTGGTCGACCCGAGCGGCAAGTCGGTGCAGGTGGAGAAGATCCTGACCATCGACGTCAAGCCCGGCTGGAAGGCCGGCACCAAGATCACCTTCCCCAAGGAGGGCGACGAGCGGCCCGGCGTCGAGCCTGCCGACATCGGTACGTTCCACTTCCACTTCAACGCAAAGCAATGATGCTTTTTCTAATTGATTGTTTGTTGTTTGTTTGTTTGCTACAGTCTTTGTGATCGAGGAGAAGCCTCATGCGGTGTTCAAGCGGGAGGGCAACGACTTGATCTACACACACAACATCACGCTGGCGCAGGCGCTGACCGGGTTCGACGTGAGCCTGCGAACACTCGACGGCCGACCGCTGACGGTGCCCCTGCGCGACGCCGTGGTGGACCCGTCCTACGTCAAGGTGGTGCCCGGCCAGGGCATGCCCGTCTCCAAGACGCCCAGCCAGAAGGGCAGCCTGCGCATCCGCTTCAACATCGCCTTCCCGCGGAAACTTGACGCCGACCAGAAGAGCCTCGTCCAACGTGCCCTCGGCACAGCCTCGTATTGAGCCCCTACGCCCGCGTTGTACAAATTGAACAACAAATTCATCATTTTGCCCCATTTTACCTCCTTGGCGCGAGAGACAGTTTCTGCTTCACCCTCTACGTTTGGCGGTGAGTACAACTGCTTGCGACCTGCTCTCATTCTTCTATCCTATCCGCCTTCACCCAACAAGTCCTCACCAGCCTACCAGGTCTGTCCCCTCTTCCCTCTTTTGGCATCCCCACATCTTTTTCTCTTTCTTTCGTACTACACAGCAAGCTCACAAAGTACTCACAATCACCATGGTCAAAGGGGTGTGGCTTCAAAGGATGGAGCAGGCCCTTCGTGAGACCCTGCAGGAAATGCGCGAACAGCTTGATGACAACAATCACCTTCTTCAGGCCACCCAGCAAGCCCTCGCGACCTCCCAGCAAGCCCTCGCGACCTCCCAGCAAGCCCTCCGCAACGCCCAGCAAGCCCTCCGCAACGCCCAACAAAGACTCCTTGACCATCAGTGCCCTGGTAGCTGCCCCTCGCCTCCCTTGTGCAGCTCCCATGTAGTAGTTTTCTGTCTGAAACTTTCTGGTTTAGCCACCCAGCCGCAGGCCACAGCCACAACTACTCGGGCATCACCCTACAAAAGGAGGCGTGCAGAGTCACAGACGCCATATCCTCCTCAGGCCGAGGGGGTACAGAACCTGGTTGCCTTCTTCGAATTCAACCAAAGGGGACAGCAAGCAACCCTGCGTGGTACGGTTCCTTTTTCCACTTCATTGCACAGATGATTCATAATTTTTGTTTGTAATGCAGCGCGTGCGTCGCCTGAAGATGCCAGCAAGGAAGATTTCCATTTCAATGAGGATTTGAGCGAGTGAGCTCTCTCTGCCCGCCGCGTGGTGCCCTTCACTTTCCTCGACTCATCTTCATCATGTACTTAAGAAGTAATCCACGACGAAAACAAGATTAATGGCTTTAGTAGGAATAAACGGTGGCTTCCTCCCTGAGGATTAAGACGAAGTAGAGAGTGCGCATCTTCTTGACGAGCCCCGTTGGACCAGTCGCACGAAGCAAAGCCTTGCTCTCACGCTTCTACACGAGACGCAAGAAGACGAATCTTTGTGCGTAGGGATATTACTACATGCTCACGATGCAACGGGCTCCGCCACCTGTTGTTGTTGCTGCTGCTGCTTGGCCTTGGAGGGGCGCGATCGCTTGACCTTGACGGGCTTTACCGCTGCGGTCTTTCGCACGTTCGTGTTCGTCTTGGTGGTGCCCACGCCGTCCAACAGCGGCCCCACGATCGTCTTCATGATCAGCTCCACCTTCTCCTCCACCGGCGTCGTCGTGTTCATGTTCGTCGCTTCGCTCTCCTTGACAGGCTGTGGCTGCTGCCTCGGTTTCCGCTTCTCGTCGCGCTCGTGGATGAGGACCAGCGCGTCGACGGTGCGCTGGAGCATGTCCTCGAGCCGGGCCTCGGACGCCTTGAGCGCGGCGTCGCGCGCCACCAGCGCGTTGCGCGTCTCCTCGCGTCGTGCCTCACATTCGCGCAGGGCCTTGGCCAGCTGCTTGTATCGCCGGAGCGCTGCGTCCAACTCGCCCCGCGTTCGCTCCACACCTCCCTCTGGAATACATAAAATAAATTAACGATTAAAACAAAAAATTAAATAAAATAGGAAATAAAGTAAGAGAATAAATATAAAGAAGAATAATAAAGAACGAAGGGGGGGGAGATAAAAGATCGAAAGGGAAGGTGCACCAGTCCAGCGGGTCTTTTTGAATTCGCCGTTGCGTGTGCAGAGGTAGAACCGACCCTCCTCTCCATCTTCGCCTCTCCTGAGCGTACTCATCTTTTACCTTGTCTTCTTGTGGGTGTCCTGCAAACGCGGATACCGCAGTTCTTCGAGCCAACCACAAGTGATGTCGTGTCGTGCATGAACGGTTTTTCATTTTCTGCTTATTTTTGTTTTAATTCCAGTTGGCGCGGAGGGGGAGCAACAGCAACCTGGTCGAACTCCCGGGCGCCCGAACAACAAGCCGCCAACACAAGAACGTTGGACAGCACGCACCACACGCACGCAACAGATCACTTGAGGAGAGATGGAGAGGGTCGAACCACGCTCGCCGGGACCCGGCGGCGCTGAAGAAGACGGGGCCGCCCCGCATCCGCCCCGCCCGCCATGGCTCTCCGCTCCCTGGCTCATCGGTGCGCCTGATTTTGAGCTTTCATCATTGTTTTTATTTATTTACGTGCTGACAACCTGGATTTTACACGAGCGCGAGATGATCACAGCCAAATAAACAGTAAAATTATTATTAATAATCAAAAGAAGACCACAATAATAATTACAATAAGTAATAATTAATTGTTGTGTTGTATGTGGTTGCCACAGACACCCTGCTGGGGAGCATCGCCCTTCCGCTCGCCCTCGCCCTCGGTACGCTCTACCCACTTTTTTTCTTTTCAAAAAAACAAAAAATATAATCTCTTCGCCATTTTCCTGCTCTCGGCGCGATGCTCTTCTCTTACGCTCCACGCTCCACACGTGTACAGGCGGAGCCGTGCGTACGAGCATGGTGTCGGGCGCGTATCTGTTGGCGTGCGCGCTTCTTCTCGCCTGCGCCGAGCACTCGCTCTCCACCGTCCGACGTACGTGACGTCATCTCTTCTACAAGTCTTTCTTCGTCGTCTTCTTCTTCTTCTTCCTTGTCCTCCTCTCGTCAGCGACCGACCCGCTGATGGACGTGTCTGATGGTCGTGCAGAGCGCGTGTGCAGTTGGATCGTGCGGGTCGTCTGCCTGGTCTCCGGCTTTGCCGTGCTCGGTACGCCCCCACCGCCCACCCACCGCCCTTGCTCGCATGCAAGTGGGGGGTGTGTGTCGGTAGCCGCGACGACGCTGCAATCAACCAACAGCAACTGGGACTCGCGCCGCCCACCATTTACCACACTGGCCGCAGTGTCTGATTGGGGATTGATTGAGGGATTGACTAATGATTGATTGATTGACGATTGGTTGGTTGCAGGGCACGCTGTGTTCTTGAGCATGTGGCTGGAAGAGGGCGACGGCGAAGACGGTTGGCTGCGACAGTACGGGTGGGTCGAGGAGCTGCTCCACTACGCAGGCACGAATGCTTTCGCCAGTTTCAACATGCGCCTTGCCTTCACAAGCTGACCCACACACACACGACACACACAACACACGACACACACACACACACACAACACACGCGGAACGCGCGCAGGCTGGCAGAGGGTGGACTACGTGAAGGACCACATCATTCTCAACAACATCCGGCAGATCGCGCCCGACCCGATCGTCTTCCTCCTCTCCCTGACGGTGCTGCTTCGCGCCTGGACGCGACGCCCCACCACCCAGCCAACCGAAGAACTCGGTACCGACCATGATGTGTCGTGTGTGTCGTGTCGTGCGGTGTGTCATGTGTGTCATGTGTGTCATGTGTGTCGTGTGTGTCATGTCGTTGATTGTGTCGACTCCTAACTCGCATTGGCGTGCGCGCGTGTGTGGTGGATGACAGTGTGGCCGCTGCACTACTATTGCTACCCGACGTTTCTGGTGGCCGCGGTGGTGGGTCTCTCCGTGCCGTCGGTGCTGGGCCTGCCCTACCTCTTCTTCTACGTCCTCGGCCTCCTCGGCCTTGCCTACTCGGCATCACTTCCCCGCCTCTTCCAAGCGTACACTTCTCCTTTTGCGTCTTGGCGCGTGTCGTGTCGTCGTGTGTGTCGTGTGTTGTGCATCGTGCAGTAATGGTGGTGTGTGCGTGTGTGCGGTGGTGCAGGCTGTGGCCGGCGTTGCTGTTGCTGAGCATGAGCCACCTGGGCATCATCTACGCCTACCAGTTCCGCTATATTCGCGACCACACGCCGACGCACCTCACCAACCTCCTCGGTACCGTCCGTCTCTCATGCTATTTGTTGTATTTATTATTATTATTATTATTATTCTGCACACGCCTGACTGCGGCGTCATTTCCAGGTTTGTACCACTGGGAACAGCTCACCAATTGGAGCGACCTCGGAACGTCGCTCTGGCAAGCCGTGGTCGGCTTGGCCGCCCTCATCGTTCTCTATTTTTGGGTATTTACAACCCTCCCTCCTTTGCTGTGGTAAATGTACATTCTATTGATCAAAGGAATGTGGTTCGCCCTGGTGGAATGTTTAAAACATTAGGTCTGTCGGTATTCGCGTGCGCGGAGTCTGTACAAGGCCCGCAAGCAAATGCAGCATTTGGCCAGCGGCGAGGAGGTGCCCGCGCCGCAGCCGTCGATCACGGCGTCGACCTCAATGCTGGCCGTGTTCTCCCGCCGGGGCCGAGGCCGGGGCCGTGGAGCCGAAAAGGAGCACACCACGCGTATCGTCGCCAAATGGCTCGCCCAACACGGATGGCGGTACGTCGCGGCGTTCAACTCGATCCCGCCTCGCACACCTCACTGACATTCATGTGTGTGCGGCGCGGTGCGTGCGGTGCGTCTGTGGTGACACACAAATAGGGGCCTACTGGCTGCGATGCTGTTCGTGAGCGTGGCTAACGTGAACCTGTTCTCGCTGGTCATCCTGGTGCTGGCGATGGCCGGCGCGTTGCTGCCGCCGCGCTACGTCGTCTTCGGCACGCTGCCCACCCTCCTCTACGTCATCGCCGTGTCGTCGGCCCAGTACGTGTGGAACATCCCCTTCGACTTCCCCCAGGCCCGCAGCCTCTCCGGTACTACCCCCTCTCAAGCAGCCCCTTAAGGTCGCGGTGCTGACGTCATCGTCACCATTTCTGGGTCAGGGATGGGACTTGTGGAGTACGAGCTGCCGTTCGTGCGGATCGGACTGCAGTGGGCGCTCGCCCTGGGGCTGGCCGTGTACTGGCGCCTCTTCACGCTCTATCGCAAGTGGGCCATGGTACGCCCGCCGCCCGCCAGCCTTTTGGGTGATGCTGACATGGTCCGCGATCGCACACACGCACCGCACACCGCACACACCGCACGCACAGGTGGGCGTGATGAAAAAGCAAGCGTACTACTCGTGGTTCGTGGGCCGACCGGGTCCCGGCGGACTCCTTCAGCACCTGCCCTCCGTCGAGGAGACCGCCGCGCTCTTGGCCGCCGAGTCCGGCTCTGAGCGTATGCCCCCCCCCCTGCCAGCACACGACACGACACAACACGACGCGACACGACACGACACTCATCGATCTAATCGTTCACAGCAAACTACGGCGCGTCTTCGTCGGCGCCTTCGCGCAAGGAGAGCCGGGTCCCACGCTTTGCTGACGACGTCGTCGGTCACGGAGGAGACGAAGAGCAAAACGAGCGCGCGCATCGACACACGGGCCTGACGGACGACGATGACGACGATTACAATCGGGAGCCGCCCATGCACGGCCGCGGGAACGGCGCCGAGTCGGCCAGCTTCATGGACGAGCCCGCCGACGGGCGCAAGCACCTGCGGGACAAGGCCGCCGAGTTCTGGCACGTGGTCAAGCTGGTCACGGCCACCGTCAAGCAGTCCATGCTGGCCCTGCTCAACCTCGTCTGGCAGATTCTCCTCCACGAATCCCACAAGTACGCCACGTTCATTCCACACATTCCACATTCCATCATTTTATCTATTTTAATATTTATTCGTTTTCGAGTGAAATATTTTGTTGAATATTTTATCATTTTATTGGTGCTGTTGTGATGACACAGGTTCGCGTTGTGCGGGTTGTGGATCTGCTCGCTCATGGAGGTGTCGGTCTTCAACGGCGGCTACATGGCCATCTTCATCGTCTTCGTCCTCTGGCAGAAGCTCGCCACCCGCTTCTGGGTGCTGCTCGTGCTCTACTGCCAAGCCGGTACGCTGCCTCTGCCTCAACTGTAAGTGTGTTTCGGCACATAATGCTGAGATCCGTGGCCGTGTGTGTGTGTGTTGTGTGTGTTGTGTGTGTTGTGTGTGTGTGTGTGTGTCTCGATATATTTCTTTTAGTATTGCTGGCGCTCTACGTGTGGCAGCTGCCGTGGCTGCCGGAGGATTCGTCGCTGACGAGTCTGATCGGATTTCAACACTTCCCGAACGTGTGGGCTGGGTTCGGGTGGCACATGGCCATCCTCGGCTTCTCCGTGGCCCAAAACGAACTCAACAAGGTCTCGACCCGTGGCTTCCTCTTCAAGAAGCCCACGCCCGACCAACGTACCCACACTCTCCTCTCTCTCTCTCTCTCTCGTCAACACGCTCACTAACACGCACACGCGCCACCGCACACGCACACAGTGAGGAAATACGGAGACGGGACGCTTCGCGGGCTGCGTACTCACCTGAACCGGCACGTGTACACGCTCATCGTGTTCGGGTACACCATGGTGGTGCGCTACTTCCTGTCGTTCTCCTACCTCGGCATCCTCCTGCTGGCCCTCCTCACCCCGGGTATCCACCACCACCCCCAATCACAACTCTCCTTCTTCTTCCTTCTTCTTCTTCTTCTTTGCATGTTAACCAAAAGATGTTGCGTGTCGTGTGTCGTAATGGTCATAATGTACAGCCAACATGATCAACGTGCTCTACGTTACTTTCATCTTTGCCTGCATCATCGTCCACTTCCAGACCAAGGCACCGGTATGCCCCCGTTTTCACATATATTACCACATATATGTGGTAATATGGAGTGATATATATTGTAATAATATATTAAATTGGCTGCGCACACATCCACGACCAGGGTCGAGTCTACGTGCGGCGCATGTGGCCGTTTCTGGTGTTCTTCGCCGGCGGAGCGCTGGCGTGTCGGTACCTGTACCAGTTCGACGACCTGGCGGAGATCATCGACGACGTCTACCCCGACGACTTCCTCCCGCTGGGCCTCAAGGACCTCGGCTTCGAGCAGTACCCGACCAAGCTCTTTGTAGCCCTCCTGCCCAACGCCATCGTGCTCGTCCTCTCCGTCTTCCAGCTCCGCATGTTCAACGGCGAGCACTGGACCAAGGTAACAACACGACACACACGACACACACGACACACATGACACACACGACACACACGACACACACGACACACACGACACACACGACACACACGACACACACGACACACACGACCACACGACACACGACGGTATGAAACTCATCATTGTTGTCGATGTGTAGACGCTGGGCTCGCTGATCGGGGAGGAGAATGAGCGGGAGGAGGGGGTGAAGGTGCTAGCCTGGTGGGAGGGGCTGGTGGCCGGCGTGCGGCGGCTGGTCATGCTCCACGGCCGGTCGGCGGCGGTGTGGGTGCTGGCCATCATCGGCTGCACCTTCGTGACGGTCATCCGCTCGGGCTTCCTCGTGCTCGCCGTCGTCTCCCTCATCTTCATCAAGTGGGGCGCACGCTGCCGTTCCGACTCCCTCAGCTGGACCGCCACCGGTGTGTGTGTGTCGTGTGTCGTGTGTGTGTCATGTGTGCTATCGTGTCTCATCGCCGTGTCTCACTCTGCTCGTTTCTGCGTACAGTGTACCACGTGGTGACCTTCGTCTCGTTGATCTACTCGCAGGTACCACGTCTCTGTGGCCCTCAAGCCCATTCAAGCGATTAACACACACACACACACACACAGGCGGTGGTGCTGGCGCAGCTGGTGTTCTTCTTCCCGTCGTTTGATGACGTGTCGGGCGGGAATCCGTCGTGGTTCGGCTTCGACCGGGCGCACGAGGACGGCCAGATAGGCGGAGTCATCAGCGGCCTCAGCGCCATGGTGGTCGTCCTCATCGCGCGCTACGGCCAGTCGTGGCTGGCCCAGTGGTACTCCGTGGCCGCCCTCTCCCACAACGGTACGCACTCTATCCGCAGAAAACCGTTCGAATTCTTGGAATGTTTTTGACAACCGCACGCGCACGCGCACACGCACAGACGAAGAGAGTGGTGAGGACATGTCGGAGTTGACGCTGTTCCCGGTCGACAAGGAGACCGTGCAGCACGGACGTCGGCTCCGGTTCGCCGTGGTGTGGAACTACGCCAAGTGGTACGCCTCGCACGCGTTCGCGCTGCACGGGCAGCACCTGTTCGGGTTCATGCTGCTCGTGGTGGCCTTCGTGCGCAACGACGCCGTCAGCTGGTTCTACCTGGTCCTCCTCGCCGCGAGCATGGTCTTCCCCTTCTCGACGTACGCCAGCCACCGCCTCGAGCGCTCTCGCAGGTCGCTCACCACTCCAATGTTTCATCTCGTGTGTGTGTGTGCGTGCGTGCGTGCGTGCGTGCGTGCGTGCGCGTGTGGTGTGACCGGAGACAGTCTGGTGGTTGCGCTGCCCGTGTTCGTGACCGTGCAGGCGAGCATCATCTTCGCGCAGTACGCGTCGCTGCTCGGCTTCCCTCCGTTCATGGACATCGTCTGGCCACCCGACCTGCTCGCCGAAGAGGTGACCACCTGGCTCGGCCTCGACCGACCCTACCCAGGTACACACGCTGCCTTTTCCCTCATTTACTTATTATTTAATTTATAAATATGAAACATTTAAATTTATCATTATATTTATTAGTTCTATATCTAATCTACATTTTGAATGTGTTGCAGAGATGCTGCTGCTCGATTTCATGCTGCTGTGGCTGGCGGTGCTGCTGCTCTACGTGCCCAGCCACATCCACCCGTTCCCCGAGGCCCACCCGCCGCTCCGCTACGACTTCACCCTCAAGCCGCGCAGCTGGAACGACGAACTCAAGTTCCAGGTCCTGCAGTACAGCTCGCGGGGCATCCTCGTGGTGGTGATGGTGGTCGGCCTGGTCCACACCGACCTCCTCTCCGCTGGCTACCTCATCTTCTCGCTCGCCCTCCTCTATCACGGCGGTACCTACCAACTCCCACCATCATTGGTTTGCTGTCGTCAGCCGCTTTGTTAATATTTTTACTGTTTTGTTAATGCTTTGGAATGTCAGGCACGTTGCTGCTGAAGCAGAACGCGTGGTGGTGGTGGCTCAGGGCCTACAACCTGCTGGTGCTCGCCGCCCTGGCCTTCTACTCCCTGCCCTGGCTGCCGCAAGACGACGACCCGCAGGTACATGTTTGACGTGATGCGAAACACTCATCATATAAGCTTGCATTTTACATGTTGTGCATTTGCTCACATTCCCACAAACATCTGGCCATGCCAGGGCTATGCGAAGGTGATCGGGTTCGAGAAAATGGAGGTGGGCGAGCTGTCGGCCTGGTCCGACCTCGTCATCTTCTGCCTCTTGTCCGTACAAGGCTACGTACGGCTCCCCATCCACCCGTTGCCTGCACCGCGCTGTTGACAATTATTGACCACGACACACACGACACACACGACACGCACGACACGCACGACACGCACGACACGCACGACACGCACGACAAACATGATGCGTCATATGATATGCAGATATTCGATCTCGACGACATGAACTTGGTGGTGGACTACCTGCTCATTCGCGAGGGCTGGGAGCGCGTACGCGCGCAGGCCGAAGACGAGGTCCGCCAGGAGGAGCTCCAGAAGGCGCTCGATCTCCTTCGCAAGGAGCAGACCGCACGCAAGACCCGCCTGGCCCACCGTACGCACGCACACACGGCCGCACACACCACCACACACGCACATTGCTCACATTCCGCTCTCTTTGTTTTTTTCCACTGCAGTGAAGCAAACTCGGCTGCGGAGTCAGCTGACGTCAGCTCTACAGAGCGAGGGCGCGAGTCCGATCGACAGTCAGGCGCCCTCGCCCCGGCCCGAGTCCCCGCGCGGGCCGCGTAGCGGGGCCAGCCCGCGCAAGGGCAAGGAGAAGGAATTCGAAGAATCCGGGGGCGGCGACGGCAAGCTTGCCCCGCAGGCGACGGCCGCCAGGCGACCGACGCGCCCGAGCCCGAAGAAGAAGGCGGCCGCGCCGCAGGAGAATCTGTGGAAGAAGATCAAGGGCTGGTATGCGGCGGCCAAGCGCATGCTGGTCCCGCTGTTCAGGGAGTACTCGGCGGCCGCCATGGAGCGTACGGTGGTCCTGCTCGAGTGGCTGGCCGAGAAGCACCTCGAAAAGGGTACGCACACGCCACCGCACACATACGCACACGCCACCGCACACACACGCACACTGCTAATGCATTTGTTATCGACAGACGTGCATGCCAAGTTGAAGGAGAGGGGCTTGGACGAGACGATCCTGTTTGCCAACGACTACCGCCACCACTTGCGTCGACAGGACTCCGCCGCAGCCGGCGCCGAAGGAGAAGAGGCCTCCGATTCTGACGACTCTTCGTCGTCGTCCGCGGCCGATGACGGCAGCAGCAGCGAAGACGAAAGCTCCACCTCATCGGCGTCGTCGTCTTGCGACTCGTCCGACTCTGAGTGCGCGTCGGAAGACGAGGCCGTACCGCCGACGTCGACATCGGCGTCGCAGACCGAGACCGAAATTTCGGCCCAGAGCGAGGAGCTGCTGGCGGGCGCGGCCAAGGCCGGCGTGACCTTTGATTCCTCGGCGGACGCAGCCGAAGACTTCCCGGACGACGACGACACGAGCGCGGTCGTCCACAACTCGGCCCGGTGGTGGCGCCAGCAGCTGGGCCGGGCCTACAACTCGTGGGTCAAGTGGGTCTCGACCAACACCAACATCATCTGCTACCTCGCCCTCGTCGTCAACCACGCCGGTACGATCACCACCTTCATCATCATCATCGTCATCTTCATCGTCATCGTCAATTGTCGTGTTGTGTCGTGTTATGTCGTGTGTCGTGTCGTGTCGTGTGCCTGCAGCGTATGCGTCGGTTCTATCGGTGGTGTATCCGGTGTCGCTGTTCATCTACGCGGCGCTGGCGGCCCCGCGGCCCACCAAGACCTACTGGCGGCTGGTGCTGGCCTACTCGTCGGTGGTGGTGTGCGTCAAATTCCTCTTCCAGCTCTCGTTCCTGTGCGTGTGCTACACCGCCAGCGGCGAGGAGTACGCCGTGCAGCCCACCTGCGAACTGGAAACCTGCCGCTTCGAACAGGTACCTACGGAATTCCAACAATCCAACAAATCGCGTGCACTACATTCTTTGAACGTCTGACCTGTGTTGCGTCGGCACACAGACCTACGATACGCAGCTGGGCCTGACGTACGTGATCGGCATCTACAAAGTGACGGGCTTCTTCCTCAAGGGCTCCCTGTGGGACGTGGTCCTCATCCTCGCCGTCCTCTGGCACCGACACCAAATGAAAATGAAGGCACGCCATCTCCCTTCGCCCATCGTTATCGTCGTCATCTTCATCGTCATCGTCGTCGTCGTTGTTTGGTCTGACAATGCGGCGTGTCTGGTGACACAGGGCTACTGGGATCTGGCGGTGGACCTGAAGCAGGAGTTCAAGGGCCTGCAGAAGTCGCGCAAGCAGTGGATGGGCTGGCTCTCGCTCGAGCGGCAGACCCACGCGCACCACCGGCTGCCCACCCTCCCGCCGCACCTGCTGGGCTCGTCCTCGATGCTGCCCATCACCGGCATCCGCGGCTCGCGCATCCTGTCGAGCCGCCACTCGACCCTCCTCCTCCCCGTCGACCTCAAGCACACCCTGCCGCCCGACGCCCCCCAGGGCGGCGTCCACATCCAGGAGTGGTACGTGCCGCGCGTTGTATCGTCTCGTGCGTGTGCGGTGGCGCGTGTGCGTGTTGCATGTTGTGTGTGTGTGTGTGTGGTGCTGCAGGCCTGACGTTGACGGTGGATGAATGTGCAGGAAGGAGGCGCTGCGGGAGGGGGCCACGTGGGCGGTCGATAAGGCAAAGGGCGCGTGGAACGGCGTGATGCTGTACTACCGGTGCCTCTTCTCCAAGTTCAGCCCCAACAAGGACTTCTACACCTCCATGCTCTTCATCCGTACGCACCACAGCTCTTCTTTGCCACCTGTTTTTTGCTAACATTCTCTCCGCATTCCAAACCCCCCAGAATTCCTGTCATTCCTATACCTCATCCTGTTCCAGCAAGACTTTACTGGTGCGTCCGTCTCTCATTCCTCTCATTCCTGAGATTCTAACACACTCACGACCACACACACCACACACACCGTACCACACACACACACACACGATGTACCACGGCCTCTAGGGGTGGAGACGTCGAGTCTGTTGGACATCTTCATGCAGAGCCGCATCCCGTCCAAGTACGTGTGGCTGCTGGTGGGCCAGTTCCTGCTGATCATCGTGGAGCGCATCATCTACCTGCTCAAGTCGACGCGGGCCAAGCTGGTCCTCCACTACGCGCTCGTCGTCCTCTACCACTGGGGCCTCTGCTTCCAGCTGCCCTCGTCCAACGGCCGCAGCTTCGCCTCGTCCCCGCTGCTCCTCATGTTCTACCTCCTCCAGTGCCTCTACCTCTACCTCTCCTCCCTTCAGCTCCGGTACGTGTTTTGCAGCGTGTGCGTGTTGTATGTGTGCGGTGTTGTGTGGGTGTGTGTGTGCGTGTGTGCGTGCGTGCGTGTGTGTGTGGTGTGTGTGTGTGTGTGTGGTGTGTGCCTCGTGCTGACATGAGTGGGGGGTGTTCGTAGGTTTGGGTATCCGTTGTTTGCGGCGAACAGAGCGCTGACCAACTCCAAGGACCCCTCCAAGATCCGCTACTGGCTCTGTACGCCCGCCTGCATCACGTGTTATATCAAATAAGATATTTAGATATTTAGGTATTTAGATATTTAAATACTTCACTTCATCTATTGTTTTTAACTTTTCGCTTGCAGTCATGGCCTATCGCGCGATTCCGTTCGGGTACGAGCTGTCGACGATCCTGAACTGGACCATCCACCGCACGGCCCTGGACTTCTTCGAGTGGCTCAAGGTCGAGGACCTCTACGCCGACCTGTTCGAGATCAAGTGCCGCAACGCCGACCGCGAGCGCAGCGGGCGCAAGCCGGGCGACGCCCAGCCCCTCTGGATCAAGCTCCTCATCGGCATGGGCCTCTTCTTCATCCTCTGTCTCGTCATCTGGTTCCCCCTCCTCCTCCTCGTACGTCATTCCCCCCGCCCCACGCGCAACGCACGACACACACGACACACGCCAAATGACACACAACACACGACACGACACGACACGACACGCAACACGACAGGCATCGGACACGCCGGGCAACAGTGTGAACCAGGTGCACCAGAGCACGATCACGGTGGGGATCGAGGGCTGGGAGCCCTTCTACCGGAGCTACCAGGCCACCAACGTCTCGTTCGCCACCAACGCCCAGTTCGCGCGGCTGCGGGGCCTCTTCCCGTTCATCCTCAACGACGAGCAGCCCACCACGCAGCTCATATCGTTCCAGCCCTACTCCGAAGTCTACTGGTGGATCACCGCCGAGAGTCTCGAGACCCTCCTCTTCTCCCTCCAGAGCGACCACGTACACGCTTTTTATTTTATTTTATGATTTATATGATATTTATTTGTTCATCTTTTATTCCTTTTTACGTTTTTTTTGAAGTTGTTATTGAAAGCAAATGTTTAACGGTCGGGCGTTGTTGAACAGAGGGTGGAGCTGAGCTTCACGTACTCGTTCACGCGCGATCAGCCGGCCTCGTCGCCCACCACCAGTACGACACGACACGACACGACCAACGACACGACACGACACATACACGCATACCGCTGGGAAGAAGAATGTAGGGAGCGCGTCTAATGTGTCGGTGTGTAACAGGTGGTCGAGTTGTGAGGGCGCTGACGCCGGAGCTCAAGGCGCAGCTCTACAGCATGCTGGCCACCAACGCGACCGGGTCGTGGAACGTCACCATCCCCAAGGCCTTCCCGCGCGCCTATCGGTACCGTGCCTCACGTCATTCTCGCGCGCTGCCTCTTTCACGACACACGACACACGACACACGACACACGACACACGACACACGACACACGACACACGACACACGACACACGACACACGACACACGACACACGACACACGACACACGACACACGACACACGACACTATGATACTGAATTGCTCTCAACAATGCCAACAGGCTGCCACTCTCGGAGGCGGTGAGCATTCCGAGTCCCAACCAGTACGTGGGCCTGCAGCTCACCCTCTACCGCAAGCTCCTCACACAAAAGGTACGCGCATTGATATTTATATTTTTATCTTATTCTATTTATTTATTTAGTTTTTGCTATTATTCTTTTTATTTCTATACTATTTTGTGCCTAACACGGGCGCTGCAGGTGCAAACGCCAACCGGCGAGATGGAGGTCGACTCGCTGGTCTTGGCCTGGCGAGCCCGGCAGGTCCAGCCCTCGTCCAATCTCCGTACGTCACTCCGCCGCCGCCGCCGCCCAACTGCGCGTGTCGTGCTCATCTCTGACGCACACAACACGCCGCACACATGGCACACGCCACGCGCACCACACAGACGCAATGGCGACGCGTCCGGATGTATCGTCGAGCGAGACGGATGAACCGCTGTTCAGCGAAGAGGGTCCGCAGGTGGTGTCCCTCTCGACCATGGTGCCCACGGACTCGCTCACGCGCAAGGTGATGGCGACGGGCATCATCGGCCTCTACATCACCGTGGTGCTCTCCGTCGGCCGCTTCCTCCGCATGTCCCTCTCGCGCCTCGTGCCCAAGGTAATTTTTGCGCGACAGACACGCACACCGCACACGCACATGCACACGCACACATGGCACACGACACGGCGACTTACGCGCGCGCGTGTGTGTACGACAATCAGATCCGATATGAGGACCTGCCCAACGTGGAGTTCATCATTTCGCTGTGCGAGGACTTATTCATCGCGCGCCAGTTTGACAATCTGCTGCTGGAAGAGGAATTGTACTGGGAGCTAATTGAACTGTACCGAGACCCGAGCCTCATCCTCGAAGTCACCGGCCGCCGTCCTGTCCTCTTCAAGCACACCAAGCACGACTGAGATGGCCAATGTCTCCAATCTTTGCGCACAGCTTTCAGAAAACGCTTTCGAATTTAGATGCAGTTCAACCTGTTCCACCAGCTGAGGCCTCAACCTCATCACACACTCTCTCTCTCTCTCTTTCTCTCTAGTTGCTCTGGTGGTTCCCATTCCTTGCCTCACAAAGCTTGGTGTTGAATGTGTGTGGTGAATGGGCCAACCCACACTCAACACAACCTGCAGCTCAAATCATACAGACCATAGGCAATGATTTGAAGGAGGAGGTTCTTGTTTTCAATACCCAGAACGTGCAGCTTTCATGAGAGTAGCCTCAGAGGCTGGGCTGCGGATCCTCTTCGGACTTTTGTACGGGCGGAGGCTCGCTGGCGGCCACGCTCTCGGTCTCGCCTTGTTGGGGTGGCTCGACCGCTTGTTCGGGGCCGGCCGTCTCCATCTGCTCGCTCGTGGCAATGAGCGCCGTCTCATTGACGGTGGCGCGGGTCTCCTTGTCGGTTTCGTCCAGAACCGGAGCGGCGTGGTCTTTTCCTTCGCCTTCCACTTCCATCATCTCTGCCGGCGTGGAGCTCTCTGCGGTGGGCGCGGCAACGTCGGCTTCGCTGCCACCAGTGCTTATCAGGCTGTCGGCGGCTGTGTCGACGTCGGCTGCGGTCGCGGTCGTGACGTCGGCGGCGCTTGTAGCGACCACCGTGCTGGCCATGTCCAGAAGGACGCGCTGATGTGTCGCTATGGCCTTCTGGTCGTGCACGAGCGACCGCAGGTGCCCCTCGAGGGCGCACAGCAGGGCCCAGAGATCGGTCGGCTCGGTCGACGATGACGAAGAAGAAGCGGACGACTTGTCAGCGGATACGTGGGCCGGTGCGGGCAGCGCCGGAAGGAGTGCTTTCTGGCCATCCGCTGCGGCGGCGTCACCGCCTTCGTGGGCCTCCGTCGTCTTTCTGCGCTTCTCCGCGGCGTCCATCTCGTCGGTGAGGTCCTGGCCGACCAGTTCGGCCTCGTCATGCCGCTTTCGCTTGGCGCTGAAGGCGGAGACGGTGGTGGTTCCTTGCGAGTTCGCCCTCAGCTCCTCGTCGAGCGTCAAGAGCTTCTCTTTCAGCAGACAGTTCTCCAGCTGCAGGTTGATGCTCTCTTCCTCCCACTCGCGCTTCTCCTCGCGACTCTTTTTCTCCCTGTTCCTCGCTCTGCGCTCCTCTTCCTCGAGCTTGCGCTTGAGCAGCTCGAGCTGCTCCCTGTCCTTTCGATGCACTCGCTCCCACTCCAGCGCCTTCTTCGAATCCTGATGATGGTGCTGCCGGCCGCTGTCGAGGTCTTCTAGAGCTGACGCTACCGCTCTCGGTACGCCGTGTCTCGCAGCAGGAGGAGGGGTGATGGTGATGCTGGTAGTGGTTGAGGTGGTGGCTACGTCGTTCGATGCGGCTTCCATCGGCGACGCAGTCTCTTCCATTTCTCCATCCGCCGAAGCGTCTGCGCGGCATATCAGAGGGCCTCTGATCAGCATCACGCCCGAGATCTCTTCGCCTCAGGAGAAAGGGATTGAGGGGGATAACCTACCGAAGCTGTAGTCCATAGAGTCATTGCCATTGGACGACTTCCTGGGCGTCACCGTGCCATCGTTGTTCCCCCACACGAACCCCATACTGTCCAACCTATCAATAAAATGACGTGTGAGTGTATGCCGAGTACGTGGATGGGGCGGTTAGGAGCTTACTTGTTAATCTTCTCCTCCTCGAGACTGCCCTTACGCCTCGATGCTCGTTGCCTTTCGGCCCAGTACGCCAGCCCCTTGTTCTTGCCAAAGTAGCGCCTCTTGACGTCGCAATGGCCGTGTTTGTCCTTGAACTGAGCGCGGCACCACCATCAGCGAGCGACGAGAATGAGAAGCGTTTAGCATCAGACGCTCGCAGTCTTAAACCAACGACGACGTACCTGCTGTAGCAGGGCACACCAGTCGTCGAAGGACTTGGCCTCCTCGAGCTTTAGCCGACCTCTGCGCGTGACTGTGTCGTCTCGACTACGCTCCCTGCTCTCCTCACGAGGGACTGGAGCCTCGCCCGTGACGACACTGCGCTCTGCTTCTCCTCTGCCTCCGGCGGCGGGAGCGTCGCCCTCGGCTGGGTCTCGTTGCGCTGCGCTCTCGCTGCCCTCGTAGTGGCCACCTTCAAAGGCGCCTGGCGGCTCCGCAAGCAGATTCGACTGAGACTCGGCGAACTCGGCTTTGATTCGGTTGCTGGCGTGCAGGGCCTCGTACTCGCGAAGCTCGTCGCTTCCGCTGCCATTGGTCCCGGCCTCCCACACGAAGCCGATGTCGTCCAGCCGCTTCTTCTTGTCGAGCTCGAGCGTGCCCTTCCTCCAGGCCATCCTCTGCCTTTCGACCCAGTAGGCGAGTCCCTTCGTCTCGCCGGGATGCGTTCGCTTCACCTGGAGAGGAGCCGAAAGCGATATAGAAGCGACGACGAAGCAAGGGCATGAGGCTCTGTCAGGTCGACAGGAGCAGCGAAATGGTGAAAGGTGTAGACGTACGTGGCAATGGCCGTACGTGTGCTTGAACTCGACCAGCTGCTGGCAGCGATCGTCGAACGAGAGGTTGCGGCGGTTGAAGCGATTGTACTTACGCTTGCTCGCCGCGGACTTGTCCAGCATGGCCGCCATGCGGCCGTTGGCCCCAGCGCTGCCCGGCGCATGCAGGAGCGACGACGACGGTGAGGCGTTCCCTCCATCTGAAAAGTTGCGCTCGCGGAGAGTGCCGTTGACGTAGAAGAGAGTCTCCTTGTCGTAGTGTTCGCGTCTGCGGCTCGCACCGCTCTCCCTCGAGCTACGGCGGCGGCTGCGTTCACCTTCGCTGTACTCGTCGTCGCTCGCATCTTCGCTTTCCTCTTCCTCCTCCTCCTCTTCCTCTTCAGGGTCTTCGCTTTCGTTCATCTCGAAGTCAGAGTCGCTCTCATCTTGATCGTGCTTACGTCCCTTGCCCTCTGCCTTGCGTCGCTCGGCTCGCTTGAGTTTTTCCTCATTCGTGATTGCAGCGATCGAACGCGGAGGCCTGAATTCTTCCTCCCTGATTGAAGATCGAAAGCCTCTGTTAGTCAAGCAAACACACGCTCTAACGCCTCCTACAAGCCTTTACGTCATCGTCAACAAAGCGAACGAAATTTGCAACTTTCGTAGTGCGCAATCAAGATAGGGATCGTACTCATTCGGCGGTGTGGCACCTGCCAGGGTGCTTACGCTCTCGGTGGACGGTGCCAGGGCTTCCGGGACATATGTCTTCGAAGTCTCGCCATCTTCCTCTTCCTTCTCTCTTTGTTTATCTTCAATCTTGGTGCCGCTGGCCTGCTGCTGCTCGAAGCTGCGGAGATCTTTGAGCTGTACGAGGCTCTGTATGGTCTCGTCCTCATCGAGATCTTGCATTTGCGTGTAGGACGTCGATTCTCAGCTTGGTTCAATTTATACCAGAGATTGCGATCGGGGGTGGGGTAGTAAATCGCGAAGCGCTCGCCGTCCTCTGCCGTCTTCGTCTTCCTTCTCTCCTCAGTGCGATCGAGTAGCCTTCTTTCTTCCAAAGAAGGACCGCACCCCTTCCATTTCAAGCAACGGACACGCAGGCATCTTCCCTTCTTGGGCGCGGTGGCATTTTGATAATTTTTCTTTTTCACTCAAGCCCATTCTGAAACGCAATTCGTTTCGTTTGGAAGCAAAACAGTTTCGCTAAGCTTGGCTAGGTGGACTTTCGCACGACTTTCAAGAGTTTATTGCATTTTCGCCGTTCGTTCGCCAGGGCAGAAAGGTCGTAAGCAGGAGAATGTACGTTCGTCTGGCGCTGCTGGTCTTCCTCGGCCTGGCTGTCTATGCCTCCGCTCAGTTCCAAGATGTGCACTCCCTCAAGGGACCTTTCACCCTGCCCTTCTGGAGCATGCAAGGAAGTACCGGCCCAAATCTTTTCAATTTTTGCTTCAATGATTTCCAGAAATCGGACGTCTTGCCTGTCCTGCACACCCTGCATACGTGCCGGAGTAGTGAGCGCATTTCGTTACGAATGATTGGCGTATTTAATCGGCTTAATCTCTCGCCCATGATCCGTTCAGATGCGCAAGTGACGGAGAACTTTGTGCGGCTTGCCGAGGACCGTCAGAACAAGCGTGGCTCGCTCTGGAACGTTGTGGTACGGCATCTGCTCCGGCCTCTCCTGCACCGCCTGGCTCCATGTCGCCAACCCGTTCTCTCTTCTCTCTGTGTGCTGCTGCAGCCCAACATGTTCGCCAACTGGGAGGTCACCTTCTCCTTCCGCATTCACGGCGTACGTCGCTCCCTCCGCCGTGCGCGTGTGCCCATTGATGGCCGTCGTGTGGCCGGCGCTACGTAGTTGAACTCACTGCCCGACATTATTTTTATTTATTTATCTATTGTTATTGTTTGTTTTCTGCGCCATCAGGTGAGCACCTATGGTGCTGATGGTCTGGCCTTTTGGTACACGGAGAAGATCGACAAGGCCGGCTCTCTGTTCGGCAACGATGAGTACTTCAAGGGCATCGGCATCGTCGTCGACACGTACTCGCCACCACCAACTTCTTCTTTTTTCCTTCTTCTTTTCTTACCGTGACACGCCGCACGCCGCGCACGCCGCCAGGTACGACAATGACGGCGCTGGCGTGCACCCCTATGTCATGCTGTTGCAGAACGACGGCACCAAGAAGTTCAACCCCGAGCACGAGCACGGCGTTCACAAGGAGCACGACGAGGGCGAGCTGGAGCTGGGCGGATGCACCCTCCACGTGCGCAACCTCGAGACGCCCTCCACTCTCCGGATCACCTACTTCAACCACAGACTCACCGTACGGCTCGATCGCTCGCCAGCTCAGCTTACAAAACGAAACACTGATAGCAGCTGCCAACCCGCTCGCTCGCTCGCTAACTCAACGCGACTTCATCCAGGTCGAGGCGTCGTTGGAGGACGGCGCCTTCACGCGCTGCATCGACGTCAACAAGATCGACCTGCAGCCCGGTCACTACTTCGGGTTCACTGCGGCCACCGGTACTGCACTCTCCGCACCACCGCACACGCACCACCGCACACACCGCACATGGCACGTTTGGATGTTCTGACCATGTGCGCCAACAGGCCAGCTTGCCGACAACCATGACGTTCACCGTTTTGTTGTGCGCGGCCTGGATCCCCAGGGCAAGCCCCAGGATCTGCCCGTCGTACGTCCCTCCCCAGCCTTCACCTCAGCGTAGCCATTATTGACTGACTGACTGACTGACTGTCGGCCTTAAATCTCTTGTACAGTGCGGAGAGGGCAGCAACGTGGGCCGTGCGCTGAGCCAGGTGCAGCACGAGCTCGCCGAGTCGAAGAAGCAGCTCCAGACCCTCTTGGACAAGCTCTCCTCTGGCGCCCCTATTGAGGGCAGGCAGTCGGAGACCGGAGCCGTGTACGTCCCTCCACAGCCGTCGTTTGCCGGGATTGCTACAAACTTACAAAAATGCTTGGTATGCGTGAGTAGTGCTGACCCCCAGCTTCAGACCAACGTGGCGGACCTGCGAAGGACCGTTGAGGTATGAGATTGGTCCCACCTCAGTACTGCACTAGTCACGATGGAATCTTGATGGACAATTCTGACTTTCATATTTATTTCAATTTATTTTTATACAATTCTTTTAAAAACAGAGAAGCAACCAGGCGCTCGAGACCAGGCTGCACGACATTGAGCGTAAGGTCGTCTCGGCGTCGACCTACGCCAAGGAGGCCGGAGAGGCCGCTGGCTCGTCGCTGCTGTCGTGGATCACCAGCATCGTCCTCCTCGTCACTTGTGGTGCCGTCCTCTACTTCCAGTACAAGGCCCACCTGCACCGCAAGCAGAAGTTCTTCTGATCCCACTCCTTGATCAGCCCACATTGTAGATCTGTTCAACATTTTTAAGACAAAAGGTGGTTGATGCCTTCATCTTATCATGGCAACATTCCCTTCTCACACCATTCATACAGAAGAGGCAAAGCACTGCAAGCACAGTCAGAGATTGCAACGTGTGCAGAGCTCGATATCTTGGGCTAAGTGTATATCTCGGGTGTGCGTTTATCTCCGCGTAAATAAATATTGGTCGTAGTGCAACCTGGTGCGAAGCCGTGGTCCTAGCTTCTGGACGCGAGCAACCGGGCGCCCGCAACGATGGTGGTCAGCAACCAACTTGAGGTACATAACGTGACAGTTGAGGTAATCCTGAGCAGGCAACATATTCATTCATTCATTTCACACCTGCACCGTGATCCACGCCTGCCTTCTAGATTGGGGCACGATTCCATTTGAAATCGCAACTCACATTTCGACATCTTGAACGCGGATGCGAAAGTTGAAGGATTTGGCACTTCATTTGCCGTTGGCAGGCCTCGATCGCTCGTCATCTTCCTCTCCCACCTCATCGCCACGCCACCGCCCCCATTCGCCTCAAGCCTCTGGTTTATCTCAGTCAGGCGATGACTCGGCACCTCAAGTTACCTCTGCCTCTACAAATCCAGCATCTTCCTCGGTAATCCAAGATCGAAAGCGAAATTTTGGGCCTCTGCACCAGGCCTGCAAGCAGGGCGACCTTGTGGCCATCCATGGCCTCCTCTTGTCGGCCATCTCGCCCGCTTCAGCATCGCCCGAGGAGGTGGGCGAACCAGCTGGCGGCGACTTCGCCGGCTGGCTGCCCATCCATCTTCTACTCGCCTCGCGTGCACTCTCCCCCCTCGCCGCCCACCCTCCCGAGATCCCCCCTCCTTCCTCTCTTGTCCACTCTTCTCCAATCGCCCACCAAAGGTAAGTCCACTCTCTTCCATCTTCTCAGCGCCATCTCTTTCTACTTGCAAGTAGAAAATTGCTGAACGTAGTTGCATCCGTTGAATCAATCCACAAAACAAACAGGCTCGTTGGTGAACGCCAAGAACGGACAGGGCATGACGCCGCTTCATCTCGCCGTCAGCCGCGGCTGTGCACCCTACATCATTCGCCACCTCCTCATCCTCGGGGCCGACCCCACCATCACCGCCAAGTACGTCTTCTTCTTCATCTCGTCGCCACGTAGAACGCAACTTGTGCTGATCCGATGCATTCCTCAACATGTGCTCATCACCGTCACTATCACCACACAACAACAACATCATCAGAGGGAAGACGTGCGTGCAGCTGGCGCAGAACGAGGAGACGGTGAAGCTGCTGCTCAACAGCCGCGCGCCGTCGAACAGCGGACCCCTACTCACCAAGGCCTCGTCGCGCCTCAACATCCGGCGCTCGGCGGACCTGCCCAGCATCAGCACGACCGACTCATCCTTCTCTTCCCTCTCTAGCTCCAGCGAGGCGTCCTTTTCCTCTTCTTCTTCTTCTTCTTCTTCGTCGTCTTCGTCTTCATCTCTCGCCTCGCCTTCGCAGTCATCATCACCGTCATCACCGTCATCACCGTCATCGCTTTCTCCGCACAGTTTGCCGAAGCCGAAGCCGGCGTCGTCGCCATCGTCGCCCAAGGAGAGCCGACGAGACCGAGACGCCGCCGGTGATGACTCGCTCTCGCTCTCGCTGCCGCCGCCGCCGCCATCGACCACGGCATCGCTCTCGTCGTCGCCGCTCACCTCGCCGCGCGACACCCTCAGCAGCGGCGGCAGCGGCGTCCGGCGGAAGAGCTCGACCATCAAGAAGAAGAAGAAACAGTCCACCCTCACCAAGCATCGCAGCCGACCATCGTCGCCACCGACCGTCGCTGCCGCCGCTGACGTGGCTGTCGACAACAACAATAACGACGACGACCAGGGGCAGCGGGCCGCAGCTGCGGCCTTGGCGGCTACGAAGGAGGAGCAGCAGCAGCAGCAACGTTGGATGGCCGAGCAGCAGCGCGAGTGGGCTCGCATCGGGCGCGAGCGGGCGCAGCGAGTCGACGAGGAGCGTACTATCTACCTCCTCCTCTGCCTGCTCAGCGCGCTCGCGGCCGTGGTGGGCGGCCACCTGTGCGGCTACTACATGGGACGCCTCGACGCCGACAACCACCACTACGCCCTGCTGAGCGCCCAGCACCAGGCCAACATCGCCAACGCGACGACAGCTCTGTCGTCGCCGCCACCAGCGTCGTCTTCGTTCTTCTTCTCTTTCTTCTCTTGGTGGAGTTCGTCGTCTCCACCGCCGATGTCGCTGCCGCCGGAAGTGCTCCCTGGCGGCAGCGGAGGCGGCGAGGAAGCCGCGCGATCGGAGACCACCATCGTGCGCGTGTCGTCGTCGCTGGGCGGAGGACTCGTGGCCTTTGCCGGCCTCCTCAGCCTCTACCACTTTGCCCTGAAGATGCTTCGCTGACCTCAGATGTACTATTCTTTATTTATTTATATAATTTAGTTATCTGTTTATTGAGTTTAATTACTCGATGACGCAACATGTGTGTACAAACACGTTTATGTTTTTTGTTTATGTTTTTTGTTTATGTTTATGTTTATGTTTATGTTTATGTTTATGTTTATGTTTATGTTTATGTTTATGTTTAGCCACCAACTGGGAGGGGAAAGGGAAGGGGGAGGAATCATGAGCGTGTCTTGACGACGATCTGCGTGGAGCAGTATGGGCACGTCCCGAACAGGGTCCCGAAAGACTGGCGCGTCGATGGCAGCACCCGCAACCACTCCACCAGACACGCCTGCGCGAAGACATGCACAGCATAGCGTCAGAGCGCGTGTTGTGTTGGGGATGTTGTGTGTGTGTTGCGTCGTACCTCATGAAAGGCCTTGTTGCACGAGGCGAGCGAACAAAGCACGGTCGGGATGTCGCCCTTGAACCGAAGCGCGTAGCAGATTCCGCATCCGATGCTCGCCCTGTCCCCCGTCGCCGCCGCCTCCTTGCCCGGCAGCTCGCACCCCAACACGCGCCCCAAATTCACGTGCAACGCCTGGCCCTCGTCCCTGGTGGCACCACGACCATCAGAGAACGAAAAGCGAAATGCGAAAAGCGATAGCAGCGGGGAGAGGGGAGGGGGCTACCAGAGGTCGAGGTTAGCGTTGAGGTTCTCGCGGAGGGCCGCCACGCGTGTCTCGCTGCCCAGAAATCGGCACTGGGGCACCGACGCTGGCGCCGCAGCGTCGATCACCACCTGCAACGAACAGTGATTGCCTGCCCAACACGCAACACGCAACACACACACACACACACACAACACAACACACAACACACACAACACACAACACACAACACAACACACAACACACAACACAAAATGAAAACGATCAGGCACGATCGCACACAAAAGAACGAAGGAATGTGTGGAGTGGGTGATGATTGAGCCTCTACCGAGGGCAATGCGACGGATGGAGGTGGCGAGGGTGGGCCGCTCGGGCTCGAGCACCCACGTGTGGCGGTCGATGTCCTCCAGCACGGCCCACAAGGCCTGGTAGCCCCGCAGGGCCTCCTCGAACTGCCGCACCACGTCGGCCAGGGTCGACGGCTGGGCCGGGTCCCATCGGAGGGCCAGCGCCTGGGGCAGGTCCGTGGTGCACACGGGCGCCGTGCGCGGGTGGTCGGGCATCAGTTCGACCTCGAGCCTGTGCTCTCGCCCGGCCTCGTCCCTAACAGCGCAGTTCACCATCCATCCTCGTCAGCATGACGCCGACCGCCACCTTAAAGCAACAATTGGGGGGGGTAGGGGAGTGGTTACGTGGTGCGGAGGGAGAGGCGGGTGAGGGAGTCGTTGGCCGAGACCAGCTTGGACCACCCGACGGCGTCGATCTCGGCCACCACCCGGCTGTAGAACCCGCCCCCGCGCGGCGGCACTCCTCCGCTCCGCACTCCTCCAATTCCTCCACCGCCGCCTGTCGTCGTCTTACTCTGCTCCGCAGCAACTCACCACCAGCCACCACCAGCAGCAGCAGCAACCACCACCACATGACATGTAGGTCGTCAGCAATGACCATACTATGGCGACACACAGCTGATAGCTGGAGGAGGAGACGTGTACGAGCACGTCGGCCACTTCCACGAGGAAGCTGTGCGCGTCGTTGCTCTCTGCCAGCCTCTACGCAGTCAGCAGCACACGACACACACGGCACACCACGACACACGACGCACGACACGACGTGAGTGCCAACAAGCAAAGACCACACAACTTCCTTGAAACGCTGCAACGTACGTGGCGGAGAGCGGCGCGGTGGGGAGCCAGGCGTCTTCGCAGGGCCGGGGAACACCGTACGCGTGCGGCCGCATCCCCCATCCGCTCCGTGCCGCGCGGCCGCTCCACCGCCACGGCCCACTCCGTTCCCTATATTATTCACATACGGCACACGACACACGACACGACACACACGGCACACGCGAGGCCAGGTTTAACCGCTGCTGCTCGAGTGAACACCCCTCCGGGGGGGGGTGGCAAGGCTGTGCGTACGATGGTGCCCCCCTCGGAGGAGGAGAGGAAGCCCACAAGCCCGCTTGGCGATGGCGTGAGCAATGGTGGTTGGCGGTGGTGGCCTCTTGGAGCTGTGCCAGTGGTTGTTGCCGGTACGAGCCGCCGTCGCTTGGTCGCGTGGCCAGCCGGCTGCTCCATCTTCCTCTTGGTTTTTGTTTTTTGTTTTTTGTGGAATTCTTCGAGTGACACGCAATTTTGGTTTCGAGAAAATTTGAGCAATTTTGCAGTGCACCGCGGCTCGAACACGCCCTGTTCGCGTAGTGACACCTCCTCCCAGCCGTCCTCTGCATGTCGTACACGGTCGCTCGCTTCAAAAGCGTGGAGTGGAGATGATGAGTTCCTACTCGCGTTGAGGTTGTGAACGTTGAAGTCCAGAAAGACGCGCCGGCCCAGCTGGCAGGGGCCATGTAGGGGGACACCCGGGATCCACGTCGGGCGCGTGGCCCTTGTCATGGGCGTGCCGCACCATCTTGAAGAACCATGATGGTGGTGCGCGGCAGCAGCTCGAGGTAGCGAAGGCCTTGACCATCGCCGGATGTGCGCCTCGATTTGTTCCCACCACAGACATTCGAAGGCCCGCACCAGAGGCCTGTGCGCCTGCACCCTGATCGCGCCCTGTGCGTATCGATCGGGTCGTGTGTCATGAGTCTCGTGCGCCTCGTGCGCCGTTCGTCGTGTGCGCCTCGTGCGCCATTTGTCGTGTGTCGTGTGCATGCCACAAATAGCGGTGTTAAGGACGGCGGCTAGGTCAGGTGGTACATCTGAAGCTGGAGCACGCTCGGCGAGGCCAGCGACCAAACCCAATAAAGGAGATGTTGCAAGGTGCAAATTTGGATTTCCTTTGTGATTTCCAAGCCAGCAATTTTTTACCCTGCCAGCAATCCTGGAATTCCAGGCTGTGTACCACAATGACTGGGGATGGGGTGGCTGCTCCTGGATATAGAAGGGAGGCGGTTCGATGTCAAGATCGGGTTGTTTCTAATGACGAAATCCTCGGAGAGGAGCTTACCACTCTGGTCGGTTTGTAATTCCAGAAGCAGTACATCCTGCCCGAAGAAACACCCACCATTCCTTTTTCTTCTTCCTCCTCCTCTTCTTTTAACCAAAACCCCAACAATCAACCTCCTCTTCACCACTGTCGTTCGAGAAGAAAGAGGAAATTGTTTTCAAGAAACACCACTTTCAGCCCGCATGGGGCGAAGAGGAGACGGTGATGCGAGAGGACGACGACAGCGAACTCGATGCCGGGGAGATGAGGTGGAGCGAAATGGCCAGCATCCACTCGCTCTTCGCCCCCGCTGTCGGTGCGCACACGACAATCGTGGCCGGTCGGCCGTTGTACTCACTCAGTATCTGCCATCGCACACTCATCAAAATTGAGATACAGCGATGTGTCGTGTGTCGTGTGTGTCGTGTGTGCGTGTGTGTCGTGTGTGCGTGTGCGGTACCTGGAATGCGTTTCGTCGCGAGGGGGTGTCGTCGAGATCGACGAGGGCGACGTTACCCAGCGGCACCTCGCCCTTCCACACGCACCCGTCCTTGGCCGGCTTGTTCTTCTTGCTCTTGCTCTTCTTCTTGTTCTTCGCTTTGGTGCGCACGAACAGGTCGTTGAAGAGGAAGCAATGGAACTCCTTCGTCCGCGTCTCCACCACCGACAGCGGGCCCTCCATGATGAACACCCGCGACGGCGACGCCAGCGACGCCTGTGTGCGCGTGTGCGATGGTGCGTGTGCGATGGTGCGTGTGCGATGGTGCGTGTGCGATGGTGCGTGTGCGTGTGTTTAAGGTGGTTAGCGTCAACAAATGGGCGCCAGCGCCAGAGGTATGTGTGGAATGCGTACGGGCGCGCCGGAAATGCGGTGGGCGATGAGGTGGAGCGACATCTTGCGCGAATCGGCGTCGCGCTTGGAGTCGTTGATGGTGGCGCAGAGCGCCTGCAGCTGCTCGACGGCCGCCTCCATCTGGCTCCGATCCAGGTGCTCTTCCGGCGTGTGTCGCAGGATCTCCAGCGCCAGCAACCGATACCTTGGATTCGTGCGCGTGCGGTTCGTGAGTGTGTGCGGCAGTGCGTGTGCGTGTGCGGTTGCGGCATACCTGGCGACGCGCTGGATGGGCATGATGAGGTAGGCCGACAGGGGCAGCTTGCGTCGGTTGGCCGGCATGGCCTTGCACTCCTTGATGAGGGCCGCGAACCGCGCGCGCTTTTCGTGCTTGTGCAGTGCCGCCTCCGTTTGGTCGTAGTTCTTCACATACCCCGCGTAGAGCTTCATCACCGGCATCTGCACACACCACACACACCGCACACACACACGACACACACCGCACACCACCGCACACGCACAGTCAGGAGAAGTGGAAAGTGGTGGGGAGAGAGAGTGGAGGCGTGCCCAGGCGTGTAGGATGGGGCCGGCGTGCGGTTTGTTGTGCCATTCGCGGGCGCAGTCTTCCAGTTCGACCAGGAATTTGAGATTGACCTGCACGATCAGCTCGAAGTCGCCGAATATCTCTGCACTCGGACAGGTAAAGTATGAGGAATGTGAAGAGTTTTAGATTTTTGCCCGGCTTCACCTTTGAGCTGTTCTTCGGTGACGAAGCTGTCGTCTCCCAGGGACCGCGCCGCAGCCGCCGCCGAGTACAACGGCGCCAAATAAGCCTTCGCACACACCGCACACGCACATAAGAATGTCAGATTGGTTCGATGGCACGGACTGGGCGCACCTCGCGGCAGTCGTTAAGGCATTGGACGTAGGACCGCTCGGTGTCGACCAACTCGTCAAAGGCCCGGTTGCGGGTGCGAATGAGGTCGATCTCCGGCGTGGAGGCCACCCAACACGTCAGCCGCCTCGCCCTCCGCCTGAAGAGCCACCCGCGCACCACCTAATGACGACAGCGCGTGGCCCATCACGACCAATGATTGAGGAATGCACACGTTCACATTCCTCACGGCGCCACGTGCGCATACCTTCTGCATTCTTCGGACGGCCGCGTCGGGCAGGGCCGAGAGGCGCTCGAGCGTGGCCAGCGTGAGGGTGAGGGTGAGCGCCGACGGGATGAAGAGCAGCGGCGCCGGCGGTGGCGGCGGCGGGGTGGTCGCAGGCTGCAGGCCCAGGAACCTGTCATCGTCGTCGTTCCCATTATTGTCGTCGTCGACACTGTCGAAGGGTCGCGGGGAGCAGAAGGGCGAGGGCAGCGGCGGCGGCGGGAGGTCGGTGGGCGCCCATGGTGTCGACATGTCGACAGGCGGGAGCGGCGTGCTGAAGGGCGAGGGCAGGTCGGTGGGCACCGAAAAGAACGAACTGTCGGCCGACAACGCCGCAAAGTCTGCGGTGTCGTCGACGGGCGGAGGCGGGAGGGAGCGAGGCACCGGGGATGGCGACGATGCTGACGTCAGCAACGACGACGTGATCGGTGGCGGGAGCGGCAGGGCCGGCGGAAGAGATGACGTCATCGTCGCCGTTGGCCGGGCGTGGAACACGAGTGGCGGGGGCAGCGAGATTCCGGTGGTTGTGCCCGCCACCACCTCGGACGAGGCCGTCCGCGACCTGCCCGGCGTCGGGTGGCTCACCCGAGGCGGCGCCTGAAATCCGAGAGCGAGGAATGTGAACAATGAAAAGAAGAAACAAAATGATTCGACGAATGTTTGCGCATGGGAGTAGTGCGTGCGTACGGGGAAGCGGCCCTTGACCATGGCGAAGGAGATGGTCGACGGGTCGTCGTCGGGGTCGTTGGGCTCGGCGAGGGAATGGCTGATGGAGTCCTTGCACATGGCGCACACGGACAGCTTGCCCACGGCCTTGGATTCTTGCGCCGTCACTGTCGCCGCAGCCGCTGCCGCCGCCGCTCTGGCATCACCACACAAACGCATGTGTGAGATCATTGGGGGGGGGTGCCCACATGAAAAACAAATTCGAGGAACGTACGCCTCCAGGGCCTTGGTGAGCCGGGCGATCTCCTGGTCTTTTTCAAATGCCGCCAGCTCCAGGCGGGCGACGGCCTCGTTGGCCAGCCGCAGGGCTTCCTCCGTCGCCGCCTGCGATTTGTGGTCGACACCCGTCACGCTACCGGCCCCGCCGCCCGATCGCTCCAGCTCCTGCTCCCGCTCAAACAACTGCGCCACACAAATGGATCAGAATTCAAAGAATGCAACACGCGTGCGCTGTGTGCGGCGGGCTCATACCGATTGCTGACGTCGCTGCAGCTCGTCCTCTTTCTGTCGCACGAGGGCCTGGCGCTGCTTGAGCAGCTGCTGCCCCTCACTGTCGCGGGCCTCGAGGTCCTGCTCGGCCTGCAGCAGGAACGCCATCTGCCGCTGCCGGTCCTTGCGCAGGACCTCCTTCTCGTCGCGCAGCCGGGCCTGCTCGTCCTCCTGCTCGGCCTGCCGCCGCGCGCAGTCGGCCTCGCGTCGGCTGAGGTCGCGCTGGGCCTCGTCGTTGCGCTTCTGGGCCTCGGCCACGCGGCGCTCGCGCTCGGCGAGCCCAGCGTCTTTCTCGTCGACTTGCCGACGCTTTTGCTCGATCTCGGCGGCGGCGGCGTGGAGTTCGGCTTGGGTGCGCGCAGCAGCGGCGACGCGTTGGTCGAGTGCCGTCCGGTCGCGCTCGAGCCGCTCTTCGAGCGCCCACAGCTCCTCTTCCTTCTCCGCAAACGTGGATTCTGTGATCATCGGGAGCCGAACCAATCTTCAGCCACATGTGTTTCTTTACACCGCACACGGCACGACACACGACACACGACACATAGACATACCGAGATATTTTACACGGCCAAATATGTCTTCGATCTCGGTGGCCAAGTTCGATCGATGCCGTCGCGACGCTTCTTTGTGTTGCGCGCTGGTCCTCGCAGGCGGCACGTCGACCTCCGCCGCCGCGTGCAGCTGCGCCGAGGCACCATTCGAAGCGGCAGCCGCGACGGTGGTAGTCATCTTATGATCGCTACCATCGCCGCCGGGAGTCGAACTGCGGCGGCTTGTCGACATCGATAGCGGCGATGACGGTCCCCTCGCCGTGTGGGTCGACGAGGGGCGAGGCGGCGTGGACAACGCGGGCGGCGAGTGGGGCGAGGGTATGGGCGTGAAGCTGGGATCGGGTCTCGGCTCGAACTGCAGCCGCGTGGGGATCGGCGGCGGTGGCATCGAGCCGGCGTCGTCGTCGGCGTCGGCGGCGGCGATGTCGGGTGATGGAAGCGCAATGCGAACGACAGGCGGCGGCGGGTCGAACATCTGCTGAAGCCGCAGCTGCGGCGGAGGTGGCATGGCCGACCCTGCGGCGGCGCCGGCCGAGGGCTGCACGAACGAGATGCCCCGAGAGGGCGACGACGATGACGACGACAACGGCGAAGGCGGAGGCGACGGAGACGGCGACGAGGCGGCCTCGCCTCCACTGCACATTGCGTTGATGAGCGGTCGCCTCAGTTCAAGGGGGGGGAATAGGAGGCGTACGAGCGAGGAGACAGGAGCGGGTCAGCCGATCGGGTGGCGGCCGGGTTGATGCGGTACGAGTTCTTGCGCAGGGAAGACAGGTCCACCGTGAGCCGCTTGGCCTTGGCCTCCGAGAGCGACTTCTTCTTGTTCTGCTGCCGCCCGCCATCAGTGTACACACACGACACGACACGGCACGGCACGACACGGCACGGCACACACCTTCTTGTCTTTGTTGGACTTGGTGTCGCGCGAGGAGGTGATGATGGCCGACCCGCTGCTGACGGAGGGCGGGGAGAGGATGTCGAGAACCTTCATCGCGAAGGACATCTCCTCCCGCTTCCTCTCGATCTCGGCCACGCTCCACGCCGCCTCCTCGCCGGCCTCGCTCGCCACCCGTTTCTCCAATGCCACCACCTTGTTGGCCGACCAACCAATCAACAATCACACGCCAGTCAGACGGTTAAGAAAGCCGCGTGACGTCATCGCATCACCCCGAAGAGTGGTTGTTGCTATCATGAAGGTGGTTGCTGACGTGGCGATGGCGCACCTCGTCTTCGAGGAGCTTGTGCTGGAGGAGGAACTCCTCGAGAAGGGCCGAAGAGATCTTGGAGTTTTCCTTCTTCTGCTTGCCGCCGGCCTTGGCCTTGCCCAACAGCTGGGCGATGTCGTCGATTGAGGTCGTCGAGGCGGGCGCGGGCGCGACCTTCTTCTTGGCCAGCGGACCCTTCTCCTTCGCGTCGCCCATGATATGGTACATCACGCCGCTCTCCTCCTCGAACTCCACTGCCACACCGCCCTTCACCGCCCGGTACTGATAACGACAATCACGTTAAGCAGCAAGCGTCATCGTCATCACATAAGCGTATATATTGATATGTTGACATATATCTACACATTATAGGAGCGGTGAGCACGTACGCGATGAACCGTTCCGCATGCGTCGAGATAGGCGCGCACAGGTTCGCCTGTTGGGCTGCCGATCAGAAATCTGCACATTGTGTGAGGGGGAGAGGGGGAACGATACCGTAGAGCAGATCCTTTTCGCCCACGCCCTCGACCACGACCACCTCCCCGCCCAGCCTGGGCATCGCCTCTGCGGCCGCGCCCAATAAATCATCATCAGCGATTCCACCCTTCGCGCCCGTGCGTGCGTCGTGTCGTGTCGTGTCGTGTCGTGTCATGTCGTGTCGTGTCGTGTCGTGTCGTGTCGTGTCGTGTCGTGTCGTGTCGTGTCGTGTCGTGTCGAATCTAGGTGCGCACCGCTGCGGGTGAGTCGAAGAAAGGAGCCGAGGACGCCCCACCGGTCGGTGAAGAGGGCGAGACCGACGAGGGTGACCGGAGCCTGCTGCAGCTTGGTCCCGCCTCCGCTGGTGGTCAAGGCGGCGGCGCTCAATGTCGGCGCGCCTTGCGGTGCGTCGGTCAGCACGCGGCACAGCAGGTCCAGCTCCCGGCTCGTGGGCACGTCGATGTGCTCCTTGGCATAGGCCACGAACGCCTTCTTAAAGCGATCCCACTCCATCGTGCACGCCTGTTTAAGGTGTCGGGCGCCGTCATCGCGAGTGGGTTGAGGAAAGAACGAAGCAAAGAACGAAAAGCGAAGAGCGAAGAAGAACGAAGAATGAGGAGTACCAGCGGGCCGAGCGGGTTGGAGGTCCACAGGTGGCGCGCAGAGTGGTGGGAGAGGAGGAGCGAGGCCGCGAAGGGCGGGTGGAGGGCCAGGTGGAGCGCCGCGCGCAGCTTCCGCGTCGCCGCACGCAACTGGACGCGCTGCCGCTGCGCGCTCGGTCGGGGCAGCACCATCTGCTGTTGGTGTGTTGATGAAGAAGAAGAAGAAGAAGACGACGACGATGGTGTGATCGCAACGTCTTCGTGGGCCAGAGCCGCTGCCACCAGCACCTCCACCGCCTGGTGCGCCTGGACAACCGCCTCGTTTGCACCACCACCTTCTCTCTGGTCGCTTCGCCGGCGCTCGTCCAACACCGCCTGCGCCTGAGTTGCATTGCCCCCCCCCATCTACATTGAAGCCAAGACCGCGACACAACACAACCTTGTGGCAATAATGATGTTGGGGCAACATGGGGCAGCAGTACCTCGTCGAGGAGCTGGCGGGCGGAGGCGGCATCCTGGATGAGGCCCACGAGGGCCGACGTGGCCGTTGTGGCGGCTCGCCCCCTCGGGGTGGGACCCTCCATCTATGCAATCTCGCAACAACACCCGCGGAGGCCAGGCAGGTTGTCCCCAACCAACGGCAAATTAATTTATTCAATTCAATAAACTACAGCCAAGAAAATACTGGAGAAATGGGTCAAGCAAGTTAGCTCCTGAACATTCTGCATAGTAGCACTGGCTGCTCCATCTCCACAAGTGTTTGTCTTGATGAGGCACATGATCATCAATCTGCCTGGCACCAAGGCATACAAGCCAAGACAAGATTGTGTCATTGTGCTACCCGCAATGATGAGGAAAAATGGCATGAAATGCAAACTAAGACTATTTTGTGTACACAAGGAGAGAAGCAAAAGAGAAAGAGGAGAAAGAGGAGAAGAGGAGAGGAGCTCGATTGCTCGTCCGTTCGCTCACTCGTGGGGAAGTTCGTCGTAGCCGGGGGCGGAGACGGACGGGCGGTGGGAGAGGAAGGGGTCCAGGACGGCGTCCTTGCGGTGGGAGGTGAGGAGCGGCCGCCCGTCGGGGTCGATGGCCAGGCGCAGCACGTAGACGAACTGCGGTCACTCCTGCAGGAAGTCCGGCAGCGTCTTCTTCGGCCCCGCGATGTCGTCCGGCTTCACCAGATAGTGCTTCACCTCCTGCACATCGTCATCATCACCATCATCAGATCACGAGGGCACACGCGACACGCACGACACACGACACACGCGACACGCACGACACACAGGCAATGGGAAGGTGAGTGCCTCGATGTGCTTGTAGGCGACGGCGAAGGAGCCGGCGTGGTTCTCGGAGAAGCGGACGAGGAAGGAGCCCGGCCGTTCGTTGGAGAGAGCCCGATGCACGGCGTCCTTGGCGATGAACCCGTACACGAGACCGCTCTTCCACAGGTTCCCCACGTGCCGCTGATAACGCAAGATGTGCAGGCCCTTGCCGAACCACGACCAGAACTGTTGTGGTGTGTGTGATGTGTGTGATGTGTGCGCGCGCGGTCGGTGTGGTGTGCAGTGTGTGCGGTGGTGTGTGTGTGTGTGGGTGGGTGAGTAAACTGGAGAGATGACAAAGAAGAGAAGAGAGAGGCGTACCTGATCAAAGTCCTTGTAGGAGACCATCTGCTTGTTGCCGAAAAACTTGTCGTGCAGGTACTCAAAATCGCCGGCGTGGAAGGCACGCGCTGGCTTGTTGACGTCCTGCCGCGTGGCTCGGATGAAGTGCATGTGGAACACGTTGGCGAACCGCGCCCAGGGAATCTCCAGGTGGCCTCCAAACGCCTCTGCACAAACAACACATCCACAGGTGTGAGCCTCGGTGTGCGTGTGCGGTCGTGCGCGTGCGATACGCGTGTGCGACATACCTTTTTTGATGAGTGTGCCTTCGGCTTCGGCCCATTGGCACTCGTTGGTGATGACGATGAATGGGTTGGAGAGGTCGGATTCGATCGTGTGGACGGCGTCGTCGCTCCGCACGGCCACCGAGAACCGCAGGTTGACCGCGTTCTTGCGCGTGCCTACCAGGAACTTGGGCTGGAACTGGACGACGTGCTGGTGCAGCTCGATCACCTTGGTGTCCTCGTTCATGGACTTCTTGGCGACCTTGCCCTTCCACAGGTGCGATTCGCAGACAATGGACGCCTTGACCTTGCTCACGCACGTCAAGTCCACGTTTGCGCCTGCGCGATTGGCACCGAATGCGGTTAGCGCGACTGGTGTGTCGAGGAATGCGTGGAATGCGTGTAGTAGTAGAGTAGTTACCGGTGAGTAGATGTACAACGTAGGGCTGGCCAAAGTGCTTGCCCTTGAAGATGACGGACGAGGCGGGCCGCTCCGTCATGGCCAGCGTGGCGAAGCACTGCGCCCCGCCGGCCTTGTGCTCGGTGAGCTGGAGCAGCTCACGCTGGTAGAGGTCCAGCTGGCTCGACTGAATGGCAAACTGCACGTCGAACAAAGTTGCGTCTTAGAAGTGTGCGGGCTCGAGCGCAAGTGTGTAGCCAATGGCCAATACCTGGTGCCTGAGGGAGAGCCACTTGTTCAGGTCGCCGAGAGTGAGCACCGTGTTCTGATAGAGCTGCTCCACCGCCCTGAGTTCGGCGTCAACCCGGTTGCGCAAATCGACCTGCAATCGGTACACCTCCTGCGTTTGTCGTAGATATATATATATATATATACACACACACGGTTCAGCTCACCCAGCACTATCAAACCAGAGCTGTGCTAACGCCGTAATAGTACCTCGAACAGGTTCTTCTCAGGTGCGAGGAAGAGCTGCTTCTGCTTGGCGCGCACGAGTTCGAGCTGCGTGTTCTGGGTGCGCTGGAGGTCCCACAGCGAGTCGAGCACGGGCTGGCGCTGGAGCAGGAAGCTCGTGTGCACCACCTTGCCGCTCGTCATGGACGCCGACTCGGTGTACTCGAGCTTGGGCTTCATCTCGAGCCGCAGCCCGCCCGTGGGCGACATGGGCGCGGGCGACCCCATCGGGGTGAGCGACGGCGCGAGCCCGGGCGGCGTCTGCGGCGGAAACACCGGCGTGGGCGTCGGCGGCGCAAACGAGGGAATGCTGATCTGCTTCCCGCCGCCAATCGCCACGCTCTGCTGCGGCTGCGGCTGCTGCTGCGGCTGGTAGCCCTGGAACTGAGGCTGCTGCTGTTGGGTCTGCTGCGGTTGGAAGGGCGGCAGTTGCGAGTAGTGCTGCTGCTGCGGGTGCTGCGGTTGAAACTGGGGCTGCTGCTGCGGCTGCTGATACTGCTGATGGAGCTGGAGTGTGGGCATCTGCGCTGTGGGAGAGGAAGACGTGGAGGAAGCAGAAGAAGAAGTAGAAGGAGAGGTGGAGTAGTGCAGCTGGAGCTGTGGTGGCTGTTGCTGTTGCTGTGATGTTGTCTGGGGAGCGAAGGAGGGCATGGCGCCGGTGGAGAAGGAAGAGGAGGAAGAAGAAGAGTTGTTGGTGTTGCCGGACAGAGAGAGCGGGGTGTTGCCGCTGCTGCCCAGGGCAGTGTCGGCAAAGATGTTCTCCATGAAGTCGGCCACGAGGCTGCGGTCGAGGCCCCACGCCCCGCTGCCGCTGCCGCCACTTCCGCTCAAGCTGCCGCCGCCCGAGTTGAGGAGGCCCCCGCTGCTGTTCCCGGAACTGCCAAGCCCATTGCCGCTGTGGTTCAGGCCGCCTCCTTCCACTCTACAAGCAAATAAAGAAACGCAATTTGAATAGAGCCCAGCAAACACGAAATCGTAATTTAATTTACGGATGGACAAGTTCGAGGAGCCAGACAAAAAAGTGGAGGGGGGATGCAGATTAAACAAAATGAGGAGAGCCGAACCCAAGCTCGAGGAGCCAGGATGAAAGGCCTCCTATTTCGTCCCCAGCACCAGGCCACTGCGGCTCCATTCGATCGAATTCAAAGTCTTGGTCGCAACGTCGCTCTACACAATACCGAAAAATAAATAATACAAAAAGGTGTTTCTTCTTCTTTGTTTTTTGTGCTCCTGGTTTCCGTTGTCGACCGTTCGGCTAAAATGGCGGCCGTTTTTTTTTTTTTTTTTTTTTTGAATGAGGACTGGCCGGGGCCGCACCAATCGCCCCACGTGACAGGCAAGACCAAAGATCGATTTTACACAAATCAAATTGAGGGATTTGCGAGGGGCAAAGGGCACATCGAAGAGAAAGATTAAGACGTATGGACGAGAAGGAGGTGGAGGTAGGCGAAGCCATGGCGAGCGACGCAGAAGACCATAATCACAAATTAGATGTCGATTCGAAGCGCTTCGAGGAGATGATGGGGGCGACCCTTGCTGCTGCCGATGTGGGACACCACGGGGTGCACGAGGATCACATAGAAGTTGTGGAGGATCATCATCTTCAGCAGCTCGATCTCAACAATCTTGAGCACCACGATGACGATCAAGATCACCCCACCGACGTCGGTGTTGAGCTCCACCACCTGCTCCCGCTCAGCCTCTCAGAACACGGCCACGAGCACGTCCTTGAACACGACGACGTCAAGGACCAGCACCACCAGCACCCAGACCAGCAGCACGTCCAGCTCGTCTCCATGGATGAAGAAGGCGCCGGTGCCCTCTCGCCGGCCGCCGCGCTCGACGGCACCACCGCACAGCAGCTGGGCCTCATGGCTCCGCCGCCATCCGAAGGCGACCACCACGCCACCACGCAGCAGCTGCAGCAGCCGGCCGCCGATGACAGTGGTGAGGTGCCCGCCAACACGCAGAAGATCGTCAAGCGCGGCCGCGGTGGCCGACGCGCGGGCGCCGGGCGGAAGCGCAAGTCGGACACTGCCAAGGCCGAAGCTGAGGCCGCCGCCGCGGCTGCGGCGGACCCCACGCGAGTCGCGACGTCGACGACAACCACCAAGACTTCGCTTCCGCCGCCACCGAGAGCGAGCATCGTGGGTGCTGGGTCGGGCCTGGTGGGACCGCCGCCGCCGAAGAAGAAGAAGCTGTCGACATCGTCGCCCGCGCTGGCGGACGATGCGATGGACGGCGGCGGCAGCTACGGCAAGGCGCCGCGACAGCTGAGGTTCGGCAAGACGATACTGTACGTGAGGGAGGTGGAGACGACGGTGGACTTCTACGAGCGCGCATTCGGCCTGCGACGACGGTTCGTGCACGAGACCAAGCAGTACGCCGAGCTCGAGACCGGGTCCACGGCGCTGGCCTTTGCCTCGAACGAGCTGGCGCGCAACAACCTGGCCCACATCGACTTCCGACCAAACGACATCAACGCGCACCCGCCGGGCCTGGAGATCGCGCTGTCGTCGATCGATGTGCATCGGGACTACAAGCGCGCAGTGGAGGCCGGGGCGCGGTCGGTCTCCCTGCCCAAGACGCTCCCGTGGGGTCAGGTCGTGGCCTACGTGCGCGATCTCAACGGCGTGCTCGTGGAGATCGCCAGCGAGCTCAAGACGCCGCTCAAGAAGTAAGAAAGCGCAACTCCCTCGTTTTCTCATCTTCCTACTTCCTTCTATTCTTTTCTTCTCCACCATCCGCCATTGTGTACATCTACTCTCTTACTGCCAAGTTCCTATCTCCTTTCGGGCATGCTGTGCACCTGTACAGGCGCATCTGCACCATCTCCTCTACTTGTGATGGACCTGGTGGGTCGCAATAAAACCGGCAAAAAAGAGGGTTTTATGCGGGGGGGGGGGGCAAGAAGAAACACAAGGAGATCTATTTGTGATTTAGACAGAGAGCATTTGGAAATGAAGCGCACGTTCACCATCACTGGGGTCGCTCCCCGAACTCTCACTCGCTCGCTTCAGGCCAACCCGGTGGTCCTCTCCGCGAGACTCTTCGCTACCCTGCCTTCCGAGGCTAAGGTCATCAAATATCACGCCACTGGCCAGCCCGAGAAGGTTCTGAAGTACGCACACCCCCCCCGCATTCATTCGCAACCCATTAGCCAGTATTATGATGCGGTAGATCATTTGCTTACTCGGACGAAATTGGCTACAAATCGCTGCAGGCTCGAAACCGAGAAGCTGCCGCAGGTGGGAGACAACGATGTGCTCGTTGGCTTCCTCGCCGCGCCCATCAATCCCGCCGACTTGAACATGGTGGAGGGTGTGTACCCGATCGGCCCGAAGGCTCCCGCCGTTGGTGGCAACGAGGGTGTTGCGGAGGTGCTCGCTGTGGGCTCCAAGGTCAAGGGAATCGCCGTCGATGATTGGGTCATCCCCGCCAAGCCTGGCTTCGGTACGCCCTCCTCCTCCAAATTTGGCGCTAATTACTCATCTGCTGCTTCGCCATTTTAATTGGCGCCAGCGCAAGTGGCAGCTTCGCTCAATTGCGAGTATGCATCGCCCTTTTTTGTTGACGTTGCTGCCTTGCTGTGTGGTGGCGCTCTCCAGGCACATGGCGTACCCATGCCGTGGCTCCCGAGAGCTCCCTGTTGAAGGTGAAGAAGGACATCAAGCCCGAGTATGCTGCCGCCATCGCCGTCAACCCCTGCACTGCCTACAGGCTGCTCAACGATTTCGCCGACCTCAAGCCTGGTACCGTCATCGCCACACTTCGCCCAGCTCGCACTCTTGAGCCTGCTCCTGTACAACGGTTAGTGGATGAGCCTTCTCACGGCGCTCTGCGACAATGTGGCATGGTGTGACGTATTGCAACAGGTGATGTGATCATCCAGAACGGCGCCAACAGCGCGGTTGGTCAGGCTGTGATCCAGCTTGCGGCCCAGCGAGAGGTGAAGACGATCAACATCATCAGGGACAGGCCCGACCTTGGCGACACCGTCGAGCGCATGAAGTCGTACGGCGCCTACATGGTGGTGACCGAGGACAAGCTGGGCACCCCCGCTTTCCACAGGCTCATCTCCGACCTGCCCAAGCCCAAGCTGGGTCTCAACTGCGTCGGCGGCACGTCGGCCACCGAGATCGCCCGCGTGCTCGAGAAGGACAGCACGCTGGTCACCTATGGCGGCATGTCTCGCAAGCCCGTTCAGGTGCCCACGTCGCTCCTCATCTTCCGCAACATTCAGCTCCGCGGCTTCTGGCTCTCGCGCTGGGTGGAGGAGCACTCGGCCGAGGAGCGCCTCGCCATGATCAACACCTGCTGGGACCTCGTCAAGTCCAAGCGCCTCCGCATGTGGGCCGAGCGCTACCCGCTCGAAGACTTTGCCGCCGCCCTCAACCGCACCACGCAGGCGCAGCGCAACCGCAAGGCCATCCTCGTGATGAAGCCCTGAAGCTGATCTGCTTCTCTCCCGTCTCTTTTCCCTTCAACACATAAACAAACCATAGCCCTGGTGACTGCCTTCTTCTCCACCCCCAACTCGTGGCTGACGTCACCATTTGTGGGCGTGTTGCGTCGCGGTTTTGGTTCTTCAACAAGTGTAGCTACAAGAAAAACCGCTTCGCCCTTGCCCCAGCTTCATCTTTCCACCACGCCCTCAACACGATGCTGGCCCAAACGGTGCATGAGGAAGTACCCCCCAACGAGAAGGTGGCGCTGATCACAGGCATCACCGGCCAGGATGGATCGTACTTGGCCGAACTCCTGCTGGCCAAGGGCTACACTGTTCACGGCATCATTCGCAGATCGAGCAGCTTCAACACTGGCCGCTTGGAGCATCTCTACCAGGATCCTCATGTGGAGCAGCGACGTACGTATCAGATTCACATCTCAATTCCCATTTCAGCGTCGATAGAAGGGTGTTCCCTTCACCACTCCTTATGATTGATCTCCTTTCATTTGTCGCGCAGGGCTCATTCTTCACTACGGCGACATGACCGATTCGAGCTGCCTTTCCTCGATCATCTACAAGGTGCGGCCGTCTGAGGTCTACAACCTGGCGGCGCAGAGCCACGTGAAGGTATCCTTCGAAGTGGCCGAGTATACCGCGGACGTCGACGCCATGGGCACCCTTCGTCTCCTCGAGGCTATCCGCTCCGCCGGCCTCACCAAGACCAGGTTCTATCAGGTACCGCTGGCTGCGCCTGTCCCCCTCGTGTTGAGTCACTTCGCCTCACAGTTGTCGTGTGTGTGTCGTGTCGTTGTTCGTGTCGTGTCGTAGGCCTCTACGAGCGAGCTCTACGGTAAGGTCGTAGAGATCCCCCAGTCCGAGAAGACCCCCTTCTACCCGCGCTCTCCCTATGGTACTCGCTACTCGACTCTCGTTCGCCAAGAGAGTAGAAGAACAACACCTCTCATTTCTTCTTCTCCTTCTGCTGTCAGGCGTGGCAAAGCTGTATGGCTTCTGGATCACCGTCAACTACAGGGAGGCCTACGACATGTTCTGCTGCAACGGCATCCTCTTCAACCACGAGAGTCCCAGGAGAGGTGCGCACAGCTGCGCGGCTCCGAACAGCCATCCGAGAGTCTGACTCTACACGATACACACTAAACTATGCGTGCGCTCTCTCTCGTTCCTGTCCGCTACAGGTCCCACCTTTGTGACCCGCAAGATCACTCGTGCCGTGGCTGGCATCAAGCAAGGCCTGCAGGACACCATCTTCCTGGGCAACCTCGATGCCAAGCGTGATTGGGGCCACGCGAAGGATTACGTCGAGGTAAGGCCTCCATCCTTGCGCACCACTGGCATTATACACCCTCTCGCCGCGTGCCTATGGAACTCAGCCAGCGTCCATGTACTGACTTTCTCGGTGTCTGCTTTCAGGCGATGTGGATGATGCTGCAGCTGGAGAAGCCCGAGGACTTTGTCGTCTGCACGGGCGAGCAGCACTCTGTGCGCGAGTTCGTTGAGAAGGCGTTCAAGCACATCGACGAGGAGATTCGGTACGCGTCTCGCGAGCTGCTTGGCAAAGCAAGCCCATCCGAATGGGGCTATGATTAGCTGACCAGCGTGCGCTTCTTCAACTATCCAGTTGGGAGGGCGAGGGCGTCGACGAGGTCGGCATCGACGCCAAGAGTGGCAAGGTGCGCGTGCGAATCGATCCAGCCTACTTCCGGCCCACGGAGGTGGAGACTCTTCTGGGCGACCCCAAGAAGTGCAGGGAGGTACTCAAGTGGCAGCACAAGGTGCCCTTTGACGAACTTGTCCGCGAGATGGTCGAGAGCGACATCAAGCTGGCGGCCAAGGGCGACCACTACAACTGAGAGAGTCTCGAGACTTGGAGGCTGGTGGAGTAGCTTAGCGGCGTGTTTCTGGCTCGAGACCGACTCCGATTCTTGAATGCTATGCTACTGGACACCTCGCCTCCCTGTAACGCAGCAGAAGACTGAGTGACTCAACGGAATGATTAGAAGCACTCCGTGTTGTCGGATACGCCCACACTGCGATCAGATACAAACACGGGTGGAGCAAGAAAGGGGGGATGTGATGGGGACATAGTTGCGAGAGCTGACGGATACGGCCATACTGCGCAGAAAGCACCGCTTCCCATCCGAACAGCGAAGTTAAGCTGCGCCAGGCGGTGTTAGTACTGGGGTGGGCGACCACCCGGGAATCCACCGTGCCGTATTCTTTTTGCTGCTTTTCACTCTGTAGTGGAGGGCCTCCACACTGCCTGTCCTTACTAACTAACCCTGCAGTCCTTGTCTTTATTTGTAAGTTGTTGGTCAGTATGCAGGAGGTGTGGGGAAGTGGAATGCAGTTGGTGAATGAGTAAGGAATTGGGCAGATCAGACAAGATCACACTTCAGAGCAGGGTTGCAAATGTGTGGTGACAAAATAGCACTGAGATTTGGGATGGCAGTGAGTGGCTGAGGACACCAAATTGTGGAGATGGACACCCATTCAGATGAGTACATCAAAGCTGCTGAGGAAGGGACTGGAGGCAGGAAGCTTCTAGGCACTGCACACTTTTTCAGGCCAAATTTGTTCACTTGCTTTGATGTGGCTGCAATTTTTTGTGATGGCCCTTCCACAGAGAACCAAGACCAGCTATGAGCTTGCTGTCTTCATGGCTAGTATCCAGCCCTATACCAATGCTGTGCTCAACCATCCTTACTGCCCTGGCTGCTACTTTGGTGCAGATCACTAATGCCAGCAGATGGTAGGAAGAAGGATCTATGTGCCATCTTTGGCAACAATTTCTCTGGTGTGGTGCACATTATCAGCAACACCCATGTCATTGTCCCCAAAGATCAGTGTGGCTGCACCATAACTTAGCTAATGTTGATATTGTTTTGTAACTAGGTAAAGTGCCTGCCAATCTCACATGCTCAAGCTGTAGTTGCAGCTGCAATGCAACAATGCCAAGGCTGCCATCAAGGAGAACCACTAGAGAGTAGCTGCTGCCATGCACACCTGGCTGATGGCTGTGGCTGGGGAGAGGAGAAAGTGGGCAGCCATCAAGAAGCAGGTGCATGTCAAGGAGTGCCACATCAAGGAGGTCTCCAAGCATGGGAGACTCATCTGCCACTGAAGCACCCTTATCACCAACATGCTCCAAGCTTGGCTGATGTGGAATAAGGAGGGCTGCAGTGAGGAGGGGTATGTAAAGGAGGGTTAATGAATCTGCTGCAATATTTCTCTTTTAACTTCTTAAAAATCAACCAAAACTGGCACTACAGCAAACCTCACTACCTCAAGACCTACAACAGAATTGAGAAGTTCACCAACTTTGCATGGACACAGCACTGTCAAGAAGATCCTCAAGCAAAACACATCAGGGTTCACATCCAGGCCAGGCAAGAAAGCACAGCAGCTGTATGCTCTCCTCCACCAAAATCAACAACATGACACACACCTGCACCACCACCCAACAAAACAAAAAACTGGGCTGAATCATCCAATCCACCTTCTTGAAGACATGTATTTGATGGGCCATAACAATTGCTTTGTTCACTTGTTGCAGACCAATTAAATGTTGGAGATCAAATTTGTCCCTCCCAAGAATGTGTGAGGAACCCCCAGATCAGCAGGGAGAACTTGATAGGAAGCAGTGCCTGCCCAGGGTGGATGAGTGGGCTGAGGCTGTCAACTAACTCATACCTCCTTGCTTGTGGTTCCATTCTCCTCCTCCTCCTCTTAGAAAGATGTGAATTGTTAGCATAGATGGGGAAAGGATACAATGCTGGTTGTGGAGGCGCAGGAGAGGGGCAGATATTGAGAAGCACTTCATGTTGTCAGATACAAATGCTGGATAAGGTGGCGTGGAGCACGAAAGGGGGGATGTGATGGAGGCAGAGTTGCGAGAGCTGACGGATACGGCCATACTGCGCAGAAAGCACCGCTTCCCATCCGAACAGCGAAGTTAAGCTGCGCCAGGCGGTGTTAGTACTGGGGTGGGCGACCACCCGGGAATCCACCGTGCCGTATTCTTTTTGCTGCTTTTCACTCCAGTTCCCTCTCCTTCCTTCCCTGCCCTCTTCTGTCTTGCCGTAGTCCTTTTTGCCTCTTGATCACCTTCTTCCTGGCGGCGTTGGCCTTTTTACTCCCTCATTCACACGATCCCCTCATCTTCTCACGAATGAAGCTCTGGGCCACATGGGGGCATTGGTTGGGTCCTTCCATGGGTGGGATAGCACGTAGATAGAAAAGACGGTGCAGCCACCATCACAGTTCTTCTCCGTTGTTGTTGTCGTCGAAGTTGACGCCCAGTGCGGCGGTGCTGCGCCGGCGGCTGCGCACGAAGGTCACCGTCAAGACGACCGCAATGACCAGCACCACGGCCACCACCGCCACAGGGATCGCCACCGCCACCGCGATCACCCACTCCGTACCGCCTCCACCGCCGGCTCCGTCATCCCTTCGGCCTCCCAGCAGCAGCGAAATATCTGCAGAAGCCGATCATCGTTCAGCCCAAGGTGATGTTCATGATGATGATAATGACTTTGATCATGATGAAGGCGAAGATGATGAATGTGACCGTATTGAATGGAGGTAATGTTGGGGGAATGGGTACCGGGATCGTAGTCGAGGTTGGTGTCGAAGTGGGCGAAGGTGAGGGTGATCAACGAGTTCGCTTCATCGGCCGAGCTCGAGCACGCCACGCGCTGGCTCGTGTTGGTGAGGCCAAAGTCCAGCAGCCGCACCAGCGTGCCCGCCTGGCTGTCCGCCGCACTCGGCAGGAAGATCGTGGTCGTGTCGGCCTGCGGCGTGTTGAGGCGCAGCTCGCTGGTGGCGAACGGCGGGTCGATCACCATCTGGAACTCCAGCTGGTTGTCACTGCGTGTAGCCCGCACCACCACCAACGCGGATCAGCTTCTTCTTTCATCATTCCATGTGGCTGGTGGTAATGTAGCACACCTGGAAGACCAGTTCCAGCGGTCGATTCGCAGGGTGAACTTCAAGAAGGCCGGAGTGATGCTGAACGTGTAGTTGTTGGCTGTTGTGTGTGTCGCGTTTTGTTGTCAGAGGGTGCGGCATTGGAATGCGCGTTATACCACGCGGCGGGGGCGGTGGGGTGCAGGAGGTTTGACAACACGTACCGAGGGTGAGGGCGGCATCAGCGTCGAACGTGGCGAATTCATAGGTCAGCGTAGCGTTGTTGGCCAGCCGGCTCGTGAAGGTGGTCGTGGAGCTCACATTGTTGGTACCTTCCCCGCTCTGCACCCAACCTGGAAATGATGATCGAGGACCCCGGTCAGCGTCGCCCCCCCCTAGGGGGTGGGTTGGAGAGAGGGGAGTAATTGGCGTACCGTCCTGGAGGTGGGCGGCCCAGACGAGGTCGCCGGCGGGCGTCACCTCGCGCAGGCTCAGGAAGTCCACCTGCGCCGCCTGGCCCGCTGCGTCTGGCGAGGGGTCGCGAGGGATGACCACCACGCTGGGCGCCGTGTCGTTGATGCGCGCCTTCACCGCCTTCACCGACACACTGGGCAGCGGTGCCGGACATATTGCTAACGCATTGGCGTCAACATATTAATTACATATTACTATGTTGTTCGAGAAAGGGGAGTGACAGGTGTTGCGTACCGGCCGAGTGCAGTCCCGTGGCGCTCACCGTCGGCTTGGGTCCGAATTGCTGCCACACGCTCGGGCCGGCGGTGTCCAGGTTGACGCCTGTGCCCAGGCCATTGAGCTTTTACATATTTTTCTACCCCAGCTTCTGCGGTGTAACAAGGACGGCCAGAGGCGTACCACAGCTCTCGGCGCCCGGCACGGTGATGGTGACGTCGCCTGATTGCTCCCACCTCTGCCCGCTCGCGCTGAAGCGGACGCCTAGGCAGGGAGTGGGAGAATAGGAAAGCATATCAGCCCTTGGGCTGGTAGTTGGTGGTCTCAACGACTCGTAGTGCGTGCGTGGAGGCAGTACCGACGGAGTCGCTTCCATTCACACTGATCTCTACGGGGCCACTAACTTGCTCCCACTTGGCTGCTGGCGTCGTGAAGAAAACTCCTGCGGTATGTTGTGTCGTGTGTTGTTAGCGACGACAGCGTGGCGTCGTGTGTCATTGTGTGTGTGTGGTGTGTGTGTGTGTGTGTGTGTGTGGCGTGTGGCGTGTGGCGTGTGGCGTGTGGCGTGTGGCGTGTGGCGTGTGGCGTGTGGCGTGTGGCGTGTGGCGTAGTGTGTGGCCGATGAGCCAGTGACGTCGAGAATAATCTTGTTCTGCTGCCTCCAACTAGCCTCTTCTGTGCGCACTTCGACACCTGCGTACAATCACGCAGCGAAGAAGAAGAAGGATTGGTTCAATTAATTCGGTCGAACGTTCACCGACACAACGCAGTGAGCCCGACGTACCGGTGCATTCCTCCTGCACGGTCATGTGGGTGGTGGACCGTTGTGTCCACTGCCCCTCAACACTGATTCCTGGTGGGGATCGATATCTGTTGATCAGTCACACGCACACGCACACGCACGCACACACACACGCACACACACACACACACACACCACAAGTTGGGAGGAAAAGCCCACTTTAACGTACCGACTGTGCCTGCGTCCAGAACGAACGAGCTGGTGTTGCGTTGGAGGTACAGTGACTCCCCGCGCACCAGTACGCCTGCGCAACGCACCACTCACCGTTTGCACATGCACGCACGCGCACACCACACACCCCCCTTGGCTGAATGCCAACCATGCGCTCGCACACGCACCGGTCGCATAATTGGAGGCGATGACGTCCAGGGTCCCGTCCTGCGTCCAGCTCCCGGTGGGGCCGATTTCGGCCGCTGCAATGGGTTCCACGTGGGTGGGCGCAGAGAGGGTCAGCCACAGCGTGAAAAGCGGAGATTGGGGGGGGGGGCGAACCAGTCCCATAGTGGGCGACTTCCAACTGGGTGCTCCCATATTGATTCCAAGTGGCCACGCCGCCGTTTGATGGAAGCAGTGCAACGCCTGGCCCACATACCACATGCATACCGCGCCACGTCACGCATTGCAACGCCGAAGCATCATCGTAACACACGACACTCAAAGGTGGCGTGGTACAGAGGCCGCTCTGGGTGGTGAGGTTCGCGGAGCCGAATTGATCCCAGGTTCCTCCCTCGAGGGCGACTGCGGAGAGCAGCGTGGTGGCGAGCTCGACGTGCCCGTGGTGGAGCCACTGGCCCGGGTGGGTCACCATCACCACTGCAAGCACGACACCAACGACGAGGTCAGTGGTGTCATCAGCCGCTGCACAGATGGGTCGACAAAGGGGGAGGTCTGTACATGGCCTGGGATCTGGTCCATTTGTGATGTTGAGCGTCCCATACGTTTCAAGTGTGCCGCCGTCGATGTGAAGCGCTGTCCCACGCCAACTTAAAAATTTTTTTTGTTGCAAGGGTCACGGAAAAAGAGAGAAGACGAAGACGAAGATGAAGACAAAGACAAAGACAAAGACAAAGACGAAAGTGGTGGTCGTACAGCTGGCGACTTGGAGTGTGCCGTTCAGCCGCACTGTGATGTTGGTATTGATGACGAGCCACTGAGTGTAGGATGCATCTGTCATGGTGATGGTCACCGGCAAACTGGTCCTTGGGGAGTTAATTACATGTCAGCACACCGCAACCCCATACTATAACATGAAATAAAAGAACATATAAGATGAAGATAACTGTTACATCAATAAAAACTGGTGTGGAGGTTATTAACTCGATGGTGATCGAGGCGGTGGGGATTGTCATATTCTCCTGGTAATTCCCCCCTGCCACCCGGACAATGTCGCCCGGCCCGGATGCCATGACCGCGTCGCGAATCTTGGTGAAGGGGCACGCCATCGTCGGACACACATCGCGGGCTGCTACGGAAAAAAAGTAAGCACTCAACGGAAGATGAGTGTCGGGGCGGGTGATTGAGGGGGGGGGGGCTTGACGTAACTCGTGGCAGATACAGGCGAGAAGCAGGCCCACAAGCTCAAGAGGGTCACGAGAAAGGCCAAGTAGTTAGCGCACCGCATTTTGTAGCGCGTTGGTGAGAGGCGACACAAACACAGCCCCGGGCAGGCGCAAGGCATAGGGCATACACTTCCTCGAATGCACTTGTGGTAAGTCCTACCTCGCCTGCCATTGGGCGACCTGGAGTAGTTTTACTGAATTTAGTCTTAAAGCACGTGTGTCTCTAATCACCATTGGGTTCGGGACTAATGAAGGTGCCGCTTACAATTGGGGACGTCATCATCACTTCCAATACATTGTTCTTGACCCCCCCCCCACACAAACAACTAAAGTTCTGCTCCACCGTCTCGACCGTCGCTGTCGTCGAAGTTGACGGCCAGCGCGGCACTCCGCCGGCGGCTGCGCACGAAGGTCACTGCCAAGACGATCGCAATGACCAGCACCACCGCCGCCACCGCCACAGGAACCGCCACCGCCACCGCGATCACCCACTCCGTACCGCCTCCACCACCTCCATCCCCATCTTTTCGACCGCCCAAGAGCAGCGAAATATCTGTAGACCATTGTTCAGTCCAGCGGCGATTGTGATGAGAAATGTGATGGCATTGAATGGAGAGAATGTGGGAGAATGGGTACCGGGGTCTTAGTCGAGGTTGGTGTCGAAGTGGGCGAAGGTGAGGGTGATCGACGAGCTCGCTTCATCGGCCGAGCTCGAGCACGCCACGCGCTGGCTCGTGTTGGTGAGGCCAAAGTCCAGCAGCCGCACCAGCGTGCCCGCCTGGCTGTCCGCCGCGCTCGGCAGGAAGATCGTGGTTGTGTCGGCCTGCGGCGTGTTGAGGCGCACTTTACTGGTGGCGAACGGCGGGTCGATCACCATCTGGAACTCCAGCTTATTGTCACTGTCGCCATTGCCAACTTCTATCAGCTCATCTTTCAATTATTAAGGGAGAGCAAAATTATTATTTACATACCTGGAGGACCAGTTCCAGCGGTCGAGGCGCAGGGTGAACTTCAAGAAGGCCGGCGTGATGCTGAACGTGTAGTTGTTGGCTGTTGAGCGTTGCGTTGGTACAATAATTTTATCGGTCGAGTCAGAGGCGGAATTCGAACAAAAAGTGGTGGTGGAGGGTTGAGGTGTTCGGACTCGAACCGGCGACGTCCTGTCAGACCTGTCCAGTCGGTCAAGTCGCTCACGTTGAACAACGGTCAACTCCGAACTCCCTCCCGTTGCTCAAAGACCTGAGCTGACCGACCAATTAGAACGGACCATAGAACCCTTTAAAAGAACACTGCGTTCTTCTGTTTATTTCATCCCTTCTTTCTCTCTTCTCAAATACATCTCTTCTACCACTACGCCACTACACATAATCCTGCTCCAACAGGTTATGGGCCCACGCTCACCAGCGTTTTAAACCACCCTACCACTCGTTTTACGCCCATCGGTCGCAACGATCCGCGTAACGACTACACGCGCCCGCACGCCCGTCGACTACCACTCGAACCGCGTGACCGCGCCACCCTACCCGCGCCCGCACGCCCGTCGACACCGTCGAACCGCGTGACCGCGCCACATCTACGCTCGCCCGCACGCCCGTCGACCTTGTCGAACCGCGTGACCGCCACGCAAGAGCGCCCGCACGACGTCAAGTGACACGACCTCGTGACCGCGCTTCTCCCATTTTCAAGTCACTTCGTGTCTCGCCCGTCCGCTGACCTGCAAAGACCAAGATGAAGAAGGCTCACAAGGGGATACCACTACTCCATGGCACCAGCGACTACCGAAGGTGGCACTCGAAAGTGATCGCACACCTCGAGTCGCTGGGCCTCAAGGACCACGCGACAGGGCTAACCGTCGTGCCCGAGAAGCTACACCAGAGCGAGACGGACCTCTCGCTGGCAATCCGACGCCTTGAGCACGAGAAGCACATCCAACAGACGCTCGGCACGATCAAGAAGCTGGTCGATGACGACCTCCTTCCGTCGATCGAGGGTGCCACCACCGCAAAAGCCGCGCTCGACATCCTCGAAGCGCAGCTTGTAGCAAAGAACACGGCACGGTTCATCGCCACCATCTGCAAGCTCTTCTCGCTCAAGAAGAAGCCCGAGCAGAGCGTCGCCGCGTACTTCGCCGAGCTCGACGGGCTCATCACGCTCACGGTAGCTGACGCCGCCGAGGACATCAAGCACCGTGTCGCCCTCCCGGATCCCAACGCGCTCGTGGTCGGACAGCTGTCGCCGTTCACGATCACGTACTCGAACGACCTCCTCCGTCGCTACATCACGAAGCACGCCACCGCCGTCGCCCTGGCCGGGCTGCCGGAGGAGTACGAGATGGCCAGGGCCATCATCGGAGACTGGCCAGAGTTCGACGCGAACCGCGCACGCGCCAAGATCAGCGAGCGTGAAGCGGAAATCGCCCGCGCTGACAGTCCCAGCAGCCACGGAGGCAGCGACAAGCTGCTCTACGCCAAGGCCCAGGACACTCGCGGCCCTCACCGTGGAACCGCACACCATGGCCAACGGCAGAACGGCGACACTCACCGGTCTCGTCACCCCGGCGGCCGCCCAGCATCAGCAACAAGCAGCGATAGCCGGTCGCCGAAGCCGTCGTTCCAGAAGCGCGATCGCCCTCTCTGCGACTACTGTCGCAGGCCGGGACACTTGCGCGCAGTCTGCCGTCGCCGACTGGCTGACACCGAGCAAGCCAACGTTGCCCACGAAGTCGAGGCGGTCGAGCCCGCCGATCTGGCCGACACAGTGGCACTGGTGGTCGCTGAGACTGAGCTCGCGCTCGTCTCCGCTGATCCGCACGTCACACTGTGGTACCTAGACTCCGGCGCGACATCGCACATGGCTGCCAACCGCGACTGGTTCCGCGATTACGAGCAACTGTCGAGCCACCCCGTCGCGCTTGGTGACGATCGCACAATCCACGCCGCTGGACGCGGCATCATCGAGGCCAGCGTCGACGTCGCAGGTCGGCGACAGAGGATCCAGCTCCACGACGTGCTCCACGTGCCTAACCTGGCGCGCAACCTTCTGTCCACGTCCCGATTCGCCTCCGCCGGGCTCACCATCAAGATCTCGGCCCAGGGGTGCAAGGTGTTCTCCAGGCGCGATCGCCAGACAGTGCTTCGCCCAGTCGACCTGGGGCGCATGCTGGTGGCCTCCCTGCGCATCGACATGGCCCCCGGCGAGCGAGCGCTGACGGTCAAGGCGCCGCCGGTCGACATGGAGTTGCTCCATCGTCGGCTAGGGCACATCAGCGAACGGCGCGTCCGCGCGTCAACTGGCGCGGCCGAGATCGTCACGCGCGGAGACAGCGTCGAGCAGTGCGAAGTGTGCATCCGCGCGAAGCAAACACGGGCACCCATCGGTGCTGGTCCAACTCAGCGCGCCGAAACCGTCATGGAGCTTGTACACTCCGATCTCTGCGGGCCACTTGCTGAAACGCCAGGCGGCCGTCGCTACTTCGTGTCATTCATCGACGACTATACGA